TTGAAGCTTCCAGCTTTCATCTGAATCATTCTATTTCATCGCCATACACAATTACACTACCGTTCACCACATATGTTTGGGTATTCCAAAAAAATGTAGTTTGCTCAACCCCCCCAGCCCGTTTCACCAGTCACCCAGTCGTAGACCTATCAATCAGGTTTTTTTCAGACATGCCTTACTCCTTGAGAGAGAGAAAAAAAAAAAAAAAAAAAAAAAACACATTGCCTGTAAAACAAAATGCCCTGTTATCTTCCTGATTAGGTCCTTAAGTAATGTGACATACATAGTGTAGTTGATTCAATTGTCCTGTGTTCTATTTCTAGAAAACTGAGCTGGTGTATGGGAGCTCATTTAATGTGTTATTTTAAGTGATTACTTTATAATGTATCCTCAGCCTCTTTCAGTAGCCTGTGCTAAATGGTCATATATTGCCTTTATAAATAAAGAGCCATCACTCCACAATGCAGTACCAACACGGCTGCTACTATTCGTCTTTCATTGACCTTACCGGGTTTCCTAATATAAATCTAGAACTTCTCATCTAAACTCTTTGTTATGTATTTTGCCTCGGCACTTTTTTACCATTAAAAGGTAGATGTAGAGGAGAAAAGGGGAAGTAGGGGAACATTAGGGAGGAAGATGCATGAAATGAGAGAAGAGCAAAGGAGTGCACGAGGAAGGTCACAAGGAGGAGGGAGGAGGCAGGCAAGAGCAAGGTCACAAGAGAGCAAAAGACAAGAGTGGGGTCACATGGGGGCAAATAGAAGTGTCTCAATTTACTTCTCCAGTCTACTTTTACAGAATTTACATGCATTCTTACATGCATTCTATGTAGTATGGTGCCCAGAATTGTATTACCTAATACAAGCGTTGACCCAAGTCAAAATATAAATACAAAACTGAACACTTCTAGATACAAATCCTAGTGCTCTACTGACCTACAGCTTATGCATTATACATTTAGTATACCCAATTGATTAACTAGTAATTTTCTCTATTTTAATATAAATTGCTAAATTAAACATCACAGTAAACTGCCAATGGTTTGCTTGCTAGGGTTTTATAAAATCAAACAGGTCCATAGGGCTACAAGATGAGAAAGGTTAGTAAGGAAAAGGCTAGAAAGGAGATTTAAGACGAATTAAAATGTATACTTAATAATTTAACAATAGAAATAGCAATGTTAAACTTTCTTTTGTTTGATGGTTACAGATTAATGGAATCTTTACATACAAGAAAATTTAACATTGCTATTCAAATGCTACTACACAAAGTGAAGGAAAGCAACACTTATCTTTCATAAATAAATATCTAATGCTTATTGCTCAAAGGGAAAAAATTAGTCCTATAAAACTAGTCTTGAATAAGATAGATTCCAAAACCCTTATTAGCAAAATGTCATTGCCAAAAATGTAGACTAATCTGTGCTCTTCTATATCTAGTACATTCCCTATTTTTCCTAGCACAACTGCCAATTTCCAGTTAATTTTGAGTGCTTAGACTGGCTATTATATTTCAAGACAAAAAAATACTAGGTACTGTTGATTTTACTATTTTCAAATTTACTAATATTGTTATTCATTTTTGTATGTAAATCGTGTATGTACATGGTAAACAAAGACCCTGAAGCAGAACAATTCCTGAACTCCAGTTATGACTTTCAACGTCACTTTTGATCCAGTTAATAGGTCCTCTCCAACACCGGACACGTCTACCTTCGATATCAGTATCTTGTGTAGAATAGTAACAAAATGCTAACTAATGCCTGGAATATAAATAATAAATTAAACTGTGCCCAACAAACATGTTCTGTAAGCAGTGCAAGACTGTCAAACATTGCTGAAAATCTGTCTAAATCATTTACCAATTTCGAGGGACAAACAGAATTTACCATAATTGACAAACTGGTCAGAGGAAGATCAGGGGGGAAAGTAGGTAGTCAGGAAAAGTAATTGGGAGGAAGGGCAGCAAGATTAAAATGCAAACTGTATATTTGCATTTCAAAATATCCCGCATCTAATCGCCAAAAATTCTGGAGATTAAGAATCACCAAACCAGCGAACAATACAGTAGTATACAGCAGCAGCACAATTACATTTTAACAAATACCCCATTTCCACAAATCCATAACTCACTTCTCACAAATTTATTTTGTTTTTAATAAAAATAAAAATATGACAGGCAAAATTCTGTACTAAGTCCAAAACCTATAAAAATGATTACACTTATGTACTCAAATATTTGTGTACATTAGTCTGTTCCCAATTTAGCTATTAAGCTTTTATTTGCACAATCCTCAAACCAAACAACAAATTGCGTTTTAAGTAATATGGAACGATTTAAACCATAAATCATCTTGCTTCTATGCATCATACTGAAAGTATGTAAAATGTCAGCAAGAGCTCCAATATGTTAATATCACCAGCTTGTCTTACATGACAATTCTGCCATGTTTAGTACACTTAATGTGTTTATGTCTCACATATAACTATTTTAGCAATAGCTTAAAACTAATAATATCTAATTTCACTTTGCGCTGTTTTATATGAGAAAATAAATGGATCATGAAGTTGGATCGAGTTCTCATCCCTGGGCTCCCAAATACACTCACTGTCAATGGAACCACAATGAGTAAGAGCTTGGGAACATCTCTTCCTACACCATTGTGGGCAGGTATATCTTCTGGATTGTGGTACAAGAGGCTGCTTTCCAAACTCCTCAGGAAGTAATTCTGTTCAAGATACTTATAACCCCATTATGTTTCAGTTGTTAGTGTGCATTCCTGGGAAGTCCAGGGTTGAGCATCCGATCCCATGATGCCTATGTATTCATAGATGCATCAACCTTATTTGATTTGATTGTATTACAATATTCAGGATTGTACTCTTGTTAAGCTTAATGTTTAACAGTTAACAAGATTTTATTTATCACCTCTAATATTAAAATTTTAAGTAATAACTTTAATGCTAACCATTGCATAAAATTTTAAAAATCTTATGCAAAACTAACCTCCAATAATTATTTAAAACTTTAGCAATAGTGAAGACAAACCACATAATACAGCTACTTGACAATAACAGGCTAACCATGAAATGATTTTTCCCTGCCAAATTTTATTCTAATATATCCACTAAGCACTTCCTACCAATATGCAACATGTCGATGCTTTCGTGCAAAAATGTGAAGATGGGATTACCAGAACACAATTTTTATCTAGGCATGCATTAACCATCAAAAAACTAACTTTACAGCTCAATTTAATACTGTTCAGAGCTAGTTTCAATTGAATAAAAGTTAAACATTTAAAATCTAGATGACTACAACAAATGTTAGAGATGCAACCTGTTGGTTTCTTTAACAAGAGTACCTGGAGGGAAGTTTTGAACTAACAAAAGGCATTATTATGCTGTGCTTTGTGATTGGAACCTCTGGTAAAGAAAATTCCCAGAAGCCTGCAAGCAATTATCTCATTGAGTTTTATCATCAATTTTCACCCTCAGGATTGAGTTACTTTCAAATGTAGTATGTAATACGACCATTACAAAATAATCAATAGTAAAATCTTTAATATTTACACGATTATTCTACAATCATTTTGCTATTGTTGAGTCGACACCCAGAACCAACTAGTTAACTTGTATTTTAGCAGATTCAAATGTACTATGGAGCAACACATCTAATTATCCCTGGCATCTACACTAAATTATAATTTTACCAAGTAAATAATTTATCAGCATGGAATATTCACTTTTTTTTTTATCAGGGCTTAAAATATTGAGTATTCAACCTTGTCCATGACGTAAGTAATCAATAATGTAGAAATTCTGCCAAAAAACCCTCAATATATCTTGCTTTGGCTCCCCTATGCAGCACAGTACTGCAATTCTAGACTGTACTAAAACTTATTGTTCCAGTGCTATTACCTTTAAATGAGAAATTTGTCAACATGTACAAAGTATCCTCAATGCACAACCCCTGGTTTGGTGCCAAAGAAGAAATCCCGATGCATTCCGATTCAATATTCTGCTGTGTGGATATGGTACTTTTTTGTCTTTGAAATAATATTATGTCCTGTTGAATTGGAGCTTTATCAACTTTTGCCTCAAAATCAGAAAATGGGGACAACAGCAGACATAGAAGGGGTGGATGGGAAAGCAGAATGGGAGGAGAGGGGTGTAGAAGGGAAAGCAGAATGGGAGGAGAGGGGGTAGAAGGGAAAGCAGAATGAGAGGATGGGGTGTGGAAGGGAAAGTAGAATGGGAGGGGGTGGAAAAAAGCAGAATGGGAGGAGGGGGGGGGTGGAAAGGAAAGAAGAATTGGAGGGGAGCGGTGGATGGGAAAGCAGAATTAGCAGAGGATGGAGAAAAAGCCAAACAGGTGGATAAAGGAAAAGTAAGGGAGGAATCTCAAACTGTAGACATTAAATGGTATTTCCATGTCTGCCTTATGTGTAGGTCTAAAAACAAAAACATTCATAAATGTAGGCATAACAGCCCATCTATAAAGTATATAAAGACTTTCAGTTATTTTAAGCCCACAAAGATATTTGGCACTGAAGTACTGTAATGATATGAAATGCACTTAGTATTGTATGCTGCAGAATGTTATCAATTTCACTTTACTAAACTTCCCTTTGAATTACGTAAGTTACTTAAGAGAAATATGCACTGCTACCAGATAAACACTGGGACATCAATCCGATACTCCAATTATAGTAGTCATGATGTTGACTAAAGAACGCCAAGTCAAATCAGGCCCGATAAAATACAACACAAGACTTCAGTATCAAGCACACTTGAAACTGACTAGAACAATGGCAAAGTTTTCCAAGGCAAATAAACTGGATAAAACTGTACATTAACCATTTACCGGTTGAAATGGGATGAAGGCCACGAAAACAAGTTGCTTCTGACCAGACTTTGGCCTTTTGCAGAACAATGCTACAAAAAGCACTCTCCTTAAGAACATCACAGTTGAAAATATCAAAATGGAATACTTACCGGTGGTGGCGGGAGTTCACTCTCACTACTGCCTCGTTGGTATGCGCTACGGCCTGGAAGGAAATGAAGGCGATGCTTTCAATACACTAATCTGGGATAAAATGCCAATGAAGAGAAAGTCATATTTACTTCAAATTCTTACATTTGCAGTTTAATGCACTTACTATCACTCTGCCAGGGATCTGGACGACCATCCCAGCTACTGTCCGCCCAGCTACCAGCCAGACCAGACGAGCTAGTGCCTCCGCGACTACCTGCCATTCCAGAGCGACCCCACGATTCACTACCACCTCCACGCCAACTGCTGCCTCCCTGGGATCTGTATGTGTCACTGTTGCGGCGCCAATTGCTACCATCAGTACCCTGATAGCCACTGCTTCCAAAACTGTCTTGGCTATTTTCATTCTTCAACATGTCGCCAGCACGTTCCTATCAATTAAAAAAAATTTAATCAATCATTTATCCAGCAAACATGAAGAATCTTCATTATTAACAATGAAAATATATACATAAAATTCTGTGTATCTTTTAGCTAAAAGAAATTCTCCACATCCATTGCATAATAGTGTCATCCCTCTGCCAACTTTGCTATGTGCACTATCAATGAAATGGCCCTGGTGATGCGCAGTTCAAGGGTTAAGGGGAATTAAGTGACAACCCGGGATTAAACCTAGACAGCTTGTGGACCAGTCAAGTGGCTTTGGGCCTGCACAGGAATAACACAAACAAACAGGAAGTGTATACATTCGGTTAGGGCAATGCACTCAATGTTCCTAGATCTGACCTCGCAACTACGAGCCATTCAATTCAGTGACTACTTTTTCTTTACATTAAGATTCAACAGTTACATTGCCCTTAATTCACTTTAGTCTATACCACTTTTTTAAATTCTTAAACTGAAGTTGATTTTGACATTTGACTCATTGTCTACTTTACAATTGTCCCCCCTCATTTTACCATTTCTCACTTTAAACAAGACTTCGCTATCCATTTTGACGATTCCCATAGAATCTTTTACAGTCTACCCAATTCAGTCATTGCTCCAGTGGCAAAGTCCAGCTTTTCCAGTGCAAAGTCTTCCTTTAGTTCAGTTCTTTCTGGGCAGCATACTCGAGAATGGGTCTCATAGGATGGATAGTCTACAAACAATTCTGTCCCAATTTCCTTACGTTGATCTGGACATTTGCTAGTTTGGTATATGCTGCTATGTGCTTTTATATTTGGAGTCATGTAAATATCCAGGTATCTCAGATGTGGGAAGTGGCATGCCTTTCCTTCTGTATTTGAACTTTGTTTCCCTTGAAAACAACCTTCTGTACAGTATTTGGAGTCTTCACACTTTAATTTGTTTAGTTAATTTTTCAATATATTGCATCCATCCTCAATTCTGATCCTTTATTATTAGTTGAGCATCACCAGCAAACATTGGCATGAATGGGCACAGAGGGACATTTGTAAGCAAAGAATCAGTTGAACTATGCCTGTTGCAGGCAGTAGTAACACCAGTGCAGGGGCAATGCAAACATGAAACTGATCAAGCTCAATTATATCTATCTATACCTGCAGAAAGCCTATCAAGGTCCCCTAAAAGCACTGCAATGTGCACCCAAAAAAAGCAGGCCAGGGCAACTGCAAATAAAACAGACTGGTTGAGGTTAAGTAAGAGTGGAGCTGAAAGATTAACCCACAAGTCTTAATGTTGGCCACAACTGTTTCTCATTTGTATAAAATAGTTCAATAATGGTTTTTAATACATTAGAATCCCCCCCTTTGTAATACCCTTTCATAAAAACTTCTATCCTTCAGCCACATTATCCCTTACTCGTCACCCTTCGAGGCTTTTTTTTTTTTTTAAATTTCAAACTAGGTATTTAACTCCTAAAATTAATTTGGTCACTTATCTCTATAAATTGGTAAGCGAATTTACAATCATACAATAGTATGTTGACAAATAACTGTCATGCTCAGGAAAGATAAACCTGAATAACATATCTTATTACTAATACTGGACCCCTAGATATGAACCCTAGTATCCTAGTTTGATAAATATTGTTCAATTAGAGAATTTATGATTACAAGTTATTCTCACTACAGACATACTGAATCCAATTACCATAGGCAATATAAACTAAAGATCAACATTGCTGACAAAGGTGGATAAATAATTGTATACAAACATTAATGCATACATACACATTAACCACTACACTGCTCTGCATAAAAATATGACAAACCCGTGGTGCGCCGAAAATAAATTCTTTCCAAATTATTATTTTATCTTATAGTTAAAATGCACTCTAATCACAGGACACAAAAAAAAAATTTGTATGTGACATACTATAGCCACAATGGAGCTGGGAAGTTGAGCAAATTATGGGCGCTGAGCAATGGAGTGTTTGGGGTCACGCTGCACCGCAACCCCGTGGGGCAGCATTTGCCACGAAAATAAACTATCACATTTATTCTGACGTTTTTCATTCGTTTCTTCTCTGGGTTTTTGCTATTATTCAAAAGTGCGTAATTTGTGGAATTTATTTAGTTCAATGTGTGGAACATCACTATGCTGAAAATTATGGGGCTTATATGTGACATGTATATTATATTCTACAATCGGTGTTTTTATTACACTATTTACACAGTGTTATACACAAGTATCTACATGTTTTGTTCACCATAACTGTACAAAAAAGCTGGTATGCCGAGTTCAGGCAATAAAAGAAGTCACCCCACACAGAGCTGATGGCTGCCTCCCTCACTGGCTCAGGTGCTAATTCTCACTACAATCCTACTATTATCAGAATCCTGGTCCCCAATTAATGTAAATGAATAACTTTCCAAATGTTAATTTTGTAAAGGAACTCGAGGAGTAGTTTGATGAATTTTAGAGGGACGAAATAATGGCAGTGTGCTGTGGCTAGAGCTGTGAACATCTTGAATATTTATTCAATGATATCTGAACATAGTACACAGTCTTTATCAGTCAGGCTCTTCTGTAATACTATCATGGCTAAATAATACCAGATACATATATATTTGGACATTTTTAGGCAATGCCCTGGTCCCAAGCTGAACAGCAATGTTGTTAGCTCATGCTGCGTGCACCAGCCTTGCTTGCTCACTCAGTACCGAGGCCTTCACACCAGGGAACGTTGCCCATTATTTTTTTTTTTAAATGGTCTGTTTAGGAGAGCCCTGAGGAAGCTGATGTGAACCCCATGTAGCCGCAGGAGTTTTAAATGATACGCTATACCCACAATATCCCAGAGGCGCATTGCGCACCACCCGTCGAGAGCCTCAAAGCATGTTGCGCAGTGCAGTGGTTAAACAAATTCATGCAAAAAAATTTGGACTAAGGGGCAGTAAGAATGATTACATTTTAGTTATAAACAATCATTTAATAAACACGCATGCATTAACTTTACTTAGTATAGTACTTATGTGACAAAGCAATGTAGAAACGCCATGTTAATTTGTACAAACCTGCATAAATTGTCTGTTTTCTTCTTGGCGTCTCCGAAGCTCCTCCTCTTGTTGACGAAATTTCAGTGATAATTCCTCCTCTTGACGTCTCTGTCTTTCCTCTTCTACACGGCGATGTTCTTCCCATTCACGCTGACGCTGTTCATAATCAGATTTCGTCCGCTGATTCATCTCTTCCCTCTGGCGTAGTTCTGAAGAGAGCAAATTTACAGTCAATCTTTGAAAACATTAGAGCAGAAAAGTGTGTGCATGTGTGTAATTACCAGAGGTAGGACGATACTAACATTTCTAATGATTGCGATGCCAATGCTGATCAAAACTGAAGTCTTAATATGATCACCTAGTTCCTATTCAGACTCTTTAAAAAAAAAGTTATACTGTACTTATTTTCCTGAAAATTATTATTTTAGTTTTGGAAAATAATGAATTACATTATGAGCATTGTAAAAATATTACTACCAACAGCTTTAACAATAGAAACCAATTGGTTAATCCAGCTAAGTCTTTAGACGAATCCTGAAGAGTGGAACTATTACATTATCCAGTACATGCTGTAATTGTATGGTAACAATTTGTAATCCAATTTCAAATAAGATTAATATTGCATCACTAACTCAAAGCATAACTAATACCTTTTTACTCAAAAGGTATTCCTTAATCTACAAAACACAATCTAATTATAACCAAAATCTAAACATTTATTTTATTAAAAGTTGAGAGAATTTTCAAGAATCTGAAAATTATAAATTTCTCTCGATGCCTATTAACCCTCCCATCACTAGTATTTATGCAAGTTCCACTGCAGGATGAGAATTTTCACAATTAGATATCGAATTTTTATGACAACTCTTGCTTATTTACTTACGTTCTCTAAGCATCTCTGTTTCATGTTCATATTTGGCATATTCTATCTGTTCTTCCAACTTCCTCTTCTCATCTTGCAATTCTTTATCTAAAGCATCTTTCTTCTTATCAAAAAGTTCATAGAGCTGCTTCCACTTCAAGCCATACCTTTATCCAGAAAAAAATTTGGTTTAAAAAATGCACTATTTAAATCAAATTAAATTTATTATGATTTGAAATTTATCATTAGATTTGAATTTATCAAATCTTCTCAAGATAGATCATATAATTATTAATAATCAGGAAGTACAAAATAAAAATCTGCTCACTCAAATTCAAATGATCCAGGATGTGCAAAACGTGGCCCTTGTTGACGTTCCTTCACATACTCGGGATTACGCTTGTTTACATTTATCTCGCTCATGCCTTCGTTATCATCAACTAAAGCCATTTGTTCCACAATGACAGGACGGGGAGATCTGGAATAAAGATTAATTAAATTACAGATAATATATTGGGAAAGGCAAACTTGGTAATTGTTATATCTTCAGTAAACCAACTTTTCAAGACTTATTGCCTTCACCAACCTTATTAACCATTAAAGTGCAGTTATCCTCCAACATTAATTTAGGTGTAATGGGTTATTCATTTAAACTTATTTGCATGGTTTTTATACCAATAATGTTAATATGGATATACAGTAATAGCTAAATGGATGTAGTGGAGTTTATCTTGACAAATTAACATATCTTGCCATCGCTTTATGATTGTTTACTATGCAAATGTATTTATTGTTGCAAATGTTACAAAGAGAATGCGGTATTGGTCATTGGTATAAAATTCCACCAATTACATGTATACTGAGCATGTTTACATGGTTTTCACAACCCTTTATGGGTGTAATGAATACTACAACCAATCATTTTAATATCCTGTAATAAGACCCTGTAGAAGGCCTATTGGACTCATGTGAGGCAATTCCTACTTATATATGAACAAGTTTGGGTGAATATATATAGCTGTCTCATATGGGGTGAATAGGCCATATGAATAGGTCCATATATGAATGAGTTTGGACAAAGAGGCACTGCCTTGTACAGGCCAACAGACCATCTGCAATTTCCTAGTTTTTATGTTCTTAGTGGTACATAAATTCACTCATTCATTGATACATTCTTCAATTGAGATAGTAGAGGTACTTGGAATAACAAATATCTACATATTTATTGGCTGGATGAGCTGGATATCCATGTATAGTATCTCTCTACAGCTGCACTTTAGGGACTAAGCATCTCCCACTAAGGCACCAAGGGTAAAAATATAATCAAAACACTTTTGTATAGCTTTTTTCGTATTTATAGCAAGCCGTGTTTTCCATCTATCCAGCATCCCCACCTACTCAGACATGCATTAAATGGAAAATCAAATATAAACACCTTTCTAACCACCCCTTCCAAGCCATAAATTGACAGTTAATGTTCATTTAATGTCTACCATATTTCACTAAGGCAAGACAACTCTTGCCTTAGTTCAGTAGGTTGACCCAGTAAGAAAGATTCAATGTAGAAATATAACACTACAGTATATGGAAATATTTCTTTACTTTAATAATCCTTAAAACATAAAAAAGTAAATAAAACTTACGAAACCATGAAGAAACAGCCTTCATTGCATTTTTTTAGTGCCAAATTTGCAGAGGGTTTCTTGCAGAATTCAACTATTCCTTCACCAGTTGCACGGCCTCGCTCATCAGTAATAACTATTGCTTTTTCTAGTTCTCCAAATACCTAAAAAAAAAACCATTTCAGCTATGTATTAAAACAAGGCAAATTAACAGTACTAGTACTAATAAAGAAAACTTTCACAACTTGTCAATTCTACAAGCTCTTGCACCAATCTGTACACCTTCCCTTTTTAGTTAATGCTTTTTACTGATAAAAAATGGTATGCAGAGTAACATTGTAAAAAAAAATATTGATTTAAAACCTAACAGAGAAACCATATCTTGTTGCATTGAAAGCAGGGCAGGTCCATTTACCATGACCTGAAGTGGGTTCCTTTATTGACTAGATATAATCAGCCACAGATAATTAACAAGTAAATAGTCAGGGAAATACCCACTAATACGGGAAGTAGGTGAAGGTATTGGGTGGTATGCAAGAAACGGTTAAGACAAAACATCGCCTAAGTGCAGCTCTAGTCAGCACTGCCTTAATTATCCTCCATGCCACCCATTCATAATGAATAATAAGAAGGTAATTTCTGATACTGACAAGCAGCTGAAGAATTAACCAATGAATGTAGTGCTGTAAAAAGTTTGCCTAATAAGAAAGCCTTCTCTCCACTGCTAAAAATAAAATACTTATTAAGTAGGTGAGATCATGTGTTTAATTTACAATTAACATTTGCACAAAGTTAGCCTATTGAAACATTTCTGACCATAAAGATAAAACAATTTAAATTAACTTCAGAATCCAGTGGGATTATATATGTTATTAAACCGATAATAAACTCCACTAAATAGTGAACCATTGCTGGTGGTGTGAAGGGAGGGGGGGGAGGGGGTGTACAAGTCATGACTGCAGGGAATTCCATTTGCTGGATGGCAGATATGAAGATCTTTGAAACTTTAGTTTGAAATTTGTTTCTCCCTCCACATCTTCAGATGATGTGGAGGGAGAGAGGATTTTTTGATATGACAAGAGAGGAGTGGAAAATGAAAAAAGTGTTGCAGAGAAATGAGGAAAAAATGTGCACAGGGGAAATGCAAGTGAATTATGAGAGTGAGTGAGCAAGCAAGTGTACAAACGTGTTTAACCACACGTGATACAAAGAAAACCCTTTGTATCACTACCATTCGGCATTTCAAATTTATTTCTCATCTACTCACTGAAAATGCTTTCTCCAAAAGCTCGTTTGTGACCCATGTAGAAAGATTACGGATCTTTAATGCAGTACCAGGCGATGAGAAGCGAATTTTTAGCTGTCTTCCTTTGTAATCCTTCAAGTGTAGTTCTTGGCGAGCTTTTTCTGCATTGCTCTTGTAATCCTGAAAAGGCAAAATTATAAATTTCTCATATTACATAAACTATAGCAGGCTATACAAAATTATTAATTTTCATTTAACATAGTTTATTGCAATAATCCTTACTTTATGCAAATTGACTTACCATGCGAACAAAGGCAAATCCTTTGTTTTTGTCAAAATATACTTCATCGAACTCTCCAAAGGGCTTAAAAAGTTCCTTTACGTCATCCTCTTTTATGTCTAATGGAAGATTACCAACCCAGAGTCTGCAATGGTTAGAAAATTTCCGCACTGTTTCTTCCCTTGGTGGTAGATCAAGCAAAGGCCCAGCCAGCTGTTTTAGACGTTCCATAATTCTGTCTTGATGCTGAAATTTGCAGAAAATATAAACTGAGAACTGTAGTACTAACCAGGACAATATATATTCTAAAATGTATTACATAAACAAATTTAAATTAACAATAAATCTATGTTAACTCCAAGATACCTATGTGCAAATAACAGTATCATATCCTTTACATTTTCAACTTGATCCAATCATTTATAAAACAAAATAGCAAAATTATAAACATGTTAAGTACACACTGTTTGGTTAGGTTATTACAATTGCTAATTCTGTACATAATTATAAATTTAGATTAATACTGTAATGTGATGTAAACACATGACCTCTAATAAGTACTGGACGATCATCTATGTTTTGGTTTATGAATAGTACATTAGCTTAAGGGGTCCAGTGACAGTAAATATTTGTCCAAATGAAATACTGAACAATATTAAACAAATCTCTCGTTATTTGGCATCGGCGTCGTTAAAATTTCATCCCAATGTTATTGATTTTTACAAATTTTTAAAGATAAATGTGCGTGCGACGGGCAGCAACCGGTACTGATAATGATAACACCCATTTACTGGCAATCAGGGATAAAGAGATGCAAGCACCTGTCCAAGACACAAAGAAGAGTAGTAGTATAAAGGAGGGTCCACAAAGTGGATATACCGCTCATGCCACCTGGAGGGCCAAATTTCACACTTAACAATTAGTATGTTATTTTGCTGTATTTTATTATATACATTATATAAATACATTGCCCAATGGCAATATTTCTTATGTCCCTTTGAACAAAAAGGGACAATTCCAATTTTAAGTTTAACATTCATGACTTTTAGAGATCAAGATGCTCATGACAAATTCTTTTTAATCTAAACCTATATGATGGTTAACTTTCCCAGAGCTATGAACTTGGGTCCCTGCTTCTTAAGAAAATCGGCACATCCAACACACTGCTAAATATCCAAACATGTATTCAGAGAAGCAGGATAGATCTGATTAATACCTTGTTGTAAAAGGAGATTCACTTAAACAAGGTTTACCATATCAAGATTGCACTGTTTCTACCAGATAGTCACTTGGCCAAGTAATTTATATTAAATGTTGCATTATTTGCACTGCAATTGCCTTTATTAACAAGGTAGTCTTGCAGTAGTATTCATAAGAGCTTAAGGTGTTAGGAAGTTTTATGTATTTTCACAGTGGAAAAATTACTATATGAAATATAAAGCCTGACACGCATTCCTGGTCCTTTTAAAATGTTGGAGAAGGATGCTATGAGATAGTGTGATGAAGCTAGGGCATAAAAGCTAAAAAATACAAAATTCCATGTCACTCTTCACCCTTTCTCTTGTACCAGCTGATCAGCAGAATGTCCCTCCCCACCCACTCCATCACTCGCAATGACCAAGTGTCACCCCACTCTCGCACAATTATGCCTTTCCCACCCCCATCTGGCATGCACACGAATGAAGTACAGCTCTCAGAATGGATGCCCCTCCTCCCATTCACACATTGACGGCATGTACCCTCTCTGTCCACCCCTCCCTATACCCATAGGGCCTTGCGGCAGAGTAGACAGCTTGGGGGTCTTAGTCCTAACTGCCCGGGTTCGATTCCCAATGGAGGTGGAAACAAATGGGCAGTTTCTCTCTCACCCTGATGCTCCTGTTCATCTGGTACTAAGCAAGTACCTGGGACTTACTATTGTTACTTGTTACTGCTACGGGGTGCTTCCTAGGGATGTGTGTGCGCGCGCGTTAGAGAGAAATGTATATAGATATAATAGAGGAAAAATAGATTGGTTAGAAAGCCAGGGTCCAAAAGGTAATAGCTCAATTCTGCAGACAAATAGTAAATACACCCCAACAGCATGTTTCCACCCCCACATACACCAATAGGGTACTCCATCATCCACTATCACCAACAAACATAACCCCCCTCCCACTTCACACCGGTGAGTAGCTTCACATGGCTCGGTCCGCCTTCTGTCGTTTCCTTGTGATCATTTGTTAAAGAGCCCATGATATTAATGTTTTATGACCATTGACCTCAATAGGTTAGGTTGGTTGCAATGGTTCATATGTTTCTAGTTCAGCAAGAACAGTTGTATTTTTAACAATACCAGCTTGATTAACAATACAATGTTAGAAACAGTGGATTGTATGGATAATTACCTGTCAAAATAAAAGCAAACCATAGTGTGAGTGGTTTTAATAACTTTCCAAAGCACAAGCTATTTCTTCTAGGGTTGCATTCATCTAAAAAAAACATTGATGCCCTATTTTTCCCCAAGCTCTATTAGCAAATTTCAGTTAAATTTAATTTTCAATCACATGATGGACAGCTACCAGGACAATGTTAAGAGATTTCTCACTCATTGCAAAAACAGTATTTCTTAGTATCCATCCATTATTTTTCAAACAGGAACTTTCACACACAGTTATGTACACTTCAAACACGCTAGAATTCTGGACTGGTTCTAAAGTTGCACACATCACTACATGAGACTAGAAGGCATTTTAGGAAGTACAAATAGGCCCCCTTTGTAAAACAGGTGCAATAAGCACAAAGAACTACCAACATCAAGAACCCAAGACTATTCACCTCTCGCTCTGAACTGACCAGAACCACCTTATAACTGTTGCAAGGTAGGACAAAGGACACCAAATGAATCGGGCCTATCTACTTTCCAATGCCCAAAACTAAGAATTTCTTGGGAACTATCTAATAAAAAATTAAGGTGATATACTTTCATAACCATTTTCATAAACATTTCTGGCACCTCCACTGTGCCAAATTCAAGCCCCCGCTGAATGAAACACATCAAAACTCGCCCCTTCTAAAATTGAAACCGCCCACATGACTTCTTCCAATAATGGGACCAACAACATTTAAAACAGTTTATTAATTGCGGTTTTTCCATGAGCTTTATTGACCATATAACGGTTCATAAGGATATGGGACAATTCATAACTTCCTTCTGTGAATAAAACCTAGCCAACTGTTCTTTCAAACCAAGTCCATCCATAATTCCTACTTGAAACTGCTATGATCAAGTTTACTTATGAAATATTTTAGGAATCTTTTTCCAATTAACCATATATGATATATGGTTTCATAATCATTGAGAGATTTCTGACACTACCACTAACCTAAACTCTCAACTGAACAAAAATACAGCCCAAAAACTTTAGAAAAACCATTAAGCATGAAATTAATTAATCAAAAGTAATATCAAATTTCACCCCCCCCCCAGAATCCAGACTTTTCTTTAAAAATTTTAAACCTAGAGATTTGGCAACCAAATTTGGTCTGTTTAATTGTAAACAAGCTCAGGAGGAGTATATTTCCTTTTGACTTGCAAAAAAAAAAAAAAAAGCAATATTTTACCTAAGTATTATGCACAACAATGAACTAGAGCCCTAAAATTAAATGACTGCCCACTTTTAAAAAATCTGCACATTTTAAAATAAGTACTGTACCATAACAATGAGCCTAATAAGATTTTTTTGACATCTTTTAACATTAAATACTATAGTTGAGCAAACAATAATTGATTAAATGTCCACATTACATGCATTGATAAATTATATACAGTACAACAAATGTATCCAACTGCAACCTGCATTTCAATTTAGAAAAGTTTGCAATTCAAAATGATGTGTGGTATACAGCAGAGGCGTTTCAAACTACGTTCTACAGCACCATAGTCTCCATGCTCCATGGGGCATTTGATGTTTTTGCATTATCTATTTTTTTTATTTCAGTGATTTATATTAATTTAACACTATCCTGCTCTATGGAGCGAAAGTGCATCTTTTTTTCTCTCGAGTCCTAGTGGCGGATTCGTGCTTGTGTCTATTATTAAAATATTTGTTAAAAATTTAAGTTTTATCCGATCAATCTGGGAATAGTTTCAAAATAAACACCTTTATATTGCGCACAATTTATTACAATAATGACGACGTAGCCTGACAATTCAGGTCAGAACACTGGAAAGATTATAAATACTTGTGGTCCAAAATTTAAAATACTTGCTAAAATACCATTTATTGCTCTATTATTATGGGACTAGTTTTAAAATGCGTGCCTTTAGATTGCAAACAATTTGATACCAAAATGAAAGATGTAACACGAAAATTGATGTTATCAAACTGAAACTAGTACACATTAGGTTGCAGGTGTGCCAATCGGTGCTCGTTCACGGATAACGGTTGGCCGAATTTAGGCTTTGCTGTGGGGGAGTCACGCCAGGCTTTTGGACCTTGTATGCATATATCCCTGTAGGGAATTCTATTGCGAACACAATGATACCTAAATGAACGGCATAGCACGAGAATAAAGGTGAGAAAACGGAAATGAGTATGCACATTTCAGTGTCGCCGCACACTCACCCAAAATGCTGGGAGTATGACAGCGAAGTCTGCGGCGCTTGTGCGCCATGCGCAAAAGTTGTAAACAAAGTGGGCAAGTGAATTCTTTTACCATTTGAACGCAGTATAAAACAGGAACCGATATTGCAATCAAAACACAGCTAATGATCACTAGGACTACTATGATTAGAAGATCTAGTTTTCTTGGGTTGCATAAGTTATAATCACAGCATATTAGAAAACATCTTAAAATATAAATCCATTGACAAGCCTATGGCACAGGGTGGCTATCTTTCCCCAAGGAATAAATCTTAAGAAGCTTGCATTCAACACATCAAATTATTCTTACTGATGTATTCTAGATATTACCAATATGTATCAAATTGAGGCACAAAGCCTCTTATTTAGTTGCTAAAACATTTATTTGAAAACTTACCAGTAACAATTATTTGATTAAGTTTCACAAAGCATTTGTTGATCAGTTGTAGTTTTCATCCCTTCATCTGCCAAGCATATTTGTAAACACACCTGGTGACTGTGGTGTGTGCAGACCTCCCTTGGGAGTACTGAGGCATCTAGGACACTGCAGGTAAATCTGCAAACTTCTAACTGGGTGCCTCAATTTTATATTTATAAACTAGGGAGATAACAAATGCCTATTTAGCCTTTTGAATGTGAGCATCACTTGGTCCAGTCTCATCCCACCAACAAAATGTTGAGGTAGAAGATTCATTTATTTCATGATGATTAAATAATTTGTAGTGACAATAAGGTCACCTGAATGAGCTTGTGGATTATAGACAAATTAGACAAACCCATTGATTACATTTTTTGTATTTTGCAACTTTTGTAACCATTTGTATAGAAAAAGTTCCCATGGAACCTGGTTAGGTGGACAGTTGTTGCTAGGAATAATTATTTACGGACATAAACCAAAAGAATGGCAGCTAGACTTTTTAGTAATTTTTTCATCTACACGTGTGTAATGTAGGGAATGGAGAGAAGAATTTATGCACCCCATTATTGCAACATTTTTATGCAATCTCTTATTAGATTTTTTTTATCTGGGCACTCAGAGGGAGGCGGGGGGACATCTTTCAGGGCCTACCACAACTAAACAAGAACAGCTACACCTTTTAGCCAATTATTTTCTGTTGCCATCATCTTGTCAAAACTTGAAGCTTTTTTGTGACTTTTTAGTGCATTTTGCAAAAGCTCAAAATGCCTTTAGTTACTTAAATGACATTGCACATAAGAATAGGAATCTGCAGACCTATTGGGCCATTTGAGGTGGTTCCAATTTCTATCCACTAACCCTTCATTTGTGTAACCTATGTGTGAAACAATCAAGCACATTTATTAACCCTTGCAATGCTCCAATTGCTATCTGCAATTTTCTCCTGTGTTCAGATCACTTCATGTGATTGATCCTTATAGATTTTAAATAGTTTTCATGCACACATGGATGTAGGACAAATACCTTAACAGTTCAAGGGTTAAGGGGTTAGCTAAATTGGTCAAGTATTTCAAAAGGAGGTTGATATTTTTATAGATAGGTTCTCGGATCCCGTGGTGCTCTTCCACTATCTGGGTGACGCGGGTAACGGAGTTTGTTTAAGGGGTGCCGGATAGGATGCCTCCACTGACAGCACCGCCTGGTGGTCGAGCACCTTCTGCCCACATGCTGCTGTGGGAAGTGTACTGCTTGCCCTTTCCGGTGTGGGAGTTCCCTGGTAAATATTAGTCGTCGTCATGGACACAACGTGCCGCCCTCCAGTGCGACATGTCTCCCTCTCCTGTCCACCTTTGTTTGCGTCGCCTCTCCTGACCCTTATTCTCAATATATGCACATCTCCTAACATCTGTCCTGGAGCAGTCATCAGGACAAACCCTTCATGCAAACTGCACCTACTATCAAGAAGTCGAGTCTGGCCTCGGGCCGGGCTCGGAGAGAACTACTACTTCCGAAACCCTCTCCAGTTATGCTCCAGGAACACAAAGCAACCCTGTACACAAAATACGCTGCTATACACAAGTGGTCCAATATACAAGATCTACTGTGAACAGAGCTGTTGTGTGTAATGAACATTGTGTACAAAAAGCTTTTGGATAATATAAACACTGCCCCTCCCCCTTTTAATTTTCAAATTGTATACAACAGTTTGCCAACATGTTAATAGGTAACCTGACTGCTTAACACAATCGAACACAGCCAAACTCAAGCTAATATAGCCAAACAATATATGCAGGGGTTAAAACAAAATGATGTCTGTCAAAGACTGTTTGCTCCTAACACCCCGCCCCCCTCATTTGGGAAGGCAACTACTAGGAGAGAGCACCAAGACATTATGCCTATATAGCACTTTGAAGGGGATTCAGGACGGGACAGCGGGAAGGAATAGTGCCTCACTTGGGACTAACCAGAAACTTAGTTTCCTCAAGACCTTTATTGCTAATTTATGAGTGAAAATGTTGGCTAGATTATAAGAATAGCTGGCGACCCAAGATAACCTCAAGATAACCAATCTGCAAGCAGTGACCTCACTCCCTAAAGACAGCCTCGCCCAAGACGAGGATAGTATGACCAATTATGAATTACCTGATTCCTCTGAGAGCTGCCATCTCTGTCTCCATAGTTAGACCTGTCGCCGCCTCTGTCCCCGCCGCCGCCGCCGCCACCACCGCCGCCGCGGCCGCCGCCACGACCCCGTCCGCCCCTGTAGTAGCCGCCGCCCCCACGCTGCTCGCTCCTAGAGTCACTGTTACTGTGGTGATGGCTATTGCTACCACCGCCGCCACCACGACCACCACGGCCGCCGCCACCACCACCATGGCCGCCGCCATGACCACCGTGGCCGCCACCACCACCGTGGCCACCACCACCACCACCGTGGCCACCAGCCCCGTGGCTACCAGTATCGCCACTCCCACCACTCCCTAAACTTCCAATACCACCGGGAACTTGTGTAGAAGTCTGAACATTTCCCTGGTTATTGTTTGCTCCACCTCGTCCTCCCTGGCCGCCGCCGCCGCCCCGGTTCCCACGGAATCCTCGCCCTCCTCGTCCGCCGCCACGGAAATTCGACGTATTTTCCCCATTCTCATTCGTCTTGGGCGTCTGGGGCTCTTTCTTCACGTTGTCGAGGTTCTTGGCCTGAGCCTGGGTGTCCATGGCCATGGTGTGAGATAATCAACGCGGGCAGCACAGTGCCAACAGCTCGACTCAAAATGGCGGCGCTGGGAGGTATGGGCGGCGCGCGGGCTGGCGGGGGCAATGATCGATACTGCGCATGCGCCGCCCCGACCCACGCCACCACGCGTCCCGCCGCCACACTCACAATCGATAATTCTCCCCTTTAAATACTCCAAATTTTCCCTCTATAATCATAATACTAATAAATACTAAATGTTTATTCAGGTCAAGTACATACATACAAGAGGTTTTACAAAAAATTGATGGATTTATAGATAGAGCTGGTACATACAATGCCTAAAGCCACTATTACGCAAAGCGTTTCAGGCAGACAGCTCTCTATATGTTATCCCTGATTTTAAGGAAAGAATGTAATTTTTTTTTTTTTTGCTTTATATGTTGAATGTAGGGGGGTTTTTTAGTTCCTGGGCGGTGTTGTTTGCTATGGTGAGCATTGGCTACCTCCGGGCAGATGCCAGACTCCACAATATTTATCACAAAATCTTATTTTTTTCATTTGTTGTTACCCCGAAAGGTTTTAATCTAAAATAACGCATTCACCAGAAACGTGTGAATGTAGCATATATGGACTATTCAGTGTGACATATATACATAATACTTTAATATACATATAACGAGATTCCTCCTCCCTTGTCTTTTGTGTTAACATACAATATTTTGGTACATGGATTCGGCTTCTCTAAAGTAAATGAAGTGTTTCAAAAAATTTGTCAAAGCGATATAGGTGGTTTTCCATTTATATGTATGGCTGACAAACCATGCATACACTTAATTATCACATAAATGAGTGAAGCGGAATATCGGTGTACTACTAATATGTTAATATATGCGCACAAATATCCTAGCGGGACCTCGATTAGCTTAACGGGCTTCGTGTACTTGAAAATGGGAAACCAATGCATGGTTTTCGCTTATTTTTCCCTGCGGTTAGTTAAGCTAAACAATCCGAAATATGCAGACGATGCGTCACAATAACGTGACTGAAGATATGTTGACCAAACAAGCCACTAGAAGATGAAGAGACGACGACGTTTTGGGCAGGACCATTATCAAGTCGATTCTAGTGTGTGGTTTGGTTAAGAAATCCCAAATATATATAGTAAAGACAGCAATTTGATCAACAAATAAGCTTAGATTGCACAGAACTGTACATACCTGTGCTTATACAGGGCGCATATTACAGAGCATGTTGTTAATAATAAGTTCATACAATATACGCATCTCTCAGCTAGGAGAAATGGTCATAATAGGCTGTGAGTCCAGTCTGCAATATTGCCAGCTCTGGCAAACTATCTTCTAATATACTCGATTCATAAAAATAATAATTTACTCACAAGAATAGGTTTGTGAGATTACTTAATATTGATATTAGCACATTCTTGCAAAGCCACTAACACACATAGCGCTTCGAGCAGGTCTTTAATCTAATATATTCAGGTAAGATGTAAAGGTAGAGTGTAACAAGGTTTTATATCAACAAATAACTACAATATAAATTGATAAAGATGATTACTCTGGTAAAGATATATACAAATATTGGGGAAGTGGGTAGTATAAGTATATAGTGTGAGTTTGAAGCACAAGATAGGAAACTATGGGGATGGAATTAGGTACTTTTTGGTTTTTACTTTTGAATTGGGCATAGATTGGACAATTTTTTAATTCGTCAAGGAGTTCCAAAGACTGGGATGACACATGTTTTGTATGTGAATGTCTTAGGCTAGTCAGGGTGAGCCCCAATGACACCCCTGGCGATTTTCACCATTTGAAATCAAGATTTATTTTCCGTCGAGTTTTTAGCAACTTTTTCAATGCTTTGAGATATAACACTTTCACAGAGAGAGAAAGCGAGAGGAGAGGAGGATTTTGGGGAGAGGAAAGGAAAGGTGGAGAGGGGGCAAAAGGTAAAGAGGGTGAGAGAAAGGGTGGAGAAGGTAGGAGAAAGGGTATGGTGGGGGAGAAAGATGGAGAGGGGAAAGGTAGAAATGGAAGGGAGTGGAATTGGGAGAGAAGAGAAGACAGGAGGTAGGGAGAGATACCAGGGTACTGCCGGGTACCCCATCTGTGTTATGTTTAACAAAGCTGCGTGAAATAATATCCATACAAACAAGCTAGGTTTGCTCATTTAGTATGCACCCCATACTCATCTAATGAGTGGTAGCAGATCCCATACCCATCCCATTTGTTCACTGTCCTGACACTGACAAAATTATTTATAATGTTTGGCTCATTTGGGCACTTAGTTCTATCTATGTTCCCTTATCCGTTTACAATCCTTGTTAAACATACTCTCCCTAAATGCCTTTTATATTCCTCCTGAGTATTATGTATGTGGTAATCATGTCTGATCTGTCTCTTCTGTCCTTCTTGAGGTTATCTTGAGATGATTTCGGGGCTTTAGTGTCCCCGCGGCCCGGTCCTCGACCAGGCCTCCACCCCCAGGAAGCAGCCCGTGACAGCTGACTAACACCCAGGTACCTATTTTACTGCTAGGTAACAGGGGCATAGGGCGAAAGAAACTTCTGCCCATTGTTTCTCGCCGGCGCCTGGGATCGAACCCAGGACCACAGGATCATAAGTCCAGCGTGCTGTCCGCTCGGCCGACTGGCTCCCCGTCCTCCAGTGACGTGATGAATAACTCCCTTAGTCTTTCCTTCTATTTCATACCTCTCAGCTCTGAGACTAGTCTGGTTGCTCATTCCTCTCTACTTTCTCTACCTTTGTTTTGTGTTTATCGAGATAGGAACTCCACAATAATGTCTCATATTCCAGAATTGGTCTAACATAAACGCTATACAAGATCCCGAACAACTCGACCATGTTCAAATTCCTAATAGCATTTGTTTTATTAGCCAACCTTCCGTATGCACCTGAAGATATGGTGTTGATGTGGGCTTCTGGTGACATGTCAGAACAATTATCAACCAGCGAGGCTTTTTGTCCGTCCGAATCCAAGAGGATTTCCTCTCCCATGTGATACCTTGTGTGTAGCCTACTGTTCCCGTACACACTTTCTTAACATATACATCAACACTCTATCACAGTTTAGCTCAGTTAGCATGGTTACAGTCACATGGTTATTGTCACATAGTCACATGGTTATTGTCACATAGTTACAGTCACATGGTTATTGAGTCGCATAGTGGGTTTAAGAATTGAACTCAAATGTTCTGTGTATATAAAGTACATGACCCACTAGTTACAGGTTTCATTTCCTTAAATTTGTGATAAATATATTATCTCAGAAATAAAATTTCCTCTTGGAATTTTAAATTTTATAATGAACAGTGATAAGGAGAAAATATATAAATCTTCTAATTTATTTTAAACAGTCGTTTCTGAGAATATATGCCCTAATCAGTGCTAAAATAAAAAGTAATTATTATTATTATTAAGAGCTTTATTGACAAAATTTGAGAAAGAGAGAGAGAAGAGAGAGAGAGAGAGAAAGAGAGAGAGAGAGAGAGAGAGAGAGAGAGAGAGAGAGAGAGAGAGAGAGAGAGAGAGAGAGAGAGAGAGAGAGAGAGAGAGAGAGAGAGAGAGACAGAGACAGAGACAGAGAGAGAGAGAGAGAGAGAGAGAGAGACAGAGAGAGAGAGAGAGAGAGAGAGAGAGAGAGAGAGAGAGAGAGAGAGAGAGAGAGAGAGAGAGAGAGAGAGAGAGAGAGAGAGAGAGAGAGAGAGAGAGAGAAGAGAGAGAGAGAGAAGAAAGAGGGGGCAAGCGCTGGTCCATGGGGGGGGGGACATTGAAAGAGAGTTGGCATAATCACAGTCAGATATAAGAGAGAGAGAGAGGATGGACGTCCTTCGATGAACTTCCTGATACACACGCACACACGACATGATAATGGTCCAGGATGGACCGAAACGTGGTCTTCATGTTTTGATGTATGGTTTGGTCACTTATTGCGACTCGTCGTCTGCACATATGTTAATAAAGGATTCACAACATGCCTTTACTTAGGACCTGTGTTGTTTAACAATTTTACTCTCATTCTTTTTCCTAGTGTATTTTAAGCAGTTGACAGCTGGAAGGCTTTGGGCCTATAGCTTGAAACTAACATATCATTTTTGGGTTATAATATTCAAAGTGTATGGTGTTTTTTTATGTTATTTTAATATAGCTTAGGTACAGCTGTTGGACGTTGGAAATGATAGGACGGCGTGGTGATAGGTTGGGAATTGGAACTAGACTGGGAATGATGATGATTAAACAACCCATGAGGTGACACGAGCATAATCAGCCTGTGGGTGGTTGATGTTTAGAGTGAATGTGACAGCTTGATTGATGAAGATTAAGCCACTCAAAAGGTGGCACGGGCATGAATAGCCCGTAAGTGGTGGCATTTTTTAATGTTCTGGACCAAAGAAAAGCTCATCCCCCACAAGCACAACTAGGTGAGTACAGAATGAGTATGGGGTCCCATCACTCCCAGGATGGGTAGAGGATGCATTACCAATTTCAGAATGGGTATGGGGGTATAATAATTAATTGTGTCGGAGGACAGGCAGCCAGAGTGTATATGATCATACTTTTGATTTAAATTGACTCTTATCTCTTGATTTAAATTTAAATAAAAATGTTTATGGATACCGGTGTCCAAACAGCGACCATTGACCTAAAATATATTATACCATCACTACTTCCACAACCTACCTCTAGCATATGAAATATTGATGATCGGTATTAACAGTTAAATTACAAGCATATTTAAGTCAATCATTTTTTTAAATTAAGACTGTAGGTAAATATCAGAGGAAATGGTATGTGTTGTGTTTACACTTTACAGAGAAAAGAAGTCAGTAACCCGCGGACTGGTAAACAAGAGCCCGGTCTGGGAGAGCCCAGGAGCTAGATCTCGGCTGCACAGGTGCTACCTGCATGTGTAACAAAGGGAGGGGAACCTTTAGAAGAAGATAACGACCGAACATGTATTAGAAGTGTTAGGACCTAGTTGTTGTATGTTGTAGTACAGTCGGCCATTGTCGGTAAATGTTATCTTCACTGCTCGTTCTCTGGTCTGGTCTGGTCTGCTGGTCTCTGCTTTGTTTCTGGTGTTTATAGTCCTAAGTCTGTAACTATTGCTCTTAACTGTGTGGCCATAAGTAATATTATTAATTTAGGGATGGAAATTTGTAAAAGAGCAACATTTATATAGGAGTAATTTGGAAACATAACATTTCTTATCATTAACTTCTAGAGGGAGCTAGCATTTATACTACATAAATGGACCCTATAGAATCGGAAAAGACATTAAAGTTATTTGTCTAGGTAATATATCTGTGAAACAGCAGCACCATCACCTTGCTGGTGCTCTTTAGCTCAGGGACTGTACTGATGGTGAATATATATCTTGGGTCTCGTCTGGTAGCCGGTGGTTAGGAAATGTTATCACATTTTTATAGCCTTGGTACTTTATTTTCCTATTTAACGAAAATAAGAACTTTCGGCAAGTACTGAAGTTATATTTAATACTGAAGAATTTATGATCCCATATTTATCCGCAGTGTTGCAAAGTTATAAGATAGCAGGTTGTAGGCCTATTCTTCTGCTTGCTCCTGAGGCAATTTACCGACGACTATGTTTTATGCTCTAAAAGAAAAGAAAATCTTGAAGAAAATCTAGTTTTTTGTTGTGGTCAGGTTCTTAACCAGTTGTACCAGAGTTTAAGTCACAGGTAGGGCGAGGCATTTGGTCATGTTTCCTTACACCTGGTGTGTCAATTTGACTAGCAGTAAGTAGGTGCCCAGGAGCTAGGCAACTGTTGTGGATTGCATCCTGGGGAAAGATCAGTTGTTGGCTTGGGGGGGGGGGACCTCATTAAATCTGACAGTAGTAGACTATATATAATAATATTAATCTATATACTGTATATATATGTATACAGTATAGGTAGCATAAGGTAATTATCAGGAGAAAGCACTAAGCCATTACAACTATGCCATATAGCACTTGAAAGGGATATGATAAGTGTTTTAGAATAGTGCAAAGGAAAGGAATGGTATCCAACCACTTGGTCGAGGATTGAATGGCAACATGCAAGAAGCAAGACGCTCTCTCTACCTATACCTACGGTTTACAGTAAATTGTATTATATTACTGTATACACAATGTATATAGTATTTTAAAATAATTTCCATGAACATTATAGAACAGTTATTTAATTATATATTTATTGAAATGTTACAGATGGGCCACTGTTTAAACTTAGAAGTTGTATAAGTGAATAGTTGTGCTTCAAGATGACCAAGCAAGGTGAAGAGACTACAATGGGGAGTCGGGAGGGTGCGTGGGCAGCAGCAGGCTTTGCAGCTGTACTGGTCTTGGTTGGATTACCTGTGTGGTGGTACACTACAACGGTCTATCGTGCTCAGCTGCCATACTCGGACATCGTAAATTTGTCTGGTCAACTTCGGTATCATGGTGTTGCAATGACCCTTGTTAGTGCAACACCATCAGCATTTTCAGCTGATTTGGAAAGGAATCTTCGATCTTTGCGTAAGTCTACTGTACAAAAGTGTACATGTACATGTTATGTATTGCTGTATTTTGTATAGGTTTTGAAATTAAAATAGTAAAATCTTACAGGGCTTATTCAGTACAGCATTTATATTTAAAATCAATCTTAACATATTATGATGATTTCTAATGTTCATATTATAGTCACAAATTGTTTGTATTTTTTGGTAGTTTATGAGAATAATCATCTATATATCTTTCTATATTTTTACCCTTGCTTCCTTCCAGAGTAAATGAAGTTGAAGAATTCCTTGAAACTCATGAATAAGAATATATAATGTGTGAAGTACTAAAAAATATAATAAAAACTTGAAATATTTTTTTTCTTTTGGTTCTCAAATTTTGTATGGTTTAGTAATCAGAATTTCTAAATTGCTACATCAAATTTAGTTCACTTGTTGGGGGAAGTCTTCTTTCAGTTTTTCCATCAACACAGTCTCTGTTTCACACAATACCACTATACTTTATCATGTGTCTAAGTTGTTTATATATACAGTACTCCATATTGTAAACTACAATGGTCCCAGGACAGCCTTGGAGTACTCCATTTCCATTGTAGTTGACCCAATTTTGATGTTGCCTACCATCTCGTCTTTACATTTAGCTTGTACAGTGCCATAAAACTACAGTATCTCAATGCAATACTATAATATTACCTAAGTTGTACCATTACATTACAGTACTACCAATTTGGATCTCTCATTTTAACTTGTTTCGTAATGAGAGTACAAGGGTACTACGTTTTTCCCTCTAACTTTGCTGTTCTTCACTGTCACTACAGTATATTTCCCAGTTATTTCACAAATATCACCAAAGTTTTCTCAGTACTTCGTAATTTATTTCCAGAGGGTATCAAGTTTCACATATCCTCTAGAAAGCCAAGAAAGGAAGAACTAGATTTGATAAAATCAGCCGAGTCAATAGCTGACCTTGATTCCAAAATGACAAGAAAAATGCATGTTTCTGCTGGCACTTTGGCTGTGTTTGTTGTCCCTGAGCCAAAATATTTTGAAAAAGATAATGTCAGCATAATTGTTGGAAGACACCGACTCATCTTTGTAAGACCTGACGTAGGTTAGTGTATAACCATTTCCTTTACTTGCCAGCTCGTATTATTTAGACTATAATAACATTTCCATTACTTGATAGATTCTAAATATTTATACGATGTTGCAGACATTGTTTGATTATTGTAATTCTTTTTCATATTGGGAATACGTACTTCATGCATGAGGGAATTGCCTTGGGAGGAATCTCACAAAATATGTCAGTATAGTAATTTCAGTTTGTAATTTAGTGACCAATGATTGATGTGAACCTTTGTTGGTATCGGTTTACATAAGAGTTCAAGTGCATTGTTAAGTTTTTCTGACCATTTGCAGTAAGTGGTGACTGTGGAGTAAATAGTGATGTCATTTATAGTGTTAGTTTTGGAGGTCTTGTTTAATGCCTCATTTGTTGAGGCATTATTGATTATGCCATGGCATTAATTAAACTTTCAATAAAACGGTTCAGGTACTTCTAGTGGTATATGAATAAACATTTGTTTAAATACAAATTAATTAGCTATTAAATATACCTAGTAAATCCTAATTTTAAAAATTAATTAATATGGATAGGATTGGGAAATTTAAATTAACATTTTTGTAAACTTTTTGTTTGTTATTTAAAGTACAAATAAACTTTCAGATATGCAGTCATTGGCAACAGTGGTAAAGACTATGGTGATAGACCCACTGGCCAACAAAAGGGCACTAGGAAGTAGGCTTCTACACCAGCTCCCTGGCATGCACAAGAAGGAAGCAATGAGACAGGTTAGCCAAGATAATGCATTCTTTAGATTGATTTTTTTTAGAAATAACATTCCTAAGTGATAGAAGCAAAACTAAAGGAATTACACATTATGTTCTGGCCCTGGAATGCATTCCAGTTTTCTGTAAAATCCTTGACAGATTCCTAGAGAGATAATTGGGGAGCTTTGGTGAACAGTATATATATCTTGAGTTGGTTACATACCTTGTGCTTTAATATGTTTATAGTAAATATTTTAAATAAAAAAGTTGTACTGTATATTGTGTGTATTACCGGGTACATAGTTTTGGGATTTGAATTGGCATCTACAGGTACCAACAGAACCAGCATATGATGTGACCTTAACACTGATGGTGCCAGAACCTCACCGCACCAGAATTGACTGGGATGCCAAGGCTGCAGTGAATGGTAACTAATTTAATTTTTACTAGCTAGAAATTTGGGGAATTTTAGTGTGTGCTCTTGCTTTTCATTAAGTTCCTCTCGTGTCCAAGTGTTATTTTCTGGTGGGCTGTTGTCATTTAGGATTATAATTTTGTCTTCTTGGATTTAGATCTTAATAGTATAATATCCTTATACTGTACTGTATTGTGGATTGTCAAGTGTTAATTCTTTATGACAATTTTAGTCATTTTTCCCCTTTTTGTTCTATCACATCTCTAAATTGAACATCCTCTTGGAAATATCATCTTGTTTAGTTGTCTCTCTTTTAGTTTCATCTCCCACAAGGCAATGATATCTGATTCTTTATTATAATGCAGTATTACTTAGTTCTAGCACTTTTAAATTAACCACATCAGTGTTTTATATAAAATTTCAATCAACTTACTTCCTCTTGTTTAAGCTCTTTTCACCTGTCTCACCGAGTTATTCCAATGGTTATTAGATTTCATTTCACTAGGTGTCTTAGCCCTATTATTCTGTTTTCTTTCCTTAGTTCTGTTAGTTCAACTTTTTTGTGTATTCGTATACCTATTGGTACTTGGTGTTGGTACTACCAGCAATAACTATGCTTGCACTCTGTTTTTTTAGTATAGTTTGTTATCAGTATTTGTAACACTTAAAGAGTGCTTATAGATTATCGTCTTTTGTTCTATACCATTGTTTTTAACAGCTCTTAATGTTGGCCTGTTTTCTTTATTTCTAGGTTCAGAATTTGATAAGTTTTCTTAAATCCTTTTATAAATGTATATACTGTACAGTACTTACAGGTATATTACTTCTTTCCTGTCTAAATTGTCTTCTAAATTGGATGTATCCAGTATCTTTAGTTTTTCCTCATAGTTAATTTTTCTTAGCTCTTAAAGTCCAAAAGACATGTAATGGACTTTTATATTATAGCTGTGTTTGTTTAGGCATGGTCACACTATTATTGCTGTATATTCCAGTTTAGATCTGACGCATGTCTGCGAGTCTGTGTTTGTAGTTTGTCTTGTGTTCATGATTGTAATATTTTTGGACAGTACTGTATGGTGATATTTATGATTCTCATTTTACAGATTACCTGCAACCAGTGGTGAATCAGTTAGAGAAGGTTACAAAATTGATTGTTAGATCTCAAGTATTGTATATGTCTGGCCTCAACGTCTCCCCAAAATGGTCTACACACCATGATCATTATGCCTTGCCCCAAGAGCAGTTGCCTCTCACCATTAATGCAATTGAGGCCAAATTAGGTATGTAAATTTTTAAGTTGTGCAAGCTACTGTGTTATATTTAGCTGCTCCCTACATTAAGATACTACTGTGTCCTGGAAAAGGATTATGCACAGTCAGTTAGTGTCATACAATAAGGTGTTACAGGGAAGTATCAAGCATCCCTTACTGGGTCCTATATCTGCTTAGGAACTCGCTGGAATGTAATCAGTCCAGCCCAGAATGGCCACCCAAGGTCAATTCATGAAAATTCAAAGCACTTCTGAGCCATCTCTTGGCATAACAGGTGACCACCAAACATAAGAATATTTAAGAACTTAAACATGGAGGTTTTCAAGTCCAAGCACACTCTTTATGTGAGACCATTATATGAGTATGCAGCACTAGCAAGAGAAAGTTCAGAGATTTGTAACTAGATTAGTACCAAAATTGATAGTGCTCTCCTATGAGGACAGGTTGAGGGAATGTGCCCTCACAACCTTAGAGGACACAAGAAACGGATGGGATATGATCACTTTATACAAGATCCTAAGATTAAGAGACTAAGTGGACAAAGTAAGTATTTAAATTAGTAGGAGGTAGGACAAGGAGATATTGGTGAAAGCTGGCATGCAACTGAGTCGCAGAGATGTAAGGAAGTTCTCGTTCCCTGTACGAGTGGTCGGCATGTGGAATGTATTGAAGGAAGAGGCTGATGAAGCAAACTGAATTTAAGAGAAAAATATGATGAAAACCTTAGTGATATGAGTGGTTGAACATTTGATAACACTTTTGAAAATGTCATAATGCTGTATAAGATATTTTTACATTACATAAGGTAAATTATATAAATGTTAAATAAATGAACATAATGTAGTTAATTTTGGTTTGGGGATTGTTACAATAATTACAGTTTTATTTAAGTTGAAATTTGACAATACAGGGTGATGACAATTTGAATGTAATTGTTGAATAGAAGGTGTCATATTTGGTAAGATGGTGTTTATATAATTAACTTTAAAACAATTGGTTTTACTGAATATCAAGTAAAGATGCAATGTATGAACTTGTTTATATATGTATGTGTGTGTGTGTAGGATTGCTATAATGCTTGACTTCAGTTTTAATTTGGCCAGCATAATGAATAAAATTTTAAGGTTTGACAAAAATATAATTTTTTTGTTTTAATTTCTAATTTAAATTAAGACTGATGAACAGTTAAATGTTTTTGGAATGAAATATTGCAGTATTATTTAGAATACTGTATGATGCTGATGCAATAATGAAGGGCACAATGTAACTCAAATAAATGATTATAATATATATATAAGAATGCATACATGGATAAATATGTATAGTGTGGTTTATACATGTAGTTAACAGTAAATAATTTAGGTAAGACACACGAATATGGATTGGGCATCTTGCTGGAGGAAGCCAAGCATTTATTGTAACAAATAATCTGCAAGAAAAACACAATAGGGATGACCTGTGATGCAGACAGTACAGATGTTCGCAAGCATAAGAGCCTAGGTTTAACCCCTGGGCAGGATGAGACTTATGTCATATGATGCCTGTGTTCTACTATCGGTAAGTAGGAACCCGGCGTTAGTCAAGTATTGTGGGTTACATCCTGGGAAAGGTCAGTCATCAGCCTAGGGGTGACCTTAGTAAACCTAAGAGGCTTCCTGTCTTCAACAATGATGAACTTTTGCATTTATTTACAGTAAATACTTAATACCACAGTTAATTTTGTAATTTTTTTTCATATTTTAGGATCATTTGTATGGACTAGGCCGTCTTTACATTTTGTGATATATATTCCACGAGAGAAACAGAGGCCTCTCCATATCCACACATCAGATGGTCAGCCACTTGAAACAAACAGGTAATGTGTATGTGATTTTGAAATATGGAAATAGATATAAGCTTCTGTCTAATGCAACATTTCTGACAAATTGGCTATGTAGCACGATAAGATTTTTCTCAAGGGATTGTTATTTTTGCACTCGTATATTGTATTCCAAACTGATATCCCTCGGGTTCAAATACCTTTTCACCCTTATCTCTCTTAACTTATTCCCAGCCACCTGCTTCATCTCCTTTGATATGAACACTTTCTCGTCCCTTCTTCGTTCCATACCTCTACCTGGTTCTTTGCCTCCTCCGTCATCATCTCTGATTCTCGCGCTCTTTCACCCTTGTCCCTCTAACTTGTTCTCTGCCTCCTTTTTTAAGTAACTTAAGTAACATAAATTAAGTGAATGTGGAATATAAACACAACATATAAACTATTAATATTAATGTACAGTACAGTATATGTTCATGTTTATCTAGGATGCCTTGAAATACTTTCAATGTACATTTTGTAGTTTATAATATTTAATTGGATTCAAATAATGTGGGTCATGTTGAATCAAAATTTACCTTATGGAATTTATTGTACTGTAGTCTCAGTTATTTTAGTGTCCAAAACTAGATCTTGTAGAGTAAATTCCTGTAAAAGTTTATGACCAAAATTGATCTTTTATATTTTCTTTATCTGTTTTTTCTGTGTACTGATGTCATTGTTCAGCCTTCCAACCCAAAAGCCACTTCAAATCAAAATAGAATTAAATTTTGCTTTGTAAAAAGGGGCCTAGTTTTACTTTTATTTTCTTCCTAAGAACAATGGTTTGCTTTGTTTCACCTGAAACTTTCTGGGCAGTTTTATCGGGTTTGGGTTGATCGCTGTCATGCTCCTTTTGCCTCGCTGAGCAAGCCAGATTTGGGTCGTGGTATGCAGTGGGCTACACCGGTCATAGGGGACCTGGCATGTTTTCAAGAGGCTCCATTGTACCTGACCGTTTAGTTCTCGGAAGCTGCTGAAGAGTTGCACAGAAAGATGCATTTCATTACACTTGATGCTTTTATTTTTATATATTTCAGCTTCTTAGTCCCACGTTGGGGTGGAGTAATGATCCACAACATCCCTCCAGCTGAAGCAAATGCATCATTTCCTCACCATGTGACACTGGATTCTCACTGGATCATGAGTACTGTTCTTACTCATCTTCACAGATTACTGCCAATACCATCTGTGGTGAGTAGTCTATCTTGTAATCATTTTGCTACTACATTTTGTGTAAGATAGTGCAATGTTGCGTGCTTTATGCTAGCTGAATTATTGAATCATTTACATGCATGATAAATACTAATACTAATGTTCATTGTGTCAGTTAAATATAAAGTGAATATACAACTTTATGGTTCATATTAACATTAATGATGCATAAATCCTTTTAACCCCTTCTCTGCGACCCCCCCCCCCATCTTCTTCATGACCCTTTATTTCTCTGCGACCCTTGTGACTCCCTGCCTCTTCATGACCCCGTTACTGTATCTGATCATGTCTTAAGGACAAGATAGCTTCTACTGTAAGAGGGGTAGCAAAATGCTCTGCTCTTTTTATATAACATTAAGGCCTAATTTTTGTTGCTTTGGATTCTTTGCAGAAAGAAATGGAGGGCCTGAAGTTATTGCCTTCAGAGAATACATGCCTGCTGACCGAGTGGCAGCTTGATGGCTTAGCACGGGCCAGAGTCTCGTATTATTTGTCCAGTATTCGCATTACATTACAGGTAAAAATGTGGATCATTCCAATGGCTCCAATAATTTCTTGTAATATTGAGTCCAGCTACAAAAATCATTAAAAACATAATTGGAGCCATATTAAGAGTGTTACCATTCATACCCTAATATTTCCCAAGCTCTATGGGTGATTTCAATGAGTGAAATATTAGTCATATGAAGGACAGCTACCATGAGAACTTATCTGTAAAGAGATTTAACCAAATCTAGCATAATTCCCATGCCCAAGCCTCAAAATCTCATTTTCAAAGGAAAATAGGCCCATATTTTACTGAATATATACCTCTGCAACTGGAAATAAAAAAAGAACCATAGAATTTGGTTTTAAATATGCTCAGTGACTTTCCCAAGGCTTTGACTATTTGTTTTTATGTTGCCTCCGTCTATGAACTTGGTCCCAGGCAGTTCCACATATCCGAGGCTTCCATATAATCAAATCGCTTCTCATTTGTCAAATTGGGCGAGTAAATCTAGCATGGAAAGCGTGTGTTCTAACTGGAGATTCGCCAAATCGAGGTTTATTGAATACAGGTTCCATTATCATTAAACTGCAGATCTGACCATGGTGAAATAGTAATACAGTATTATAACTTTGTCTTTTCCAGTCATTGTGGGAGCTCGTTGGAGAAATTAGCAACATGGTAATAAGTGATGAAGTTGGCGGGTGGGTGTGGGGAGCAGTAGAGGAATGGAGTGAATGTGGTCAAGCAGCCCGAGAAGGAAGGCTACAAGAGGCAACTCTTTACTGCAGTCGATCCTTTACCCAGGCTGATGCTGCTTTCTTCCATCCTTCCATGTTAGCACTGCTTTACTTTCCTGACAACCAGAAGTAAGTAAATTTTTGTTCCGTGTGCAGTACTTGTTTCTCGTGTATTTTAGATAAAGATTAACTACTGTATGAAAGAGTTGTCATTTTCTGGTTAATGTGTTTTGTGCTCAGGTTTTATAATCAGAGCTTAAACTTGCTGCACATTGAATTGCGTAAAAAACTATATATTTTAGTATCCTAATTGTTTCAGTCGGTGTGTGGTGAAAATACCTTCACTTGTTGTATTTGAATTTATGTGACCAATTTATTTTCATACAGGTATGCCATATACGTTCCATTGTTCCTGCCTGTGAGCATACCTGTACTTCTTTCCCTCAAAATGGTGTTGAGTCTGTACTGGAAACCTGCAGCAAGAAAGGAAAAGGTGGACTAATTTCTTGTCATAAGTGTGTTTTGTTGAAACATTGTTGTCAGAAGGAATGTTTGTGGCTAATTTGAAAGAATAGGTTGTGTTTTATAAAATGTTTGTAGATGCATTTCTAGTTGGAAGTCTTTTGGCTGGTCAGGTACATTATTGCATGTGATAAAGATGTTTAATGTGACTTAAAACTTTATGTAGAGCCAGAACATTTCTCATTGAATTCATATTTTTTGTTTAAATTACAGTACATTAATTTGATTTTTATCATGCATTGTCATCCTTGCTTATCCTCTGTTTTTTTGTGAGACAAAATTTCAAAAGCTAGTGATGTTTTGTAGGCATGGCAGATGCAACTTAAATAATTTATGGGGGTTAGTGATTGCAAATCACAGGTCAAAGTTGGAGCGTAGTTGTGCTGGATTTAGACACAGTTCAGAATAATAATTCTCGTTTTTATTCATTTTAGTATCGGCTTTGATGCCTTTATTGTAATGTGTGTTCTGGTACAAGCTGAAGTACAGTACAGTACTGTATAGTAATTGTTACAGGCACAATGAGGGTTGTGTACCACAACAGGATAAGAATATGATGCACTCAAATTTCATAAATATACTACTTCTGACATTAACCCAAGTTTGAAATTTGAGTCAATAGAAGCAACACTATCTCAAGTCATTATTTTGTAACATTGACCGCAACAGTTTGGATCATCATTATAAACATAATGTTATACGTGGGGGTACCCAGCAGTCTCTCTCCCCATCCTCCCATTCCATCCCTCTCCCCCTTCCAGCCTCGGACAGACAGGCATTGCCATTTATAGACAGTATTTAGGTGTGCCCTTGCCCCTACCACCACCAGTATTGCCTCTTACCCTTAGATAAGACTCCCTATACAGTCCTCATGACACGGCTTTTAGTATCCTGACATAAGATATGGGACATTACTCATGATTGGCAATGATTAAAACACAATGTCATGGATTATTTTTGCAAAACATCTGAAGAGCAATTAACTTCTCAATTTACAAGTCTAAAAAAAAACCATTCACTAAGGTGTTATACGTTAAATACTGCATTATTTGTAGTGTAAAGCACCCCCAGGATGCACGGTATTTAGTACAAGACCACTGTATCATTCAGGGCACAGTTAACCATTATAATGCTCCAGTCACTATATGCAGTTTTTTCCCCCATTTGATTTGTCAACTATTTTAGATATGTGCATTTAATGTAATAGTTTTAAACAGCTGCACAGTTTAGGAGTTAACAATTCAATATTATTGTTTGCATTAAACCAAGTGATGTTTTGTATGTGATGTATTACTAGTAAGATTGTGTTAGACTTAAAGTTGTAAATACAGGAAGTCTAGCATCCCTTGTATTTGTTTCATTATATAAATTGATTAACAAGAATTAATTGGTAAAGTTTAACAATTTTTAAAGATTAATGCATTTGAAATACATAATATTTAGATGGAATTAATATAACAAATATTATTACTAGTTTATTATGTAGACATAAAATAAAATGCTGTACATTTAAATTGGCAATTATAATACTAATCAACAAGAATTTAATTTAACAAATGATATGCAACACTGAATTAAAATTAAGAAATGTTGGGTTATTAATTATTTATAATTTTTTTTAAACACTGTACTGTATGTAAAAAATATTTTTACATTTGTAATAATGTGATTTAACATTCCAGAATCAAGCACAGTAACTGTCCAAAATACCTATAAGATGTACAGTACTGTACTGTACTTGCAATATTTAAGATATTTGTGTAGACCAAAACAGCAAAGTGAGGACTGGTACAATATTTAAATTAGATTTGTATATGGCAGTTTATACATTAGTTATATAGTTCTGTATGTTGTTTTAAGTATAGTTAGATATTACATTTTTAATAAAAGAAACAATATAATAATTTGTTCTATAACAAAGCAGTAAAAAAGGCTATATTATGGTACCATACTTGTACTATAGTGTCTCTCTCTTGCATTAGTGGTCCACTGGTATTAACCTTTGGTCACGTATACATCTAATGTAGTTGACGTACATCCACTTTATTATTTTAGTGGCTGGTCGACCAAGCAAAGTGGAACACCAGTGTGTACGTATTTAGATTCAGAAATTCAGACCTTGTTTCATGAAGAGGAAAATGAAGAGAAAATGGTGGTGATCGAGTTGACTGCTTGTTCTTCATTCACTAGTAACCTAACTAAATTTAATAGGTTGCTAAAGTCTTTAAAATAATTAGAAAAGACATTTCTTAAATTGATTGGCTAGTAGTCGGTTAACAGATCAAGCAGATATATATCTACTGTACTGTGATTTTCGTATCTATACAGTACCCACCATATAAAACATTTCACAAAATTTGTATCTAGTCATTTTATTTGTACAGTATACTTTACAGCAATTTTAAGGCTTAGTCCAAAGAAAATATTATTGCAAAAAACTTATTACTATAAATAATTTATTAAATATTTGATCAGTAGCTTTAACATTTATTAAAATGTAATAATGATTTTGATTTGTAAATACTGTACTGTAATGACCTTAATCAAATAATGGTGGTCCCAAATTAAATAAAATTATATCTAGTTGGACTGAATCAAATTTTCTAGTAATTTGTAGGCAGTATGCAAAGGGCAATTTGATAATTCCTGATGTAGCTGCTGTAAAACTAAATAAACTGACAATTATTTCATAATTCCTATCAAACCTAGTTTTATCCTGCCAGTAGTCATATATGGCTGAATCTTTACAGACATACAAGTACAAATTGTGTCAAGATGTGTAATATTACACATGGATGAGCAAGCAGGTGTAAAGTACGGCATGTGTGTGTAACAAGATGTATAATACGACCAGTGTGTATGAGCAAATGTTGCTTTCAGCAACAATGGTCATCACTGCATTACTCTGCTTCCTTGAGGTGAGCAGGAAGGGGCCTTTCCTGCCACTGTCCAACCTGGATGTTGAAGATTCTCCCAAGCATCTCATTAGATTGTTCCTCCTGTGTATTCTCCTCCTCTGGTAGCTCCCACCAGGGGGCGTCGCTGTACAGCTCGGGCCATGTCATGGGATCAAAGGGTGCGAAGTTTAGAAGAAGGCCTTGAAGAAAGGAGGACATCACAAGTCAGGTTGGAACGATAAGTAGATTAGTATAAAATATGTCAAGTTAAACTAGGAATTCCTAAATAATAGATTTGGCTTCAAGTTATGACATGGAAAGCATATACGAATATATAGTTATGTGATGTTTATAATTCACATTACACTACTATATATTTGTAGTGTGATGTGAATGTTTCTCTCTCTGATGGATGTATGTATGGGAGAGAGAGAGAGCGCGAGCGAGAGTGCTAGCTAGCTAATTAGTTCAGCTGAGAGTTTAGCTGAAGATAGCTTAAAAGTAAAGCTTTAGTCAGTAATAACTGCTGGCATAATAAACTTGTGTACATATAAAATGAGCAGGGTAAGGAGAGGTTGTGGCACCTACCTGCAGTGCCACCAGACACTATTGCCAACAGGAGGGTGATGAGGGTGGCCAAGGCCTGGTGGAGAGCCTGTTGTTGAGCAGTGCGACCTTCACCGGGAACCAGGTCTTCCAGCTCTTGCAGGAGGCTTTGGAGACTGGCGGTGGTGTTCTCGGCAGGGACCATACGAGGATACTGCAGGTACAGCCTATATAAAACAAGACAATTTTAAAAATTTAACTGCCCCAAGATTTGGAAAATATGAAATTATAATATATATTGGTATATTATGATGCTCTTGTTATGCATATTTCTGTATTTTTGTTATAAATTTTCAACATGTCAATTTTATAGAGGTTATGTGTGCATGTACGTGTTGTGGCTTAACCAGTCCCCAAGCTACATGTAACCAACCCCTCATGTCTGAAACCTGGAACACCGAGGGGAAAACCCAGTATTATATCTACTTTCCTAACAAAGAATATAAGTAATTGGAGGCTGAGCTAGGCCTACAAATCTTCTCAATAAGATACTGTACATCCATTCACAACCCTCCCACACTCGTGGACTTACTGGTTGTACTCACTCCTTGCCGTAGTTATCCTCCGAGGCGAAGAAGGCGGTGCCTATAGAAACGCAGGCGGAGAGGAGGCCCGGCAGGCCGTGCAGATTGTGGACGCCGCAGGTGTCGTGGAGACGAGTCTTCTCCTGAAGCCACCCCTGTTGCCACAGTCTCGACAGGCCAGCCACCACCCCAGGGAGGAGACTCATCTTAGTACTATTAGCACATTGCTGTGTATACCTAAGTTTGTTAATTAACAAAATTATAACTAGTCATAAGGAAGATTTCAAATAATTATGAAATCCTTCATTGCCATTAGCATTGCAATTTGTTAGCGTAGTGGGCCAACACCAAACTGGACCAGAGTTCGATTTCCAGGCAGGGGGGGGGTAGACTCTTCCTTACACCTGATGCCTCTGTCCACCTACCAGTAAATAGGCACCCGCTACTTCAGCGACTATTGTTGGTTACAACCTGGAGAAGATTAGGTTTAAATCTAGGGAGACTTCGATAAGTCTACAAGATTTTGTCCCAGAAAGTGGGGCGGCCAACCTGTCCTCAGCGTCGCTAGAACATTGTGAAGTGTATAGGATATACCTGGAGGTGTGTATAGCCGAGAGTGGAGAGTGTACCGGCGCAGTACCCCAGGAGGAGGGCGCCCCAGGGTTGGATCATGAGACCGGCCACAGCACCCACTGCCACGCCTCCTGCCAGCGTTGCGTTCTGCACATGTACCATGGTCCACTTGTGTTGCCTGCGTCACCATGTAACGGCACTCTTAGTAATCATTATCAACACCATGAAGTACACACCACTTATGTCAAAAAACTTTATGGTGGTATGTAGTCATGGCTCTACGACTAAACGTTCACAACTTATAGCGAGCCTAGCTAGAGACTATGCGTACTTGTGTGTGACGGAGGAGACAATGAAGGAGGCGAGGGTGGAGCCTGAGAGGGCGAGGTAGGTGTTGATCACAGCTCGACCTTGACTCGACCCACTCTCGACCACCCCGTTGAACGACGGCCAGTACACCCACAGGAACATCGTACCTGTACACCAGGCTGACGTGAATATTTTCATAAGGGTAATACGAATAAAACAAAGCACACCAAACAGCAGTGTGTTGAGTTAGGGTATTACGAAGCTCTTACCCATGCTGAGCGAAGTGGGTGCACTATCCGAGATTAACGTTAATGCAAGGTCAATGTTGAATTAGCGTTACTTTGATATTGTGACCACTGGTTATGCGGTGGCCAAGAGGTTAAAGCCACTTCTTGCAATGGAAGTCAATTGGAAATTAGAAGACATACAATGACTCTTTCCGCGAAATGTTTGACAATTGGATGTCAAAATTGAACTAAAGTCTAATCTTGCGTTCGAATAAAACACAGATTATCTTATGGACCTTTTGAGTTGAAGAATTTGTTGAAAATTTATTTACGTTAAAAGTAAAATTTTAACAGTTTAATGACAAAGTACAAGGCGATATTTGAATACAGCAATGTATAGCAGTTCTCATTCAACTGCATTGTATTGTGGAGCATCAGTTCATCAATCTCCCATTGTATACAACATTCTCACTACCGATGGAAACCCAACCTCATGTTACGCCACATCACCTCTTACAGACACTAGGCGGCCAGTAGCCACGGGAATAGTGGAAAATGCACGATACCTTAGGATAGCAGTGATAAGCAAAGTACGAGAAAGCATGAGATAAGTGCCAGTGGCATACCGATCATGGAGAACATGTCGGAGATGTAGCTGGAGGCCTCCTGGGCGTGGTGCTTCACACACATCCTGCGCGACACACTCCTCGAGAACGCCAACCCGAAGTAGGCGCCGAAAGTGTGGATGAAGATGGAACCTAAGAAGGTGCAGTAGGTTAAGACTGTAGGTTGGCATAAATTCCGCAGTTTTAACCAGCTGTCCTCTAATACATGCCTCAATAACCTTTTATTGTTAAACATTTATCTAGGATTTTTAAATGTAACAGTTTGTGTTGAATTAACCATTCCTTTTAATCTGTAATCCTTCTTATGTTCCCTGTGGCAGTATTGACATAAGATACTCTCCAAGATCAATATGCTCGGCAAGCATAAATTTTACTTGAAATTACGAAAGCATTACATTTGTGTTGTCAACAAAATTATAAGGCTTAAGTAAAATAATTAATCTTTTTCTCCGTCAACAAAGTGTGTATAAGTGTGTATTAATATAAGTAATTTCAAATTCAATTTAACTTGTAGAGGAAGGTCACATTGTATAATGATTCATTATACGCAACTATGAACAGAGACGCCCGCCATTTGTGACTCAGACCTGCTAATCCCCAGGGGAATGTGCGTTGAGAGGTCAGGTCCCTACCCGAAACTTCTGGAACCTTCTGGAATAATTCTTACAACAGCCTAGTTTGTTACATTGAGGCTACCTTGAGGTGCTTCCGGGGCTTAGTGTCCCCGCGGCCCGGTCGTCGACCAGGCCTCCTGGTTGCTGGACTGATCAACCAGGCTGTTAGACGCGGCTGCTCGCAGCCTGACGTATGAGTCACAGCCTGGTTGATCAGGTATCCTTTGGAGGTGCTTATCCAGTTCTCTCTTGAACACTGAGGGGTTTGCCAGTTATGCCCCTCAGGGCAGGGCGAGATACAAGGTCTGTGGAGGATAGGACAAGAGATAGGATAGGACAAGATAGGATAGGAGAGAATACGTGGGGGTCGAGAGGCGTGCCTCGTCTATTTAACCATTTCCGTCGTCTACAGATCCACTTGATTAACAACATTGACAAGATAGTGTTCCTAACAGTGGATCAGGACTAACTCTCACCACCGTGGTCGACAGCACCAAGGAGACGGTAGCCCAGGTGAGCGTTGACCTGGTAGACGGGCACCTCCAGCAGCGCCATCAGGAGCAGCTGGGTGGGGGAGGTGGTGCCCAGTGTGGCGCCCACGGAGATGAGGACAGCGGCGCAGGCGAAGTTGGCCTCCACCACACTGACGGGGACCAGGAAGCAGGCAGCGGTCAGCTCAATACCTCATTATTATACACACCAATTACAGTATACTGTGTTAATACTCTCCAGTATTGTCCACAGCCAACCTTAGTATATTTAAAGTTATACAACTCTACATATGCATAACACAACTCTCACATGAACTTATTAAAGCCTACACATTCTCCACCTGAGCATACTGAAGACTACACAGCCCCCACCTGAGCATATTGAAGGCTACACAGCCCCCACCTGAGCATACCGAAGGCATACCAATTCTCACCTGAGGACATTGAGGGTAATATATCCGGCGCGAGAGGTGAAGAAGCCTTGGGTGAGCAGGGCGAGCTGAAGGGTAAGTCCCGTCATAAGGAGCGTGGAACCTAGGGCGGTGTGGCCGAACCCTCTCAGGAAGGTCATGAGGAAAGCGAACCCCACCACCATCATCACCCCCACGTCCTGCAACACTGACCAGGAGGCCGCTTGGATATGTAGATTGTGTGGGGGGGGGAAGGTGCCGATGGAAACTTAGATTGGGTGGGAGAGGAGGGTCACATACTGGAGTACATGTTCATAATATTTACATTGATGGCTCCTTGCACCAGTCCTGTGGTGCAGTTGTTGCGACAGCGGGAGATGGATCCTATTCCTATGAGTGAGGAGCGCCTATAATTGGGCCTCCACTCTTCTGATAGAATTGGTTGCCATACTCCTTCCGTTCCAACGAGTATATGAATCCAAAGTCGACATTAATTATAAGAGATTCTTGTCATCTTTGGCTGCACTCAGCTCCCCAAGGAATGTGACATGCTTATTGTCTGAAGTTAGGAACAAATATAATGAAGTAATCAATGATTGAGTCAGAGTTTGACTTTTTTGGACTCCTTCCCATATTGGTCTCCGAATGCATGATAGAACTGATGAGTTAAGCCAAAACTTTTGCTCTTAAAGATAATTGAATACCATCTTGGCCTGCCTTGGCCTCGAGGGGTAATCTTTCGGGAACCGCAACAAAATCTAGCAGACTTGAGAAAATGAATTTCACACCATCTGGGGACATTTTATCCATCCAGATGGACATCCCCCATCTGGGTATATTTTGTCGGGGACAGAAAGCCTGAGTGTATATATATACTTTATGCTAATATGGAAGTCCCCTTCCCACCCCCGTTCCAACTACTGACCTTCCCCAGGATGCAACCCTACAACAGTTGCCTAAGTACCCTTTTACTGTTAGCTAAACAGAATCATTGAGTGAAAGGAAACGTGGCCAGCCATGTCTGTCCCGCTCGGAAATCGAACCCGAGATCCACGATTGTGGATTTTGAGTCAAGAACTCACAACCAAGTCAAGAATCCAACTGCACTAAAAATCTTAAATCAAGGACCCTTTTTAATTGTGCAGCAGTGTTTTAAAATTCATTGCTCTATCTTTAATCATATTCCCTAAAACCAATATAAAATGCAGACAAAATATAACATATAAAAAAAATCTATAGTACCTATACTTATTATTAACATCTTTATAGACAAAATATACAATTGTGCCTGAACTACAATCTGAGTAGTTCAAGTAGGTGTTATTACAGCCAAGTGCTGCTGGTATTCACTGCCACACAGGACAGGGTCACACACAAGACTGGAGCACATACCACATTGGTGAAAATTACGTCACTCAAGAAGTGGCACGGGCATGAATAGCCCGTGAAGCACATATACCAGTTATACTTACTGGGATAATATGCTTGGAGGGCTGGGGTGGTGTGACCGTGCTGGCGGGTGTGGTTCCATTTGGTGCCGTCGTAGAACGTGTCGTACCGCACAAACACCGCGAACACCATCAACATTAAGAACTCAATCAGAGAAGCGTAAGTCACGAACACTCCAATTCGTCTCGCCAGCCGCAACATCACCCTGCAACATTATTAGTTAGGTCAAAGTGATTTGGTCTGGCCAGGGAGGATTGACTGCACGCCAATCCCTAACTGTTGGCTCCTGTTCACCCAGCAATAATTGGCCATGTTGTGGCCTAGTCGACTAAGGCAGCGTCTGGGATCATCATGGGCGTAAGTTCGAGCCCTCATCACGGCCCTTGTGGATTTGTTCAATTGGGTATCTGGATGTTAAAAGATTGATAGGCTGTTTTCCTGGGACAACTAGTAGGTAAGGCTTATCATGAGCTACGGAAAGGCAAAGTTCGTAAAGAACTTAGGAACGAAAAAAGAAAGGGAAGGGTCCTCAAAGAGCGGTCAAGAGTCTTGTGTTCCTCTACCTACCGGCATACAAAAATACCAATAAGACTAATATAGGTTATGTGCTGGGAAGGGTCACGAGATCATGGCTGTGTGTCGAATGAGAGTCACGAAATAAAGGCTAGCTGTCCAGGAAGGTCACCTGACATATGGCCCTAACACCTGCTGGGTCACTGGTGACTGAAGATGTCTTGGGAGCTTCTCCCTAACGACTCGCAAGATGGCTGCTGGCGTTGAGCGCACAGAGCCAAGATGCCAGGCAGGCGGTCAGACTCTGTGAGGAGCCCATCTCTCGCCTCAAATTCAAATTTCAAATTCAAAATTCAAATTCGGCACCTCCTGCATTCGAAATTCGAGTTGAAATTCGACACTCAACACAATTTCCCTAACATGTAATCTGAGGACATGTTAGTAACTACTCGCAGTGAAGTTGGTCCGCGGGACCTGGAGGTGACCACAGCTTCTACAGCGAGCACCTGTCAGTAACTGAGGCTCTTGTGTCACTCACCAGTCATTGAGGTCCGCTCAGAGTGAAGGGGGTAGGGGGGGGGGGTTAGGTAGGAGGGGGGGAATGATCAATGGTGTAACTGCTGGCACACAATACCAGATTATGGATGATCGTGTCCTAAATCATGCAATCATGGTCAGATCCACGTGATCTTTGACATCCTGTTGATCTTTGTGGTTAGGAGGGCTACCCACTGAATGTTAACATGTGGGGTTAACCTGTGTAGTTAATATATTTGGCTAACCTAAAGGGTTAATCACGGAAAAGAAAGTGGTAATTTAGTCCCCATCTGGACTACTGTCTCCATGCATGGAGACCTCATCTTCAAAGGCACATATCTGCCTTGGAGAAAGTTCAACACCGAGCGACAAAAATCATCCAAAATCTCACGTACCAGATAAGGTTGAAGGCCCCAGGACTAACAACACTACAAATCAGACATGACTGGGCTGATTTCAGAGACCTTTAAAATACTGACCTAGAAGACATTATTACAGACCACTTCATATAAAGGTCTAAAGTAATGCACACTAAGGCCAACAGCTTCAACACGCCAAAGCTAGCCTAGGTCAGTAAACATGTTTTTTTCACCCACGGAGTAATAAACCCATGGGATCGCCTACCTCGCCGAAGCTCCCAAGACAATATTTCAGACAAAAATTAAAGCTTGTAAAAAATAAAAATAAATAATGGAGGGACATTTGATAAATATATCAAAAGAAGGCGCCATGCCGGGGAGACATGGCAAATCTCACAACAGAGATTTGCACAGTTGAATAACCACCTTTTTTCCCCTTGGAGTCTTGCAACTTTTTCAGATACTCCTTTCCTGTACATTTTGAGTGTTATTACGGCATAGTTAAAGCCATCGAAGTTTTCGTGAAATTATTATATAATGTTGGTATTTTACTTGTCTTCCAGTACATGCAATTCCATAACAGGGGTCGAGCAACTGATAGGTAGGAACCCTTTGCTCTACCCCACGTTGTCCATTGTATAGATGGCGTGACTCCATGTGTTTTCCAAGCTTACTTTTTTCGAAGCATCGAAATCTTTAAAGATTTCGATGATATGCGATGCAAGTGCCATCGGTTTACAGTTTTTCAGAGATTGATGTATGCCAATAGCATCAATAATGCAAAAAAGAACGAGCGTGGTCCAGACCGAACAAACGCTGCTCTGAGCATCATGATATTGTAGCCTAGCACGTGTGGTCCATGGGGACTAGCAAGCAAAAGCTGTTGGACTGAGCATCACGCAATTGTGAAGGTTCGTCTCGTGATGGCCACTTTTACTTCAGTTTTTTTACGGCAGGAGTACCCGATTGTGTATTTTGTCCAGTAGATATATCGATTGGAACCTCGACAGGCAGGAGCCACGATTTTTATTTATTTTCATATCGATTTTTCATAATTTATTTTAAAATTCACTCGGGTAAATTACATTTTCACGGGAAAATATACCTATAGCTCAGTATTTGACTTAAATGGCAAAGCATTGATTTGATGCTATATTTTACCTTATTTCTCATTTTAAATATAAATAAGGTTACTAAATTATATGGTCGAAATCGTCCAGTATTAAGTGGTAAACACAACAGATAACTTACATGTTGCATGTCATGTAATTAAAATTTTCAATTTCAATTACATGCAACGCTCGCATTGACCAACAAACATCACAACTAAAATTCACAACCAAAGGGTCAAATGTTCCATCGCTCGTGCTCTCAGTATAGGCCAAGTTGGCAACGCTTTGCAATTAATAGGAATCTGAAAAGTTTTATATTTCCATTTTTACTTTCATGTTTGTTGACAAGAAGAGCCGTGTACCAGTGATCGAGGATTGGTTCTACCAGACACTAATGTCGAGTGGCTAAATGGTATTATTGGGCCCAGTATTGACTACCTGTGTTGCTTCGTACAACACCTGCTGTTCAGCCACGACTCCTTCAGTTTAAGAGCAAACGTAGTGACTTTACACTAAATTCTTCAGTTTTTAGCAAAGCGAAATGGCTTCTTTCGTCGATGCATCGATTAACCAATGTTTTGACTCCGTGTTATGACTCATGAATTATCCATCACTACGCTGTTGCTTTTATATAATAACGGGAAAGTTGAAAAAAGTGTATAAAGTTCAGTGTGTCATAAAGAAGAAGCAAAGACGCCAAAGTGCTGAGAATCAGTCTATGATATCTGGGAACTTATTGATATCCCGCGCTTCCCTCGGCAGTTTAGGGTTTTTTATTTTTGCTATTATTTTGGGTGCCCCTCTACACGCAACTCCTCTTACATGTGTGAATTTCCTTGATATTATATTTATATATTTATATATAATATATATATTATATATATATTATATATATATTACATATATAATATATACATATATATATTATATATATATTATATATATATTATATATATATTATATATATATTATATATATATTACATATATATATATATATACAATTCCTTTGTATTGCCTATTTAAAATCAAGATGACCTAAGGTGGGACTGACACGTTACTAGTATACATGTCATGCCATTCTAGTTATTTATAATGGTGACGTCACAGAATAACGGCGTCAGTAACTGCCCAATACCTTGGCTGTGGTGAAGCAGTTGATGCCAGGAGGAAGCCCAGATTATATTGATGCGGGGGTTATGGGCACCAAGATAGCTCACAGTCCCCGTGCATAACACTTGGCGCCCACCCAGGCCTCATGACGGCACTATCTATACCCACCCATCCATCTAGTCCTGCCCACCCACCCCTCTAGTCCTGCCCATATAAAACTGATGCTAAAGAAAGAATCAAGGACGACGGGCAGCTGGAGTGAGGAGCAGGTCAAGACAGTGCGAGGTATGTTAGTGAGGAAGGAGGAGGGGCTGTCCGCGCCTCGCCACTGGCCTTAAAGCGCAAGTATTTGCACCACGTTTCACGTGCAAACGTATCCATCATGATGCAAGTATACTTTCTGGAACTGAAAAAAGATTGGACATTCGTTAGTAGATAAACACTCTCAGAATGTTTAGCCGTGGCTATGTCAATGATAGTGTACGCCTGAAGACTCCAGGTATTGAGGTCAGACATCTACGATCTTTGACAAAGGAGGCGGATAATAATAAGTGTCAGCCGCTTGTCACGTGTAAACCAAAAGGAAGAGAGCACTAGGGACGAGCACGGAGGTCATCGTCAACACAACTATCGGGAAGATAGTTATGATACGTACACACAGAAATCACAATAGCGTGATATATTTGTTCATTAGTTATGATACGTCATTGGCCAAAAAAACCGGACTCCCCTAGCCAGACATGGGGTGGCGGCCGTAGTGTTGGCACACCCATACATCTCAGTGCTACACGGGACAGCCTCACTACCACCGGTGTCGCCACCTCCACTGTAGAACACTGTAGTGATCGACAACACACTCTACTACCCCATTCAGAACCTGGTAGTATGAATCCACTGACATCGGTGCCAGCAATGGCCAGGGACCCACTCTCCCTGCACCAGCCCACGTCCCTGCGGCTTCCCTCCCCTTATGAGGTGACGCATGGCACTAACACTCCCGCTAGCGGCTCATCCTCTCCTGACGTATTTTTCGATGCGGCCGACAACCCTCCACCACTCGTTCTCACGCCATCCTCAGACGCGCTCGAGGACCTCGACGAGTATCACGAGACCTTCCAAGAAGCTCAAGAGGATGCAAGATTGGAGAGAGAAAGCAATATCTATATTGATCAGGCACGTAATAAAAATATTACAGCTGTCATGAAGGGTGAAACGAGTGACTCCACCAATGGCTCAAGGAAGGAGAGTACACATGGAGACACACGCACACGAGCGGAGAATGATCCTGGCGGTGACATCTCGGGAAATATATTATGTGACTCTTTGCATAAATGTGGATTTCTATTTCAGTATGAAAATGGTCATAGTAGTTTATCAAAAGTTAACGTTAGTGCGAATTACACGCTAGATGAAAACAGTGCTGCATGTGGCGGGAGCTCGGGGAATCAGGGTAACAATGTGGACTCGGAACAGGTGGATTCTTCACATATGATAAGAACTTATGGGTATTGTTGGGAGGACAGCAAATCTTCATGTATAAGAGGGTACGATGATATAGGCTGTGGAGAAGGTGACATGAATAATCTTGCGGGCTGGAGCCACGAGAATTCTTCCTCTGTGATTGCTGGCACCTGCGGCACCACTAATGACATCCACTTGAGTAGTGAACCCGCCTTAAGTGTCATTCCTGTATCGCTACCACACTTGTCCACCGCAGACGGCGCAGGTCACAGCTCCCCCGCCTTGGGGAAAACACTGGTGGAACACGATGCGTTTCATGATTCAACTTCGGGTCTTGATTGGACACCGACAAATGAAAGTTCACATAATTTCTATTCAGACGACTTCCCAGGTGTGTGTCACCGTGAAACCAATACGGCTGACGAGGCAAAACCTACTCGCCACCGACTCTTGAGAGAGTTTGTGTCTGTGCAAAAAATTCCAGGAAATAACTTGCGAGAGGAAACTAGGAGGATAGTAATGATGTTAGGCAACGATAAGTCATGCAGAGTTCCCAGACCAAGTTTGGGCCTGCAGGACCGAGTAAAAAGTCTGGTGCAGCATTGTGCTGGAAAACGCACAGCCTACGTTAAAGGACCCAGGTTCTGCAGCACTGTCGTTAAGAACATCGTCAGGCAGTCTCACGACAGACTTCACAGTTGTAGGGATTCGTTTCAGGAATTTATTCAGACTCGCAAAGATCAATGTACACAGAAAGTGTTTACGAATCCAATGCCTTGTTATGGTATGAGAAGGACGAGCTCCGGCGACGATGTAGGGCCGGGGTCGAGTGAGAGGAGTCATACCAGCGGCAATATGGATACAGTCGCCTCCATGGCGCCCTCGCTTAACACAGTGAGACCAGCGGCTGTGTCCTCCATCACTGACAACCCCAAGTCCAGCGTTCAAGACTATATGCATAATTATTACCGAAATAGAGAAGAAGCTAGTACCCTGTTACCAGTTGGAGGATACAACGAAATGACAGTTTATTATAAATTAAAAATAAATCCAAGTAACCACATAGTAAAAGGTAGTGGACATGTTGAGAGTGAAACACTAGTCACAAAGGAAATGCTTACACATTGTCCTGACCAAGATATTCAAAGCCTCAGTAAAGCTGTGCAACCACAAAGTTTAGTCTTAGATACAAGAACCAACGACCAAGATTTCATGCCCTCCTGCACATCCATGTCGAAAAGTACATCTGCAGACAAAAAAATCGATTCTGAATATAATTTTAACATTGTTTATCCAACGACGTCCTTAGACGAAAATTGTGTACCATCAGAAAAAATGTATGAATTTGACTCCAAAGACGAGAAAGACTGCATAAAGAATGAAGAAATTGGTATAGACGTGAAGCGAGCGAGTAAAGCGTTGGAAGAGTTAGACAACTCTATGGAAACAGACATCAAGGTTGATTACCGTTACCGGGAAGGACCTCGTCTTCCGACGAGTTCCTTCCCGACGGACCACTGCCCCATGAGTGATGCTCCAGATATGATCGTATCAAGTACATTAATACCTAATCAAAGTAAAATACTAAAGAACACGCCCCACAAAATCAATTCGCCAGATTTTGCTAGTAAATGTCAAGGGAGCAATGTTGATCTCCAGGCACCCATTGACTCGCTAAATAAAGTCTCGCTGACGGCAATAAGTAAAGTCAGTGAAGTCAGTGAGGATGGGCGTGGGTGGGGAAACCACGAGGAGGTTGGGGGTGCTAGTGGAGGTGACCCCTCTGGTCTTACACCCCCACACCCAGCCTCCATGCAAGGCTCGCCTCTCTTCCTCCCACTCACAGACCAGAGTTCCTTGAAACCAATACAAACCCTACCAGAGAAGTCATTAGAAAAACATAAACAATATATAGAGCCTGCTAAGATACCTTTGGAATCCACTAATAAAACCGTTGAAACCAAAAGTACAAAAAATTCAGACATTACAACGAAAAGTATGTTTACGATGGATTCGAGTTCGGAGAGCTATTCCAAAACTCGTGTTGCACATTGGTCAACAAATCCTGATAAAGACTCATACTTCAAAAATGATGTATCTGGCAACAGTTTTTATGGGACGTCATCACGTGAAAGTACGGGACAGCATTTAGCCCAAACTACTCACTTGACGAAACCTCATAACGAACGAAAGGAGCCTCCATCCGCCTCGCTGTTATGCACCTTCCTAGAGGACATCACCAAGCTCAAAACTGATAATCTGGTGGCTCGATATGGAGGTATCAGGTCCCAGCTGTATCCCATCTCTGTTCCCCTACACCAAGCCAAGCCGACGCCGTCACCAAGTCTTGAACAACCCAACAAGCCTCTACCATCCACAGCCATCGTAGAACATGGAACTGTGGCCACCATAAACAGGAACGAAGAACCGTTTCCTGGTGAAAAGGGTGGCGTTACTATTGACGGTCGTCCTCCACACATTAAACAAGGCAGCATTAATGAGAAACGTCATGTAACTGTTAACAATCGACAAGGCAGTGTCGATGAACGCCTTCCTCCAAACATTCGACAAGGCAGTATTGATGGACAACCTCCTCTTCCTCAAAAAAGTAAACAAAGAACAACTGAAGATCTGCAAAATCTTTCTTTACACAATCGAACGAACAGTGTTGATAAATGTTCTGGTCAAAGAACTCATATAAATATTCAACAAAATAATACAAATAATCACATACCATCCCAACCAGATGGATGCCGTAGCAGAACAAACAGCAGTCAAAGAGGCAGTATTAAGTATGGATCTGTAGACAACAGAAATGGAAGCATGAACACCACTTACTTGGGCGGAAGACGTGATAGTAAGAGCGTTCGTAATCGCTGCAGTTCTAGACGTGGCAGTAGAGCCAGCTTTGGGCAGGACCTGCTGAGAAAATGTCTGGAGGTTGCTGTAGAGATGCATGGCACCACGGAACGTATAGAGATCCAGAGAGAGAGAGATACTGTAAAAAATAGTTTGTCGAGTGAAGAACTAAACAAGTCACTAGGCAAGGCCGTGTGCTCCCATGACGCCGACAAGGCAAGATCATTGCTGAAACTTGGTGCTGACCCAAACGTGAGCTGCGGTCATTCACCAGCACTGCTACGGGCAGCCAAGGACGGAGCACTGTACGTTCTGCAGGCGTTGCTGGCTGCAGGAGCAGACGTGGATGTCCGCTCCGAGCTGGGTAATAGTCCGCTGCATGTAGCTGCTCGCGCCGGCTACAGCGAGGTGGCCGTACAACTGGTGCAGAGTGGGGCTTTTGTGGACGCCATTAATCGTTCTGGTGTGACACCCTTACAGATGGCACTTGCGCATGGGCACCTGGAAGTGGCCCAGACTCTTCTCCGTTTCAACGCCGATATATTTCTTCCTAACAAAATTGGTGAAACTGCTTATGAACTAATGAACCAACTTGGCTACGTAGGATTGTCTGCGTCACCTAGAGAGTTGCGCAGAGATTCTGCGCCTGGGACACGGGTGGAGCCTTCCTCGACAGAGACTCCTGTGGCAGTGAAGATGATACTAGGCATCGAAGAAGGGTGTCCAGTGACGGTAGAGACGTGCCTGGCTGAGGGTGCACCGCCAAACACGGTGGTGCCCTTGGCACTCCATTGGCCAGCTCACGCCACCGTTTTGCACCGTGCATCCCATCACGGACACGATCTCATTGTGCGGCTGCTGCTGGCCGCTGGCGCAGAAGTAAACAGACAAGACGTGGTAGGCAACACGCCTCTTCATGCCGCTGCGCAGGCCGGCCACAATAGAGTAGTGAAGATATTGCTGGGACACGGAGCACGTCTGGAAGCAACCTCCAAGTCGGGCATGACGCCTCTGCACAGAGCCGCTTCCAAGGGTAAAGAGCTCACCTGCAACTTGTTACTAAGACGCGGCAGCAATCCTCAGGCCGAGGATACTGTAGGGCGCACTCCAGCAGACTGGGCCAGAAAAAGAGGTTTTAAATCTCTAGCCAAGAAACTGGTGTACCGCCGTAAGAGTAGTGAAACTCTGTTAGCCGAGTGTGATCATCATCACTATATAAACCGTTTGAACCAGTTGCACGAAGCAGCGCTGAAAGGGTCGGGGCAGGACACGAGCACCATGAGCTGCGAAGAATAATGGGCAGTATGTTGTTGTTTACTCTGCTACTCGGAACAAAAAATCCCAAGTAGCACAGGCTATGGTGAGCCTGCAGCCCGTCCTCGCATACAAAGATCCAAGCTCGTTTATCAAGCATCCCGTCCTCAAAACAAGCCTACAGGTGTTTATGAATAAAAACGGTTTACACACGACTCGCAACTGATTTCGTTTGAACACTTCCGGAACAAGTGCTGCACTGACGAATTTTGTTCGAACCACAACGCTGTAAATGCTTCACCCACGTACTACAAATACAAATAATCGCCAACAGAACCTAAACACCTAAAATAACCTATGCCTATATATGCACAATATGCTAATACAATAATTTACATTTGAGAAAATTCCTGTGCTTTTTACTTATAAATTTTTAATTATATAAATTAAATTTTTATATTTCTTATTTAACTGATTTTGATAGTTTTATAGGAGTGTTACTTTAACACCACTTTGTACCTTTAACATTATAATTGCTGTGATATATAAAGTTCAATTCTATATTTATATTTAATTATTTCTACACTATGTTAGAAAGCCGCGAGTCATCAACGGCTCTTGCAGACCTCTCGCTGTAGCGGAGGCTGTGTATCTTTGTACTCCTGGTTTCACATACGTCAATAAAGACTTGAAAACTGCAGATATTAGTTTTTTGTTCATGAAAGCATATCCAGACATCACAGGGCTGATCTCATCTAGACCATAAAAATACTGAGCAAACTGGAATATATATTAATCTAAATCCTATACATACTTACCACATGAGCAGCAACACTAAACAGTACAGCAACAATGCAGTCCCTTTGTAATCCTTTGTTGGAACATAATTACTGGACTCTCATTATATTTGTGTTTGTTTCTTAAGTTAAATAAATACAAGAGTGGAGGCACATGTTTTCATTCTATGCATTGCAATATTGGCTCATGTGCAATATTTTACCTATACAGAGCCTTACATTCAAGTACAGTAATTATCAAAGGATGGCACCAAGCCGGGAAGACTATGTAGCACTACGTTGCAGAATATTCAAAGGCTGCTAAATACCATTCAGGATGCCAATACCCGAACAAAAGGTCATAAGGCGAGTGACATCAACGGTATCGGATTCACTAAGGATTTTATCAAAGGACAAGCCATCCCGAGGGACATTAAGTAAGCAAAAGGTGCATGACTGCTAGTAGCATAATGCAGTTTGGTATTGCTTTATTTATTTATGTGATATATTGCAATTTATTTTATTTATTATTGCTTTAAAATTCATAGATGGCGATATACTAATGAAATTGTTCACAACCTTTGAGAGACCAAAGCTGGAATATGCAGCAGTTGTATGGTGCCCATATCTTAAGTAGCACATCAACAAACTGGAAAAGGTGCAAAGACATGCAACTAAATAGCTCCCAGAACTTAAAGACAAGAGCTATAAGGAGAGGTTAGAGGTGTTAAATATGCCAAAACTAGAAGATATTAAAATAAGAGATGATATGATCACTACGTACAAAATAATAACAGGAATCGACAAGTTTGATAAGGAAGAATTCCTGAGACCTGGAACTTCAAGAACAAGAGATCATAGATTTAAACTAACTAAACAAAGCTGACAAAGAAAATTCACTTTCGCAGAGTGGTAGACAGTTGGAACAAGTGAGGAGATGGTGGAGGCCAAAATTGTCAGTAGTTTCCAAGCATTATATGACAGAGTGCTGGGAAGACGGAACACGACAAAGCGTAGCTCTCATCCTGTAACCACTCTTAGGTAATTACACACCCACACATGAGCTCAAGGAATTATTTCATTGCCTAAGTGATGGTGATGGACTTGAGTGCAAAAATGGTGTTCCAGTTTACCATAAATTTACAAAGATCAGTAGTAGAAGTGATGAATATTGAGATATAAATCAGGGGAAACAAAAAAAAATAGGGCCAACAGAGGTGATCCAGACAAATGCAAATAAACAAAATGGTAGATGGTGCAGTAACTCAAAAGACATGGGATGATAATTTTTGGGGTTTCACCAATGAAGAAATAATCAGGGGTGATACTCTTGGTGAGCTAGTAAAAAAATAGAAGATTTGCTAAAGATATATGAAGGAAGCATATAAAATTTGAAAAGGAAACAAGAAAGTCTTTTAAGGAGACAAGAGGGGCAAATTAAGGAATTAATGAAGGAAAATAAGACAGAAAATGAAGGGGGAAGAGTTTGAGGTAGTAAACAAAAAGATAGAAGAATATAGATAGGGAGCAAGTGAGGGTATCAAATAGGGAGGGAGGATATGAGCAAGTGAAGCTAGCAAAAGTGTGAAGTTAGGCAATGATATGGCAAGAGAAAATTTGTGGACAGCCCTAATGAAGGTGGTTACTAAAGTAAGTAAGTAATTATCAAAAGAAGGCACCAAACCGGGAAGGCTATATAGCACCATCAAATGTGCAGAATAATCAGAGGGCGCTAAATATCACCAAGGATGCCAGTACGGGAACAAAAACGCATAAGGCGAACGATATCAAAAGTATCCGAGTCACCAAGAATTCCATTGAGGTGGTTACTAAAGGATTAGAAAAATGTAAGGAAATGAAAGAAACCTCTGACAGGGAGAGGAATGTAGGGGGGTGTTTCTGGATAGTCAGCATTAACCAAAGGACTACAAGTAGTATTGTGAAAGAAGCCTAGATCACACTAGCTAATTTCACAGAGCTGCATTTAAATATAATGATGAAGAAATATTAAAGAAACTGTTCATGCAATTTGTGCGACCAAAATTGAAATATGCAGCAGTGGTGTGGTATCCACATCTCAAGAAGCGCACAAACAAATTGGAAAGGGTGCAAAGACACAGTAGTAAATGGTTCTTGAAACTTAATAACATGATGACGCGGAGTCACAATAACGTGGCTGAAATATGTTGACTAAACCACACACTAGAAAGTGAAGGGAGAGACCGAAACGTCGTCGTCCCTTCACTTTAGTGTGTGGTTTGGTCAACTTAATAACATGAGCTATGAGAAGAGGCTGAACTAGCTAGGATCTTAGTTTTCAATCTTTAAATCTTAAGCTAGCTTCTAATTATTTATTTTAAATGATCATCTGAAGGTGTCAAATTTTTGTTTAAAAAATATGCCTTTTTACTCCTTATGCAATTAATAATTGTCAATTATATTATCCTTGATGGCATTATTTCTTAAGCATGCACTGTAGATTATTTTGGTATCTCCTCCTCCTGTTTACCTAAATGTTTTCTATCCTTACCTTTCAATGAATCTATTGATAGTAAACATTCCATCTTAAGAGTCTCCCACATGTTTTCACCTCTGCTTGTGTTGGCTTCTTTACAATCACCGATGTATATACCGTAAGCAAAATCTTCTGAGTATCTTCCAGTGCCATTTTGTTGAACGGACAGTCAACTTAAAATCATTCTAACTAAAATACTTATGTATACACTAAACAACACAGGCAAAATAATGAATACTTGCCTTTATTCTCTCTTCTTGATCCAGTTATTTAGTGGTACACCAATTACACAAGTGGTTTATATCAATTACAGAAATGTCTTTCAATAGTAGGTACAGCTGGGCTTAAAACATCATAATGCAGCTAAGACAAAATAATACAGGAGCGCTGATGAAAGGATGCAACTTCAAGTGCTCTTTTATAAATATATTTACAGCAGGTTGGTCAAAGGAGAATTTCTCCAAACACTAATGTCATGAGGCCTCTTAACACATTTAATAACTGAAAGCTTTATAATATGTGGGTGCTCAATGGTTCACTTATCACTGTAGTTGCAACCTGCCGTGCCATACTGAGAGTAGGATGTCGGGGGCAATTATTTGACATACTAGCACTAATAATGAATTCTACCGACACATTCAAACCTGATACAGTAACAGACCTTTAGACATCCTTGCTGTGCTATGATTTTTAATGATGACATACAAAGGTTATGGGGATAAGATTAAGTAGTTGCACTAAGTATGAGCTATTACCTTGGTTAAGGGCTGCCTAGTATACCTCTAGAATTTCAAAGAACGTTTTTGTAGAACCCTAAAGCCAATTAGATAATGATTTTCCTTAATCTTGTGACTACATAAAATATTTTCCACAATAAGAAATTTATATATCATAAATCTTGATAGTATTTAAAACCTCTGATTAGATTTCTATAGTAAGCCAAAATAAACTCAATAAATTTAAAAAGATATTGCAAATCTTTCTATAAAGAATCCAAAAATCAAAGAAACTGTGTTGCTTATTTGCTGTGTACAGTATATCAAATCCCCAGGCATTAAATTTGCAAAAAAATAAAATGCATAAATTTGTAACATATTTGCATACATTTATAAAACACTATTTGTCATATTACAGTGCAGAACTGATATTTATGCAATACAATCTTTAAAGAATCAGTTACTCCTCTCCACATATCTTTCATAGTTGACATGCCAGGCACTTCCCTGCTCAGTTGGACTGTGCTGCAACTGTCTGCGTCCTGGTCTTAATTTAGTTTTGCTTGAAAACATAATTTACGTGCAAAATGAAATAATTCCTTAGTGTGACTCACAGACACCATCACTGCATGATTATGGTCTAAATACAATGTACTCTATTTCACTTTGAGTACAAGAGTACAATGTACTGTAGTTCATCGAGTACAAGAGTACAATGTACTGTATTTCACCGAGTACAAGAGTACAATGTACTGTATTTCATTCTGAATACAATGTATTGTATTTCATCCTGAATACAATGTACTGTACTGTACTGTCCTCATGTGTGTCAATCTATAACATCAGGTGGTTCCTCTTGCAAATCACCTACAGATGTGCATTTAAATGATAAATAAAAAAACTTACAGTATAAAACATGAAATATTCGAACTTTTGAGACAAATGATTTTCATTAAATAATGTTATAAAGCTTTCTATATAGTATACCTAACTAAAATGACTGGAATCAAAAAACACTTTCCTCCTTTCATCCTAGAATTTTATCTCAATAATTTGCCTGGTGGTTCTGCATTGTTTGTTGACACTTTAAAATATAGGAAGCCAGTGTTTAAAATGTATGGGGTACATTTTCAGCAGTGCCCGTACAAATCATGGCTCAATTTTCACTATTTAGTTATTTTGTAAAAAAACTGTCAAGAGTATACAGTTACTTACGTAACAGAATTTCCATTAACTTAATGCTACACTCAGTTCTGTCAAAAAGGTATTATTTACTCACTGAGAATAGTCTAAAAATTGAAGGGAAGTCATTTTTCAATATATGAAGTCTGCTTACAAGTCCACCTTTGCTGGTAGATACAAAGTACCATCCTATTAAAATGTCCAACGTAACACTATAATTGGATACTTTATGTGGATGCTCTTAAGTTTGAATCTGCCGTTGAACTTGTTTTTGTATGATCACAGGTGGCGACGGTGGTAGACTCTAACAGTAGACTCCACCACACACGACTATCACTCCCAGGGAAACAACACTACACAATCCTTCATCGCTCTTCTATGTTAAGAGTTTCCTGTGGATACAGCTTATAGTCCATCAAAGTCTTGGAGACATCCAATGAACTCACCTTAAGAAAAAATATAAAGTACTTATTACTAATGTACTAATAATAATGCATTCAATTATTTGTTTCCGCTTTTGCATTAATATGCTGAAAAATATCAATCTCCAGTGCCTTATCTTTCTTTGTGAGCATCAAGGACTAACACCATAGACATGTCTTCAGGTAGACCTGTTTAAATAGACCTTCTAATAAGTTTTTGTTTAGATCTTATAACTTTATAGGATCTTTAAAGTACATTATGTATTATTTTCACGTTACATTCAAGATTATTAGTTACCTACCAGTTACCTAACTAACTTGTACCTCATTCATATACATTTTCCATACTCATCTATCATTTCTAATCATCCCCAGCATCTCTACATCCCAAGTCTTGGCAGAAAATGATCTGAACACCCACTGCAACCCCCATACAATACATCTCAACTTTCTCTGCTATACTCCCATGCTTATAAAATGTAAATTGCCACCAATAAAAAGCACACCTTATATCTATAATAGCAACTGCAGTACTCACATCTCTACGTGGCCATGATTGAAGACACTTGTATTCATCTGCAGGATAACCCTTCACATGCAGAAAGTTGAGCAGCACCTGCCGACATGCCAACGTAATATTTACTAATGCATAAACAGTACAGAACTGCACCTACAAATATCTGAAGAAACTTAATAACAACATTGGGATTTGAAGCTCAACCCATTTACTTCCACCTATGGCAGCTTGCAAAATCATGCCAAAACATAGCTAATATAAACATGAGCACTAACCTGGAGAGTTGTATTTGCCAGAAAATTTCTTATGAAGGTTTCCCCACCAGGTATACGAAAACGTAACGTTGCTACAGGATACGGACAATCTGAACTTGGTTCATCAGGTATGTCAGTCTCAAGAGATGCTCTCACAGCCTAAAGTAATTGAAATACAATACAGTGTTTGTAACAATAAATCTAAATTTATGCATGGCATCAACTTTTATCACTTCCAACTAAACAGGGTTAAATAAGTTAATAAAGAATTTTTTTTTTTACCTGAGTTAGGTAAATTGAATTAAGACATTCAGATTTTAAGACCTGATGTACTTGTTTACTCTCCAGTGCAAATCTTTAGTATGCTGACATGCTATTCCTATTCCATACCTGTGGTTTGCTTCTGGCTACGTTGAAAGTTGTAATCTTGAAGCCCAGTCACACAGGTGATTGTTTGATCAACAAGCTACTTACAATTTGAAATACCACATATTTATAACTTTGCTGATCAGACCCCAGAAAACTGTCAAGGTTCCTCTTAAAAATTATAAACTTTTAGTCCAACAAAATTGAATCTATTACAGCCAAGACAATAATGATTATCCCCTGGCATCAGAACATTTATGAATATATTTTGGAACAGCTGCAATGATTAATTTTTTGAGAAACCATACAAAGTCATCTCATTCCCCAAGATAATTGTTAAATTGGTTCTATACTCAGACACCAGTGGTGGGCCACATGAGCAAGTGTAGCCCACTGGTGACAAAATTAACTGTAAATTTAACTGCACCACCATACATTAAACCCGACATTTTCAAGCTGATATGTGAAGGCGTTCTTTAGATATTATATTTATATATATATATATAAAAGTTCTTAGACAGTTGTAGTGTATCCATAATGGGGATACATAATAAGAATGCAAATACGTGTACTGTAATACGCACCTCCTTGATCGCCTCCTCTTGTTGCTTGATTGATTCAACTCTTTCTCGCTCTTGTTTCTCTTCCATTTCTGCCTGCTTCTTAGCTGCAGCCTGAATACAATAACATGAAATTAGCAAGCTGAAGTTTGCAAATGTACACCCAAAAACCTAAATGTCAGTTCAGTACTATACTATTCAGTATAAAGTTTGTTATAGAATTAGCACTTCAATGTTGTAAAATATTAAGTTTTGTACAAAACAACTCATTAAATCCTTAAAACATGAGTCTCAGATATGATACATGAGGATTATACTTTATCATATGATTATACTGTAGGTAACTGCAAATTATTTATCCGAGGAATTCTTGGCCCAACATACAAAATAGCCATCAATGATTGCAACCTCTTTATAAGAACAATTACAGTACATAATTCTGACTGGATGATTTTACATCAGCATAAAAATCCCAAGAAAAACTCAATGCTGGATGATAAATACACAGTTCAATAGTTCTGGTTAGTTTCAGAGCACTCTGACACCTTCTTCAGTCTAGGCTTTAAAACACTAAAACTATACCTACAGACGGCACCAGTGTGTACCAAAACTGTTTGGCATTATATTTCCTAAACAGATATGGGTATCTATGCTATTTGTTTTCAAAAAACAAACATTCTTGCATCAATGGGTATCATATCTCCAACTTTCATATTGTGAGGGGGCTTCTCACTTTAATAAGACGACAAAATGGGTCCCCTAGCCCAATCTTGCCTCATTTATTGCATGATGACACACATGAATTTTACATCACTCACAGGTAGTTAAGTTGCCATATCCCTACATCATAATTAAAACAATTAATCAATGTTCCTTCAAAACCAATGAGTCGCTGGCTAGCTTAGGCCAACAAAGGTGCCATTTGAAACTTTAAAATAAACTCCTAAATAAACAATTTCCTCACTTTTGCTCTATCTGCTTTTAGAGATTCCAGGTAGGCTGCATCCTGCTCAGCTTTAACAGCCTCTCGAGCTTCTCTTGCCTCCTCCTCTTGCACTTCAGTGGATCTCTGCTCCTCGAACATCTCGGTTGCGTGTAGAAGTGCAGTCATTACTTCATCTAGAACTCCATTACCTGACAAGAATTTCACCCTGCTAGCCAATTGATAGAATGCATGTACTGTACTGATAAACAGTACTAAAAATTACTAGTATTTACGACATTGGTTAAATATGTACTCTGTGTCTTTTCCCTACCCAAAAATTATGTACAATACTGGCATAAAATGTTTTCAGTATAAATTATTGTAACGTAATTCCTTTAACAATACATCTATTCATTAGAGTAAAAAAAAAAAAAAGCAATTACTGAATTATAACCAGCAATATATTTGTATTCTCGAAAATTTGTTTTAAAGAGCTATGAAGAGGATTTAAACCTGCACACTGGGTACTCCCAAAGCTACGCCTTACACCACTACGACATGGTCAAAAGCAATGCAAACTGGGATTCAACTGAAGCCTCTGAGGATCCTGAGGTTTCCACTGAAGCCCAGTCAATCTCACACATTGCCCCCATGCACTCTGGCTATTTATTAGAAGAGAAGTGTTGGAAGTGGAATTCCTAGACCACAGCCAGAGTGCATGGGGGCAATATGTGAAACCCTGACTGGGCTTCAGTGGAAGCTTCAGGATTCCTGGAGGATTCAGTTGAATCCCAGGTTGCACTGTTTTTGAGTATGTCATGCAGTAGTAATCTCAGGCATGTGCTTGGGAGTACCCAGTATACAGCATAGAATCCTCCTCATGGTTCCTATTGATTTGATCACTGATACATCACATTAATGTAATTTGTGTATTAGTCTTAAGTACTGTACTTTCTTTAAAATTTCAATAGCAATAAATTGTGTTAGGCATGTTTATGAATGGTATACAAGTATGTATGCTTCCCATCTCAATTACTTAAGAAACTACGTACCATATATAACTGATAAAACTTCAATAGTTCCTCTTGTGCGTGTGATGACCAATAGCGCCGGCAGCTTATCTACACTAAAACTTCTCACTGTTGTTGATGCAATCGCCCCAAAATGTGTTGTAACTAGATTTAATAACCTGTGGAAAAAGAAATCCAAATGTGTTTCTTCATCGATACTGCTTTGGCCACCACAGTAACATTTGTTCACAAAATCCAGCACTATATGTAATGAGACTTTACTTTCTGGTTGGGCCTCAGTAGTTACCCGAATCTTTACGAAGTTACTCATGCCGAATCAAATTATTATTAATGTATGAGAGCTCGGCACATTAATTAGTATGAATGAGATAACCAACTAAACACAGGCCATCCCAGCCAGAGGCTTAGGATATATCCGCTGACAGCTGGGGTGGAAAGCGCTTCAGATTCGTAGTCCGGAGGTTCCAGGTTCGATCCCTGGTGGAGGCGGAGACAAATGGGCAAAATCTTTCTTTCACCCTGATGCTCCTGTTACCTAGCAGTAAATAGGTACCTGGGAGTTAGACAGTTGCTACGGGCTGCTTCCTGGGGTGTGTAACAAAAAGGAGGCCTGGTCGAGGACCGGGCCGCGGGGAGGCTAAGCCCCTAAATCATCTCAAGATAACCTCAAGATATGCAGGAATATTCATCTAGTATTCCAGAATTAGCAACAAAGTCAAGTTAATGGTTACCAAGTCTTCAACAGGATAAATATTTTAATATGTTAAAAGATAAGCTACAGCATCTAGCTAGTAAATTGACTCCAAAATGAATGTGACTGTAATAAAATAGGGGTTCTGTAGTATAGTGGTCTATGGTCACCACTCACAAATGATTCCCTGGTGGAACATAAATGGTTGGACATGTTTCCTTTCACTCAATGCCTTTGTTCACCTGGCAGTAAGTATTTGGGAGTTAGGCAACTGTTGTGGGTTGCATTCTGGGGGAAAGTCAATAGGCATAAGAACAGGCTTTCTGTCCCCAACAGCATTAATTATGAAAAGGGTTTTAGCAATTAAGAATAAAACCAATAATTAAAGAATATATAAGCCAGTAAATTTATTGAAAAGTATATAATTATGCCTTATATTATTAATTAGATAATTATTCTTTATCAAGTAGAATGCAACATAAGAAGAATACATTATTCCTAACATTAAACAAGAAATAAGTCGCACGATACAGAAAAACTGAGATCAAATAAAGTTACTAAAATTCCAAAATACCTGGCTTTATTAGCTTCATGTGTTAAATCCCAACCCCAGACAACGAAGTTTGCCGACAAGTAGTCCACAACTGATATCTGGCATAAAGCTTGGGAGCAGAATACATTGGAGAGAACACTTCCATCATGATGTAAGTACACGGCTAGTAACTTTCTCTGTAAAGAAAGTGAATGGAAGTCATCTTTATTTGCATTTAGATTTTTTTTGGTAGAGTATACACATGAAAACACAGACTCAGCATTTCATTCCCAGCCACACCTGTGACACTCAATCCTTTCCTCACTTCCTCCCACATGCCCGGCACTCACTTCCTCCCACATGCCCGGCACTCACTTCCTCCCACATGCCCGGCACTCACTTCCTCCCACAGGCCCGGCACTCACTCCCTCCCACATGCCCGACACTCACGTCCTCCCACACGTTCGATACTCACTCACTCCCACCCACATCTCCAGCACTCGTTCCCACCCATCCTTCCTTCTCATCTTATTTTGGGACCCTGTCATAGAATTCTATCTAGTTTGTTAAGCAATTTTTTCCTCTCTGAAGACATGTTGTGTCTTGTCTGATATAAAATTATCTTCCCAAATGGTCTACAATCCTTTTCCAGATACTTTTACCAGCATTTTGCATGGAATGCACGTTAACGACACTGGTCTATAGTTTAGTGCTTGATGTCTGTAATAATCTCTCCAATACAAAACAAAAATTTTCACAAATATAATTTTCAACAAAAAATATCAGATTAATTTCAAGTATACACAGTGCATATATATATATATGCCACTAGACCTACATTTTTTGCTGGGAGTTGAACCGATTCTTTCAGGGCATCTTCTAATGAACCCTGATAAAACATGGGAACACAACTGCCATAGCGATTACGAAACTCTTCACAAAAGTGTATAACACCCATTACTTCATCTTCAACATCTACTGGAACTGAAATAATAAAAAACAGTAACCTATTACAAAAGTTATATAATAAAAAAGATATAATATATGTAAAGCAATGTTTTTATTTTAGGTACAGTAGTTTCAAAGTTATTGCAGTAAAGTACTTTGCAAGACTGAATTGTAAATAATGATCAAAATACTCTGGACGTACATAATTTCAGTAAACATGAATGGCACCTTTCAGAGCATGAGCCATTTGGTTGCCCCCTAAGGTAAGATTTACAATATCTTCTGGACAAGAATCGTGAATCTCTAGCAGGTGATATTTTAAACATCGGTACCATAGGGAACTTTTCAAATAGTCCCTGCAGGATCAATAAAAATGATCCTGCAGGGTCAGGATCCTTAATTTCTATGGAATGAATGAAATCGCCATACAAGGCCCCTACCAAATTTCCCACTGCCAGTCTGGCAACCTTGTGCTATACCCCTCACAGCCAACAGAAGGCAGTGCTTTGTCTACACACTTCCCAGTCTCCTAAATGCTCACATTCTTGTTCTAAAACCGAAGAAGCTGTGAACAGAAGAAAGGGAAAGAAAACTGGCAACCAAATGCCCCTCACTGTCACAGCGGGCATGGAATGTGCGGCAAATATTATTCCACAAAGAAAAGGTTGATCAAGAAGCCTGAAGCATGATAAATCTTTGCACAACGCAGAGTAGAATGCCTTAGTTAAACTTCTAATGTCATGGGCATAAGGATAAGTTTGAGGCTGACTCATTTTAACCAGCCTTCTTAAGTGTTAAGATATCCAAGATCTGGAGCATATCAAGTGTATACAACAGATCAAAATAAAAGGATAGTGTGAATCACAAATACCAGGGAGCACAACCAGACTTTTACAGAGAATGACACACCAATGAGGTGAACTATGTACTACAGTTTAACATTCAGCTTAAACAAAATGCATTACGATGAAGGCAAGCAAAAACATCAATGCAACTAAACATAAGGCGATAAAGAAAAATAGCGATGTGTTCCTGAAGCAACCTAAAGTCCACTTTTTTTCCACTCCTCAATAAAACACCTGCCTGAAAATGATTACTAAGCATTCCCACCATTTTCCAGCCACAAATGTGCTTTATAATGTAATACTACAACATTCCTCAATGACAGCCAAGACCAAAATTAACTTTTATTTCTCATGGAGGCACTTTAAGGTGTTGCAGGCATTGCAGAATGTATTAAGGGTTCCACAAAGTAAGAATGTAATGTAAAGGTCTGCAAACGAGCAGGCAACACACCCAGGATTTGCATTCATTTAAAAGATGAAAAGTAAATATCAGACATGCAGAGACAGAAGGCTAACTGTAATGACAGGAAACCCCCTGTGCATGCTATCCCAAAATATCACACTAACTTCGTATGCTTAGCTGCCGGTATAACTGGCTCCAATTATTTCTCCGTATATTAAATTTACAAGAATAATGAAGCCTGGTGTAAATAATCTCATACTTAACATAATTCTGCAGCTGCATTAATGCATCACATGTACCTGGACATGGATTATAACAAAAGACAAAACACGTCTTAACTTCACTTACTCAATGTTTGTGGTTTTTTAGTTGCAGGAACATCCATCATGTCTAGGAAGTCATCATCGTCATTTAAAAGTTCCGCTGCATCTTCAAACTCATCACCAGAACTGTTTTCTTCCCCAGTCTCCATTAATGTCTAAGGGACAAGTAATACAAAAATACACACATATACAAGTCCTAGGACAGAGATTACAAAGATGAGACAACAACGCATGTGGACATTTGAAAAAATTTAGCCATGTTGAAAAGCTTCCTGTAGGTAAGACCCTAAAACACCACCATGTTAAATATAATTACTAGTATCTTCATGCCAAAAATACATTTTAACATTTATATACAATCTTTATTTTACTATATATTTTTTCTATATGATGTGGTCCCAAGAATGCAAACTAGACCACTGGACTAACCTTACGTTGAGCCTTGGGCGTACGATCTTTAACCATCTTTCTTACTGTCAGGTGATGCTGCTTGCTGATCCCAGATGATACTAAAGTTGCCTGAAAAGTTTTAACATAAAAACAATCAATTATCCCTTCTACTGTATATTAAGCTATTACTATTAAATTTTTAAATAAAACAATAAATTACTACTAAACCTCTTGAAAATTAAAACTCGGTGAATCATTAAGTTCCATTCATAAACATAACTTGATACTATAATTTTAAAATGACCTTAACCAGCTGACTTAACAGGTCAATTTCAGCATTTAAAATTCTAAATAACTACAGCCAAGGTCTTTGGACAGCTTATATATAATGTGTTCCTACGCCTAATAGTTTAACACGACAACTTAACCAATAACATGTTGCTTTTACACAAAACATTTTATTATTTACCATCACTTATTTGTTTAAATTATTTAAATATAAAAAGTATTAAAAAAGATATGTAATATTAATTTATTTGCAAAGGCAAGGCAACTAAGCGAGTATGTATGGAAATTACATCCAAGATTTTGTGTGCCGAAACATAGGGATGATAGAAGAAAAAGAGGCGATATGACCACCACTTACAAAATAATAACGGAAATTGACCAAACTGACAAAGAGGAATTCCTGAAACCAGCTACCTCAAGAATAAGAGGTCAGCTTCAAGCAAAAGAAACAAAGTTGCCTGCCCCAAAAAATTACAAAGTTTTTTTTCTAAACAGAATAGTAGACGGTTGGAATAAGTTAAGTGAGAAAGTAGTGGAGGCCAAAACTATCAGTAGTTTCAAAGCATTATGTGACAGAGTACTGGGAAGACGAGACATTACGAGCGTAGCTCTCATCCTGTAACTACACTTAGGTAATTACATGTGCACACACACACACAGACCAGCATGAACTTAACCATTTCTAGCAATACATTTCATTATAAAGACTAAATAGCAGAAATATAAAGTTCATAATGTCAAGACACATAATTTACCTCCAAAAATATCGCAAAGCAAACTGCTCCCAGCTATTTCATTATCAATAAAATACTACAAGAAATGCAAAATGGTGAAGGCAATGGTGATGATCTGAGTTATCTTCCTTACCCTCAATCCAATGTAGATGAGGGTATATAAACATAAACCAAGATAGTACAAAATAGAAGAGATTTCATCAGTGGACTAGATGTCACACCAAAAAAACTGACCTAAAAGAGGACATCATTCCAGAGGAGAACTCGACCTGTAGCATCGTCCTCAGTGCAGTCAGCTCAAAACCAAGAGGTTCTAGGTTCGATTCCCAGACAGAACGAGATACTTGGGCACACTTCCTTACCCCTGATACATCTGTAAACATAGCAGTAAATAGGATACCTGGGAGTTTAGCAACTGTTGTGGGTGGCAGCATGGGAAAGGTCAGTCATTGGCCTAGAGGAACCGTGATAAGCCTCACAAGCTTTCTGTACTTGACAGAAACCATATCAAATATTTGTTCTGTAAGAAAACGTTGCCAAATTTTATTAATGTGACAGTAATTTAATAGCTAAAGTATTGGAAAACCTTAATGAAGTAGTACAGTACTACAAAATAGTGTCAGTGCTAACATTTTCTTCATCTGTATTCGGAGGCCAACCCGTCCACTGTTGATATCGAACAGCAATGGTCGTTAGGTCATGAATGTCACTTTTGATTTCTTTGATTTTCTTGCTCCCAGGAAACCGTAAGCTGTAGTCTTTGCTGTTTGTCTCGTCATGAATCAGCAAGAGATAGTCATCACCATGAGCGCCATTAATTCTGGGGAAATTAAACATTTATTTAAAATCTATACATCTATATAAATCCAATATTACATATCAAGTTCAGTACAAGATGCGCTGGAAGGCCCATGCAAACTGTTCCTTATTTCTTCCATAGTTTGGTCACTGTGTCACACTACCCCCACACAATTGGTTAAATACTTCATCACCTTCTTTCACTTTTAGTTAACTGTTTTCTCTTCCTTCAAGTACACATATCCTTGAATTCATCCATTCCTTATTCATTCTCAAAGTCAAAATATACTATGAAAGAAAACTATGTTAATTTATAAGCTCTTATTTTTAAAGATGAAATGTGATAAAGACTAATCTAATCATACACTGTACCTGTATCTCTTATCAATTACTTAAATGTCTTGTGTAAGAAACAGGAAGTCACAAACACACAGTAACCATTTGACACTTCATAATCCACACTTATAAGAAGAGCTGAGGTAAATAGATATTTCCATTGTTTAGTCTATTAATAGACACAAAAAACAGTCAATTCAATATACAGTAGTAATTGTTGTGGTAACCTTCATTCCATTTCATCAATTGTTATTCATATTGTACAGTAAACACATAATACTGTATTGGTCATTCATACAGTACAATAAACACACAACATTGTATTTGTTAATGTTACTCTAAATACAACTATTCATAGTAATAACAATTGAATTCGAACAAGTTTAAGATCTCACCTCTCGTAGTAGTTATTAAAAGTGACTGAGGACTGAGCATTTAACGTGAGTGTTCGAGATTCCGGCAAGAGTGCTGCAGTGATAACCATACTATCATCTACTGGTGTTGCAAACCCTTCCAAGATCTGCAATACATGATTTATGATGCCATACAGAAAGGTGTCAAATTATAAATGACATACAGTAAATACACATTCATCCCTGATGTACCCAACATAGTACAGTACAGCCAATATAAAGAATGGCAGCAAATTTAGATCATTTTCAAACTCTGAATAAGTTAAAAAAAAGTATGAATAAATATTCAACTCAAAAACAAAAAAAAAAAAAAGCTGCCTAGGGCCAAGTCGAAGAATTATGAAATGTTTTAATGTAACTATAAAATTGTCATGAAACTTTGCATATTTCAAGATTTTATTACTAAACTACAATAGTTAACACGAATCAGATAATGCTCAATTATGGTAACTCTAAGGTTGTTATTTTTATACAACTATATCCTAAAAACAAAACAAAACTGTGGTATCTTCAAATTTTGTTTCACCATTTTAATCATCTGGCAGTTACAGAAAAAATATTTGATAAAATGAAGTGAATAGCTTTTTTGTGATGTTCATCAAAATGTGAAAACAAATCAACTTCTCACCTGATTGCATGGATTAATACCAACCAGCTGGTGCAACATTGTGCGTAGTTCACTTACAGTGGTCGAGCTCGGCAGCTCTAAGGGAAAAGTGCTGCCTTCAGATGCACCCCCACACATAACCTGGAACAAAAATATCATATATGAGAAGTAATCATTCAAACTACTCTGACATGAGGAAACTATGCTAATAATGCCTTATCTATCTTCCTATTAATGACCAACTGCCTCCCAACCTCAAAAATAAGAAATATTGATGATGCTTTAATAAAATGCAGTAATTATTTAGCAGTTAATTATGAGCAGGTATTTACAGCATTGTAATTTTACAAATGCCATAACAGAACATGTAAGTGCTGTGATTTATACTAAAATGAGCAAAATGCAAAAAAACTGAGAAATAAATCTAATTCACCTCTGACATCGATCTACTGTTATCAGGAAAAGTTGTCATTCTTCAACTGCATTATGGGAAAGGGTCATTAATACTGGAACTAGACCATCGAAGAGGTTATATTCTTACTGTGGAACACTGGATCATAAAAATCATATTTGTGCTGGCTTAATCAGCTGCCAACCCTTGCCATCACCAAGTGGTAACGCTGGCAGTCTTCTCCAGTATCTCTCGGCACCAGTATGACCCAGCACGAAAACTTTGAAAAGTTCCACCCTGGGCTGGGGCAGAATGCTGACCTTCCATTACTTCACCAAATCTTAACCAAAAATTAGTAGGCCCTTGCTTTAGGGAGTAACCATGTTGGATCCCAAAAAGTTGAAAATATATATATTGCAAATAGTCTGCCTACATCTCCCTCCAAAGGTCTCACCTGAATATTGACATCAAGTACACCGTGTGTTTTAGAAGAGGATGGCAGTGAAGCATCAGATGTCGAGGGGATGGCAGCTGGTAGAGGAGGTATGGGAGGCGGTAAGAGCAACTCAGGTGATGAGTCTACACTTATTACTTCAGGCTGGAAGTTTAAACAAAATACACTCAGATATTTAAAGGCTATTAACTTCTTATACTGAATGTTATATAACTGAATAAGGAATTCATATCAAAGGAAAATTCTTGTATAAAATTTATACAACATTGAGTCTTAAAATAACAATTGAGGCTCTTTAATTTTCCTCCTCTGTATACAGTACCTATAGAGTACAGCAAATTAAAAAAAAAATTGCAAATAATTTGTAGAATGCTGAAATTAAAATGTTACCATTTATTTAACTGTTACTAAGAATTTTAAAACATTCTGCTGGACTGTCAAATGAGTGGATAAAGTCGTACCTGACACCACATGTTGCAACTGAACTTGAAATTTGTTGCCATATTCACTATATCACAAAATGTTTTGGATTATTCTTACCATAAATTATAAAACATATTTTTGTGCATTTTTGCATCTATAAAATGGAATGTCTGTCTCTATCTATTCGTCTGTCCACAGTAGGCGGCCAGACGCTTGCAGCTAGCAGCACCCAACTTTCCAACATGAAACATGGGGGGTATGGGAGTGTCACAGGTCAGTCGGGGTCGATCCCAGTGCCACACTTTAGGAAATATCAGCATCTTTAGTGCCCCTTGCAATTGTCATGGTATGAAATAAAATCTGGGGATGTGTTTTCTGTAGTTTTGATGCTTGCCCCTGCCATTTTACATGCGGTGGAGGAGAGAGGAAAGGAGACAAACGGAAGAGAGTGGAAAGGAAAAGGAGTGCAAGGGCAGAGGGAAAGAAGAGAGGGGAGAGAAGAGGGGGAAAAGGTAAGAGGTGGGAAGAGAGAGGAGGAGAGGAAGAGAGAAGGGGAAGAGAGGGGGAGGGAAAGAGAGAGAGGAAGGGAGAGCAGGACGAGGCAAAGAGCTGAGAGAGGGGATTGGGGAGGACAAACAGATAAATACAGACTCGGTACTGCCAGGTACCTCTTCTTGTATACAATATATAAACAATGCTTTTTGAATTAAAAAAACATACAAATATAGTTTTTATTTACTTTTCCCTGCCTTCCATACACTGTGGCTATATATAGAGTTGAATATACTGAATCAAATTTTAATTTAAACCTACAAGTGATGGATACTCAAGGAGAACCTAATTATAAAGAGCTTTGATCCTTCTCCCCTGATATTGACTATGGCTTGGTCTCTCAAACTATTTTTCAAAGGCACAGTTGTGCTATAACTACTTTGCCAAACAAATTTATAACCAACCATAGAGTTTTAACTACACACTCCTATAGCTTTAGGTAACCATTATTACAAAGAGGAAAGGTCACTACGAACATGTGAGGCCTGGGAAAGTGTGCTACCACTGCACCACATGGAATTCAGTTCTGAAGTTACTGGTACTACCCAACATGTATGGGGAAGGGACAGGTTGTGCAAACAGCCCATATACATAATGCTTGCCTAGCCATTCAAATGGTTCAGGAACGAATATTACCTGTGATACAGACTGTAGTGGAGGTGGTGGTAGTACAGGTGTGGCTGGTGTACCCTCCAGAGGCATAACCACCTGCAGTGCCTCCAGCAGGTTCCAGTTTGCTGCCTCCAGGTGCATAAAGGCCTCTCCCACATCCTCAATACCAGAACATGCCTGATGGACAAATTACAAAGTACAAACATACATAATTATGAACTAATTATGTACTACGTACTCATTAATATATATATATATATATATATATATATATATATATATATATATATATATATATATATATATATATATATATATATATGTCGTACCTAGTAGCCAGAACTCACTTTTCAGCCTACTATTCAAGGCCCGATTTGCCTAATAAGCCAAGTTTTCCTGAATTAATATATTTACTATAATTTTTTTCTTATGAAATGATAAAGCAACCCTTTTCTCTATGTATGAGGTCAATTTTTTTTTATTGGAGTTAAAATTAACGTAGATATATGACCGAACCTAACCAACCCTACCTAACCTAATCTAACCTATATTTATAGGTAAGGTTAGGTTAGGTAGCCAAAAAAAGCTAGGTTAGGTTAGGTTAGGTAGGTTAGGTAGACGAAAAAACATTAATTCATGAAAACTTGGCTTATTAGGCAAATTGGGCCTTGAATAGTAGGCTGAGAAGTGCGTTCTGGCTATTAGGTACGACATATATATATATATATATATATATATATATATATATATATATATATATATGTCGTACCTAGTAGCCAGAACGCACTTCTCAGCCTACTATGCAAGGCCCGATTTGCCTAATAAGCCAAGTTTTCATGAATTAATTGTTTTTCGACTACCTAACCTACCTAACCTAACCTAAACTAACTTTTTCGGCTACCTAACCTAACCTAACCTATAAAGATAGGTTAGGTTAGGTTAGGTAGGGTTGGTTAGGTTCGGTCATATATCTACGTTAATTTTAACTCCAATAAAAAAAAATTGACCTCATACATAATGAAATGGGTAGCTTTATCATTTCATAAGAAAAAAATTAGAGAAAATATATTAATTCCGGAAAACTTGGCTTATTAGGCAAATCGGGCCTTGTATAGTAGGCTGGGAAGTGTGTTCTGGCTACTAGGTACGACATATATATATATATGAGAACATGTAATGAACGAGGTGAGAATAGCTTGAGCTACCTCATCCTTTTGTGTGTACTTACACCTTAATAAAATTATTTAAATTTAAATGCTTCACCCAGTCACTATCTGTGGTATAATTGTTGGAGGCTGAGTTAAGGAAAATAATGTATTTCCTTCATACCTGAGTTAGACTCCCATGGGTGATGCGGCTAGGAAGTTAGATGAGTACAGTTTGGGGAATACACACTTACTGCAACTGTATTTAATTTCTTTCAGATTGTGCTCGTATATTTAGGCTGTACTTAACATCCTTGATATACTCTGCTCACTAGTCAGTTAATTGATAAAATACAGATGAAGCAAAACTCACAAGGAGAACAGGAACTGAGGAAGACTACACTAGTAATTACCTAAATGTAGTTTAAATTGCACTGATGGTGCAACACTAGTGTATTATAATAATTATTAATATAATACACTAGTGGTGGGCAGCTCTCATCCTGTAACCCCACTTTGGTAAATATAATATCCTGTGCTAGAAATATTTCAAAACTAGCACGTCACTTGGTTTCTAATTCATTCCTAACAAGCTCCTGGAATATCCTGAATGTGTGAAGCCCGATCATGTTCGCTTGTGAATTTAGGATTTAATTATGTTACGCTGGCTAGTTTAGGATAGGAATGACTCGATAATAAGGCAAGTCGTTGTAAATCTACGCATCGCAGGTGCAGTCAATCCGAGATGAAATAAAGTAAACAATAACATTGGTCATGAATATCAGTGATTTAACAATTCCAATTGAAAAGGAGACTTCACCAATCTCAGCACCTGACCTCAAGGCAACAGTGGATCATCTATGACCATTATCTGGCAAAATAAATACCTAAACATTTATTAACTTTACAAGAGGTAGCACAGCAAACACCCGTCCAGTCCACCTCATCCCACCTTGAAAGCCTTACAATTCAAGAATTGTTACAGCTGTCTTGGCACTGTGGCCGAGTCGTGCACCACCCCTGAGGCTGGTGCCAGACCCAGGCACTCTCACCACCCAGAAATTCCAGGTGAAGCTGTCCCCCATCCCTCGACCCCAGAGCCAACCCCGTCCCTGCCCCACACACCAGAGGTGCCACTAACTACCACACAACCACCAACACAACCCCCACTACATAACGCTAAAATGGTAATACAACAGCACGTAAAGCCAGGATCTTACCTGAAAATTGGCTAAGATCTCATCCCTGCCAGCCATTGTTTAGCTCTTTAGTTAAAGTGTCTCACACCAGCTGTCTCCTTTGTCGGCCACAACTTCCTGTTTTCTTTGAATATTTCCAGCTGGTTTAGACTCGTTAGTGGTGTTTTGACCTCTTGGAGGCTCCTCTGAGAAGCAATGTGGGTCAGGGCGGCCTCTACCATGCCCCAGAGGCCAACCAGAGCCTCACACACGCCAATATTACCAATCAATACCAATATTAAAGTTTGGTGCAGGTACTCGGACGCGGCCCCTGACGTCACCCCAACAGCTGATCAGTGACTCGAGGAAAATACAACACCATGCATCACTCATTATTATCATGAGGGACTCATACATCACTCATTATCATCATGAGGGACTCATACAACACTCATTATCATCATGAGGGACTCATACAACACTCATTATCATCATGAGGGACTCATACACCACCATGCATCACTCATTATTATCATGTGGGACTCATACAACACTCATTATTATCATGAGGGACTCGTACAACACCATGCATCAATCATTATTATCATGAGGGACTCATACATCACTTATAATTATCATGAGGGACTCGTACAACACCATGCATCACTCATTATTATCATGAGGGACTCGTACACCACCATGCATCACTCATTATTATCATGAGGGACTCATACAACACTCATTATCATCATGAGGGACTCATACACCACCATGCATCACTCATTATTATCATGAGGGACTCATACAACACTCATTATCATCATGAGGGACTCATACACCACCATGCATCACTCATTATTATCATGAGGGACTCATACAACACTCATTATCATCATGAGGGACTCATACATCACCATGCATCACTCATTATTATCATGAGGGACTCGTACAACACCATACATCACTCATTATTATCATGAGGGACTCATACACCACCATACATCACTCATTATTATCATGAAGGACTCATACAACACCATACATCACTCATTATCATCATGAGGGACTCATACAACACCATGCATCACTCATTATCATCATGAGGGACTCATACAACACCATGCATCACTCATTATCATCATGAGGGACTCATACATCACCATGCATCACTCATTATCATCATGAGGGACTCATACAACACCATGCATCACTCATTATTATCATGAAGGACTCATACAACACCATGCATCACTCATTATTATCATGAAGGACTCATACAACCCCATGCATCACTCATTATTATCATGAGGGACTCATACAACACCATGCATCACTCATTATCATCATGAGGGACTCATACATCACCATGCATCACTCATTATCATCATGAGGGACTCATACAACACTCCTTATCATGAGGGACTCATACATCACCATGCATCACTCATTATCATCATGAGGGACTCATACAACACCATGCATCACTCATTATCATCATGAGGGACTCATACATCACTCATTATCATCATGAGGGACTCATACAACACCATGCATCACTCATTATTATCATGGACTCATACAACACCATGCATCACTCATTATCATCATGAAGGACTCATACAACACCATGCATCACTCATTATCATGAGAGGACTCATACAACACCATGCATCACTCATTATCATCATGAAGGAGTCATACAACACCATGCATCACTCATCCTAATGAGGGACTCATACAACACCATGAATCACAATGAGTGACTTGTACAACACCAAGCATCACTCATTATCATGAGGACTTCCACACCATGCATCAATCATTATTATTGTGAGGCACTCTCACAACACAATGCATCACTCAATAGTATTGTGAGGAACTTTCACAACACTATGCATCACTTAGTATTATTGCGAGGGTCTGCATCACTCAATATTATGAAAAGGCACCAAGCCATGGAGACTATGTAGCACAATCTGTCATGGGATATTTAAAAGGCACAAAATATCACTGAGGATGCCAGTACGAGAACAAAAGCAAATAAGGCTGACGATATCAAAGTGATCGGATTCCCAGAGGATTTTTATCAAGGGACAAATGAGGAACACTTGGGAAGCAAGACACTCAAACCTCCTGAAAATAGGGACATTCAACAAGGATATGCACGACTGTAAAAGGGACAAGGCAGTTCAGACAATAAGGAGCAGGACGGCATTCCGTTAAGTGTAAGATGTGTATGGCCAATATGTTACCTCGCCAGATCTGTTTCCCACTGTTGGTTTCAGTGGTAGGAGGAAGACCAAGAATATACTACCCTTAAGAGCAGGCAGTCTATCAGTAACACAAGACCAACAATTTTGCCACTGGACATGGATCCAAGTATAAATGACAAGGTAAAAATAGGAATATGGAATGCTTTTTTGGGAAATACTTCTAGAGGCTGGCGGCACATTATAGGTATGGGCCGGAAAGACCATTCATTCATGAATATAAGAGTGGAAGTGGTATGGATGTTCAACAGAAGAGGAAGGGAACATCATTCAAGGTTAAAAAGAGAGGTGACATTAAAATGAGTATTAAAATGGCAAAATGTTAAAAACTTGTATCCATGAAGGTTACCAGGACAATCACCAAGCATCCAAATAAAATAAAAATAGTTTTCACATTTTATTTTAGGACGTTTTTGAACAAGTAAACCTGGTAGTGAAGCTGGTGAATGAATATGTTTACAAGTGGCATCTGCAAATTTTCCACCCCCTTGCCATAAAATCAGTCACTGTGGCATTGTACTTTACTCTGGAGTTTTATTTATATTTAATATATGTACTTTAAGTTAAGGCATTTCAATACTGGTTTTCCTCCTTAATTTGATATAATTAATCCTCTTTGCATCATACAGTCCTATGACAAGCATCCACTAAATTAGATATTGGGAACACAAATACAGTATAAGTTCAGTCTCGGCATACAATCTGTCAGTCCACTTGTCTATAAACAATTTAACTTCAGGATCAAACTCGAATGACTGTCTTCATAAATTCCTAAATACTGAACATTTCAAATAATCTAAGTTCCAAGTTACATTACCCCTTTAGACATAAATGGGACTGCTGGTATCAGTTGCTCAAGAGCAGAAAGTTGCTCTTATTGGTCTACAGGTTTATGTCATTGCTTTGCCATAATTCTGAAATATGTTTGTCAACAAATTTGAGGATTTTTATAGTATCAATAGTGTCTTAAATACAGAATAGCCTGAAATTATGATAAAACTCTAGGAACCTGGATCTTGGGAAGAGTTCACAGACTCAAAAGTTCTTAAGTCGAAAGGATTTATCTCTATATCTGATAAACAATATGGTGTTGGCATAAAAATTTACAAAGAAGCCATTTGTGCTGTCTATTTAAAGTGTGCTTATTTCTTTGGTACAGGTATATACTGTATATATATATATATATATTAATTCATTAGACTTCGTAAGTATTTAGATACCTTCTTTACTGCTGTCCATATATTTTCAATCTTTAGTAATAACTAAATTCACCAATTAAGTTATTATATAACCGATTCACCAAAATAACCAATTTACTGAAAACAGTGAGATATATTACAATGTTTCACAGTGAATACATGTGGATCAAAGTAAGATAAGTTAAATACCATTTGGGGATCAGAAGACAATAATAGAGGCACTTTAGTACAATATAAAAATGCATTTGCATGCGATATAAAAGTTAAAATAGTAACTAAAATCTATCATTACTTTGGAAAACCTTACCAAAGGTTTATATATTATAAAACCCTTTCTATATATCTATATATATCTTAACAGGTTTACTGATCAGCAAAACTGCATGATTACTACACAGTTTCCATGAGGGCTGGTCATGTATGTAATAACTTATGACCCATAATTGTCATCTGCAGTTTATGCAGAAAATTTAGGATTTTTTGCTAAAACAAAAAATAATTTCAAGTTTAAGGAAATACATAAAACACATTAAATCTGGCTCAGATGTGAAAAAGCTGTCATAAAATAGATAAATGATATAAATGCAAGTAAGTAATTGTCAAAAGAAGGCACCAAGCCGGGGAGGCTATGTAGCACCATCAAATGTGAGAGATATTCAAAAGGCACTAAATATCACTAAGGATGCCAATATGAGAACAAGTAAGTAATTATCAAAAGAAGGCACCAAACCGGGAAGGCTATGTAGCACCATCAAATGTGCAGAATAATCAGAGGAATATGAGAACAAGATGTAAATGCAAAAATTACACCATATCAGAAACAAGCATTAACAGACACCCAACACTATATGTACATGGGGCACACCCTTATGAAACAATTATTTTGGCATTCAATATTCTGGCATTGTTCATTTGTGTTAAAACTTCCAGGCTGACTGTCAAAAATGAGAGCTTAACCTTAAACTACATATGGTTCGATCACATGATGGTAATAGGGAAAGGTATTCTCGGCCTAAAATATTTAATGGTATTAACAGGGTAGTTTAATAAGTAGAGGTTGTAACAAGCACAGAAACTGTAATGAGTACATAGGGTAACATGAGCACAAGTTGAACTAAGTAATTATCAAAAAGAGGCAGAAAATCAGGAGCAAGTTGGAGTAATGTGCAGAGGCTGATATAATGAGCACAGGCTGTGGAAATGGGCAGATACTGAATTAATAAATGCTAGTGAAATGATGGGCAATGGTAATAAATAGTACATACTGTGAGGCATAGAATGAGCAAGGGAAAGGAAGGTGAGCAACCCATTCTCACACAATGAATCTCAATTTAGAAGCTATCAACATCTTCATCCAAGTTGAAGTACTTTAGTGAAATTTTATCAACTAAATTTGTACGTTCTTATATTAATGAACATTGGCATTGACAGGTTATACAAAATCACTTCATATTAGACACTTGTCAAGTTGTGGGAATGAACTGGGAAGAGAGGAAAGAAATGAAGATTTTATATGGTTTGTTGTGTGGAGGTTATTTATAGTGTGTGGTGGTGCTATAAGATAATGTTAGTACATGGTGGTGGTGGTATAGGGTAATATAATATGGTAAAGGCAGTACTGCATATGGTGGTGGTATGTGGTAGTGGTGATATGTGGTGGTAATGGTGGTGGTGATATGTGGTAGTGGTGGTGTGTGATAGTGGTGATGGTGGTGTGTAATAGTGGTGATGGTGGTGTGTGATAGTGGTGATGGTGGTGTGTGATAGTGGTGATGGTGGTGTGTGATAGTGGTGATGGTGGTGTGTGATAGTGGTGATGGTGGTGTGTGATAGTGGTGATGGTGGTGTGTGATAGTGGTGATGATGGTATGTGGTAGTGGTGGTGGTATGTGGTAGTGGTATGTGGTATGTGGTAGTGGTATGTGGTATGTGGTAGTGGTATGTGGTATGTGGTAGTGGTATGTGGTATGTGGCAGTGGGTAAGTTGATGTTGAGATACTAGCATGCTTCCAAGACATACATTCTGAGTTTCCATTTAATGTCAACAATTATTCTTACAATAAAAACTGGCTGTACGTAGTGAAAAGACACAAGGGCCCATCATGGTTCATTATTGACAGGGAACTTGCATTTAACATCATATTTCAGTGTAAAAGTTTCAAGCCAATAAGCAGACATCATCAGAATAAAATAGAGAATTCAAAGCTTAAAAAAAATAAAAATAAAAAAAAATCCTGTGAAAACCACAAGGCACCCGTCCTGGAAATACCTAATACTGTACGCCATTCTTTAAGGCAACAGAAGCCCTGAAGCCAGTAAAGGCTGTAAGTAAACACACATTATCCAAAAATGCATCAATTAATTTAAGTATCTCGGGGAAATTATACTTCTAAACATAATCCTGAAGCCCTATTTAAACGTTTATAGGGACAATAACTTCATCTTCTCCAGGCAACTCTTGTGAATCTGTGCTTTTCAGCTTTACATTATATCTAACACTTCTTGTAACACAAACGCCACTTTTAAGACACAAAAACACTCCACAGGATAACATTAGTTCAACTTGAGACATAGTGCCAGAAGCCAGGTGAAGAGTTAGAGGCACATCCGTCACCTCTTGAAGTTTACCGCTTGATGGTGTCAACACAACTCGTGTATCTGTAAAAAATAAATACTGTACAAACACGTTGATATTAAATAAATTAACCATGTTTATCATGTTTATCTGATACAAAATGATCTTTAATAAAATAAAATCTTACTGAAATCTAGAAATGAAATACTGTACTACATTTGAAAAATTTGGTTTAATTTTATTGAATGCTAATAATGCTTAAGTTTTTTGTTTTGTTTTTTTTTGCTGCAAGTGGCTGATAATGCTTGACTGAACCTTATTAGTTACTCAACACTCATATGCCATGAAAATGCTTCCAAGGGTGGCTAACTGGCCTAATAACCACAACAGAAACATGCTTCCCATATATTTTCTTCTACAAATATTCATGCCTTGCTATGACTTATGACTAATTCTCACCGCTTGTCTCAATGGTCCACTTATTTGGAGCTTCTTTATTAAGTACTGTATCTTCTGTGAGGTTGGTTCTTATTCTGAGGATGACTTCAACTTTCCTACCATGTGGGACTACAGCTGTTACTTCTTCAACATCTTGGCTCAAGTCTTGACTTGAACTATCACCTTCGTCTATCAATCTTATAGGAAGCTGGAAAATATTGTTTTTAATTAGATACTTTTAACCAACTATTTTGATCATCATTTGTTAAGTTTTTGTGAATTAACATATGTTGCATTTAACTTACTATTCACACTATGTTGTGATTTGCAAAACTTATCCAACAACTTGAATTTTCATGACCTTATAGTAAATAAAATGTATATTTATGATATCCAGATGAATTAAAGAGATGATGAACTAACATCGGAGCTGTGAGGATGTGAACACTACTCACATGTTGTAAAGAGTGGTCTTTAAGGGACAAGATCTTGATGGCATGATTGTTGGTGTCAGCAATGTAGAGGCGGGAGTGATCTTGGCTTGCACAAAGTCCTCCAGGCTCATTTAACTAAGATATATCAATAAAAACAAAATACAATAATTCTAAGTATTACAAAAAATTATAAAAACGGTAATTAAATGCTTAAAGAAATTAATGAGAAAGATGTGGTAAGGGGGGTATGAAATATATTAATCAACAGCCACCCCAATGGTGCATGATTAAACACACCCACTGGTAAGGAAATTAAAAATTGTCTTATTAAAGGATAAGAGCATATGAAATATATGACTTATCACCATCTCTCTGTCTCTCTCTCTCCAATGACTAAGAAATATTCATCACTCCTACTACTGTTGTCTATCACTCTCCTATTCTAAGTTATTTGGAAAAACAAATCAAGTTAAATCTCTCTCTCTCTCACCTCAATGGATGGCAAGAGATACAACCTGCAGAGATTCATAGTGTGACGTCGTGATTTGGACAGACTATGACACCTGGCTGGTAAATGACGGAATGAGAGCAACTTTATCAAATACTGTACCAGTTACATGCTTTATTAATTAAAATATAAAAGAATTCTTATTAGAGAGCATTAAGACTACCCCAGGGATAACTGGAAGAAATGACTTGAAGGATTGCCAAAGAACATTAATTTAGGTGTGCAGCGACACTGTCAAAAAATTTAAGGCTCAGACATTCCTTTCCTTGGAAGTATAAAAGTACCTGGTACTTAAGAAAATGAATGATCTTTGCAATATAAAATTAAATCAAAGTCTTTTGTATAATAACAAAATGAACATACCTTTTTGTTCTCAACATTATTTTCAATCTCCTCTGTAGTTTTGCCTCCGGCCACGGTGGATATTTTGTACGTTTTCCCAAGTGGCGTCACTACCTTTATCTGATATAATTGAGGATAATTATTTCAATATCTGCTTATTTCAAAAAGAAGGCATATTAATTAAACAGGTTTAAAGAATGTCACAAAATTTCTTTCAAATCACAGCAACAGGTTTTAATATACTGTACTGATAGTAGCTTATTAACAAGAAATAAGCATTCCAGGCCTGGATTAAATAAATGTACATTCAAAAACTCATTAATTTCTATACAGACATGAACCTTGGATCATATTCAAACACAAGAGAGCATGATGTAAAAAAAAATTAACATGCTTAAAACATTGGAGGAAAAGTGACTTAGGCAATACACACACACATCAACAATTTTACCTCACTTCTGGCCCTCTTTATTGCTGCTCTATTTACATGTACTTTTCCCATGACTTTCTGGTCTTTTCCTCCTTGCACTGCCTACTGTACAAGGTCATATACCTTGATCTTCTCATCAACTTTCCTCATGACTGGGATGAACTGTACCATGGCATTTGCATATCTATGGGCTAAGAATTCCATCGTCACATTTATTATCTACCCCTTCAATTATTCTACCCTTGAATTTCCTTCAAATCTTTAGTTTCTTGTAATCCTCACCATGTTTCATGGTCTGACTCCCTCCTTCAACTATGCTATGTATTCGAATACATTGGTTTCAAATACATAGCAGAAACCACTATGATGCAGCGGTTTCTAGGTAAATACCAGGTCTAGTGTAGCTGGTGGATCTCTTCTCTTCTTGTTGGCTCCATTACATGTTGCCTAAAGAAATATTTATCTGCTGCGTCTACTAATTATGCCCTCCATGTTTTATCACCACCATGTCATTCATTGTTAAGTCTATTTTTCTGGTGTTGAAATTCCCAAATATTAAGAGACCTTAGCCCCTGTTTCCTCTGCTGCTGTAGATGCCTTTTCAACCACAAACCTAACATTATTACATTTGTCACAATCTTCCCTTGACCATCTGGTATTTAGTGGGGGATTGTATATACAACTGGGCACCACACAACTGTTGTATAATAAGTTAATAAGTAGCCTCTCGAGCTAGAAGGAACCGAAAACATTCTGCTGTGCCTAGAATGGATGAGACTGGGGTTGGGAATGCCAAAGAACCAGTGCAAGTGTTCATTTTCTACATTAGACAATGTTGAGCAGGTCAAGGCTCAGTACCTTATTAACAGTACCATATAGTATTTATCACATGATAGTATCACATCAGCAGGGAGTCAGGGTCTTTGTTTAACAGTGTATACTGCCATATTACTATTAGTATAATATATGTATAATCTTGTGTTTATTTACATTTCCCACTTATGCATGCATTGAACCTATCTTAGACCTTAAGGATATTTTATGAACTGATGAATCTAGATATTGTTGCAAAAGTTTAGCAGGTCAATTTTAATAATGTATTTGAGATGTCAAACAAGAACAAGATAAGTCCAAAAATATATAGATTGTAGTTACAAAATAAAAAAGAAAGTATGTTCATAACGAACTTGCCTTATGATTGTATGAGTCAGCCACATACACAGCCTCTCCAACAGCTGCCACAGCCAGGGGATGTTGCAGTTTTGCATCAGTGCCACTACCATCAATATCACCATAGGCAAACAGGTCCTGAACAAATTTATGGTAGTTACACACATGCAAAACATTCCAAATATTATCCATACAGTATTTTGACTTGCCCTGAAAGAATTTAGCAAACATGACAAATCAGTGAACTCATACTCATGGACCTGCTTTAAACTCACATCAACTTCTTGTTTGCTACCAGTATGGATAAAAGAGGCAAGTAATTTGCAAAAGTCTACTCTTTCTTTAATCTACATCACAATGGGTCTGCATAGCATGCAGTCTACTGTTCAATATCTTATAAGACATCTGAAGCTAAACAAAAATTATGAATTTTACTTACAAGTGGATCACGGGCAGCTCCAACAACAGCCTTTACAGCACCATCTGTTAAGCTCATCTTTCTTACAGAAGAACTTTCAGAGTCGGCAATAAAAAGCACCGATGTTCCAGAATTAGTGCCAATTGCAAGTCCTGAGGGTTGGGCAAATCCAGCTCGAGTTGGATAAGAGGTATTTCGGTTCTCTTCAGCTCCACTGCCAGCTAAACGTACTACAGTGCCCTTACTGTATGAACTGTAAAAAATTTTTATTGCTATAAAATTTAATAAATAATTTCAGTATTACTGCATGAATTTATATTCATTCTTGCTTAAGAATTTATTATTTACTATCTACAGTACATATGTTTTCATAAATTTAACATATTAAATACTAGATGTTCTATAGAGTTACTACCAGACATTTCCTTTTTACCTAAAGTAAAGCTATGGATGTACATAAAAAGCTTTCCAAGCAGGTCACTCAGTTGCTTCCCCTAAGCCTCCACCACTTTCCAGGACAGTCAAATTTCAGCCAGATCAGAACGACTTTCACATCTCTGACAGTGGGAATCTTTTTCAAGCCAGCCCCAAAAGTCCATCTATGGAGGAAGAAAGCCTGGACAAATTTAAATCCCACCCAGAGTGACTGTCAGTAGGCTTATCTAACTCCAGTACCTTCTCCAGGCAATACCTGGCTCCAAAGAAACTGCCACGCTTACTCTACTAAACTACGTTTACTCTACACGAAACTCTACTAAACTTATAATTGCTACCTAGCAACTAACCTATCCCCACTACCATTTGTCATTACCTACACTAAAAATAAAGATTGCCAAGGAATGTTACCTCACTTTCATTCTAGTTTAATCCTGTAGAGGTACTGGGAAAGTCAGTTGGGAGAGCACTGGAGTGACCAAGCTTAGAAAGTTTATTTTTATTTAATGTATACTCATTAAGCCTTATTTCTAAGCTTAACTAGGCAGTTGCTCCCTTAGTAGGAATACCCAATGTTATGCAACCAAAGAGCAAAACTCACTAGTGAAGACTTATCAGGGGCCACAGAGTGGAGACGGAAGGGACTGCAACAGACATGATATGCAAGGCCAAAATCAAATGCCTCAATAGAGACAAGGGCATTTTTTTGAGGGGGGGGGGGGCAGTAAAGAGAAAGGAGAGGCATAGGTAAAGGAAAGTTTAGAAGTGAGAAATACAGTGAGAGGTATGAAAGTAGGCAGGCTGTCTGCCTTGTTGACTACTTGTCCCCCCATCAACTTTTTTTTTTGTCCTCCATCAACTTTCTTTTTACCCTCAATGAGGCCGGACCAACATGAGGATCAGAGCTAATAATGAGGTACACTTCCCTAAAGGCAATAATAGGCCAGAAGACATTCAAACTGCCTCCTAGGAATGCTTTGGAAAAGTGTCAAATTAGCAAAACAAATCTGCGATAGGCATTAAACAAGTGATCTCAATGATTCCTTTAATACACCACTAAGTGGCATCCTAAATACTGTATAAACAATTTACATTTATTAACAGTTTAACATGTAAATTTGTTTGAATTAAGGGTGATTATGTAATATTTTGTAAATCATTACAGAACATAATGCGTAGAAGCAGGATTTATCAGTACTGTACAGTATATGTCAAAACCTTTTCTTGCCAATGCACAGCAAAATTACCTACCAAATTATATGGAAATATTTTTTTAGTTATTGCTAATTCAAATTAATACTACCTTTGATACCAAACTAAGCTTTCTCACCTTCCTTTAAGCCATTTACCATCTGAGAGGAATATACCCCAAATTTGGTGAGATCCTGCCATGGCTACAAGAAGTAAATTATCAGTTCCATCTTCAGCTTGATCCAAACTTCTTGCAAGACAGATATCCCAGGGAGAAGATATGGCCTAAGAAAGAGATGCAGTGGAGAATAAAATTACGACTCCAAAAGATGTTCCTTAGACACGAGCGATAACCACTGTGCTACATACAGGTCACTGTGGTTGTAATATTGTAACATTTGAAGGTACGAGATGGTATATGGGTGATCTGTGACTATTTTATCTATAGCTATTCATTTAACATTAATTAGTCAAAAGTCCTGATCTACATTTATCCTCTTTGTCCTTGAATCTGATGTAGATCTTGTCCATTTAAATTATGCTATGGATAAATAACCGATGCAAACTTAATACATTAGAAGACTAATGAAAAGTTCTATTTTTATTTTATTTACAGTCCATTATATATAAATATTAGATTCTGCATTTTCATCTTTAGTGGGTGAATAATTATGATCAGATTGATCTTTTTATTTAAAACTAATTCTACAGTGATTGGATGTAAAAAACAATTAATTTCCATATACTGTACATAATTTCAAAATACTGACTAAGGATACATTCATCGAGCATGATAAAAATGGAGTGAGTCAAAGCCATTAACTAGCGAAGATATCACCTTAAAGAAAATATTTTAATGAAATGAACCATTCATGGTAGAACTATTAATGCTTAATTACAAAAACTGAAATACAATATTCAAGACAAGCTATGTAAAAGACTTTTCTTACTTGAGAAGTTCCAATGAGGCCTCCTTCAAGATCTCTTCCTTGTTTGCCAGTCCCAGCAATAGTTTTTACAGTACTTGTTACTATGTCTACCTGTTGTAGAAAAATAAATATGTCATTATATTCAGTGAAATGAGTATGTCAAGAAAATATTTCATGTGATCTCAGAAGCAATTATCAAAGTGTCACATGTAAAGCAATGATCTTGTAAAATTTATTATTGACTTATATGATAAGCAACATGATAATTACTCAATTCTCAATAAAATAAAGCCAAATCTTGTACACTAATTAGGCTCTTCCTTCATAGACCCAGCTTCTGAATTTATTTTGATAAATCTCTGAATATCAGGAAACAAGATCATATTATTAGAGACTACTAAATAATGCTCTCTACTTAACACTTTCGATACCTGATGCCGGTATATCCGTCAAAAAACGAAAATTCGGAGAGGGCGGAATGATGCAAACGGCGTCAATAATTAAAAAAAAAGATTTAAATTCCATTTATTGTCCGAATACTATGGGACTTGTTTTAAAATGAGAGCCAACTTCTTCCCATTCTCTGTATATCCCACGTGGCATCATGACCCCACCGTGTGGGCACCTACCCACACTGGAGGCTCACTGTTCACTGTTCGGGCAAGTCCTTAATCCTAATTTTCCCTGGAATCCGACCCGCCAAATCTTTTAATAACCAGGCACCCATTCATTGCTGGGTGAACAGAGGCTACGGTTAAGAATTGGCACCCAGTCGATACTCCCTGGCCAGGATACGAACCCAGACCAAAGCACTCGCAATGCGCCGGGCAAATGTTTTACCACTTCGCCACGGGGACTGCCAAGATCCCATGGAAATAAATACCCGTACATGGGGATTATTTTATAAATAAATCCCAGTACAGGGGCTACTGCAACTTTCCCTGACCCATATATTAGGGGTAAGAGCATATAGGGATCAGAGATCAAGGCAAACCACCCTTAAATGCAATGGAATGAGGACACAAAAATGTCTTCTGAGCAATGTTTTGGATATGTGCTGACTAAAACAAAATTTTGACAACTACTAAACAATGTTAGTCAATGAGACTCCTTCATTCACCACCAGTCCAAGCTTTATTACATCACTTAATTCAAGTATTTTTTAACTCACTTCCTCTATGTTAATTTACAAAACTTTAATAAACCGGTTTTCTCCTTTCTGGGCCTTTTGTCCAACTCTCTATTGATTTATTTGGTGAAGTCATATAGTCCTCAGGACAAGGGAAAAAAGGGAGAAGTCAGCACCAGTGGGATCGACTAAAATCGATCTTGGAAATGGCCAAACATGGTAATACTTCCAGAAGTGGTGAGAACAGCTTATAGGCAGTGTCTTGGAGCCCTGAAAAAGCCAAGATCAATTACAGTTTCTACAAGTCTGAAATAATGTTACACAATAAAGCACTCCCACCTGACGAATGGCATGGTTATCAGCATCGGCAATATAGAGGACATCTGGGTGATGATAAGCTACTCCTTGTGGGTTGTTGAAACTTGCATTAGAAATTGATCCATCACTAAAGCCTTGCTTTCCAGAGCCAATTACTTTCTGAAAAAATGTAGATATTAATAAGACCATTCCTCAAGTGAATCACTTCTCATATATGTACAAAGGTTTTCATCTTTGAATTTTATTTAGCTTTTGAAGAGCAGCTAATGAGACAACCTGCACAAAATAATTGATTGTTTCCCTTTAATGACATTTAATGAAAAATCTTTAAAAATAAAATAATACATACATCACCCTGCGGCTGGCAACATGCACTACACATCAAAGCATTAGTGTTATTCAATCATATTCACAGCAAATACTAGCTTGTTTCCAATCATTTCTCATTGGAAAATATACTGTTATGTTTATGTGTTTGAAACTATTGAGAATCGCCATCAAATCTCTCTCCTTGCCCAAATTCATCAGTGTGTTTTCATATTTGTAAACTGAACGTGGCTTGATTTCATATACTGTACTGCATTCTGCACTCCAATACACTGCATTTATCCACATTGAATTCCATTTGCCATTTGTTGTTTCATGCAATGAATTTGTTTGGGTCATTTTGAAAGACACGGCAGTCATCCAGGTTTTCACTTTCCCGGTAGCTTAGCGTCGGCCATGTCATTCTCAAAATTTGTTCAATATTTAACATATTTTCTTCTCTCTGAGAATCGACCAATGTCCACGATCATTCAATAATAACCTAGAGGCTACCTTGAGGTTGTTTTAGGGATCGGTGTTCCTGTGGCCCAGTTTGAATCAGGCTGCAATTGTTATTTAGGTTACTATGAAGAAGCATAACACACAATACCGAATAATTCTAAAGCATGTAAACTCAAAATTTAATTACCTTCAGCAACCATGAGATATAAAAAACTGGCTTTTAGTCTAAATCTTCCTATGGTACCAGTTTAAAGGAATGCAGCTACAAGTATTCACTGGCATCAGGAAATGTGTGTAGAAATTTTGGTGAGGCTATGTTTACTTCTTGTAGAGATAGAGATGTTTTTAAGATAATGTTTACTTCTTAGGTCCTCCTCCCCAATGAAAGTCTATGTTAGCCCTAAAGTACCCACCTATGGCTCATGTGTCCTGACTCTAAACCCCTAATCAACTGCTGTATTATAAAAGGCAACTTTCTTTTACCACTATACAAATGTTAAAAATTTCTAGTTGGTGTTCAGTGGTATTGTAAATATAAAGCTCAGGACGAACAAAATAATAATAAAGCATTCCTACTTGGGATACCTAATAAGCACAGTTTTCAGTCTCAAGGTATACATTATTGCCTAAGAGCCTAAGAAGAAATAATTACTTACTATAACATTACCCTCATAATCGGTCATTAAGATTCGGTTGTGACCCGAGTCTGACACAACAAGGCCTCCAGGGTGGACTGTGACTTTCCCTGGGTACAGCAGGCTGGAGCCAGTTGCTGCAAATTGTCTTGAAGGGGCCAAGGGAACTGAAGATTTGGTCAGACACCTAACAATTGAAAATAAATAATGCTTAAAACAAAAAAGGATTCTGGCTAATTATGTTGAAAGATTTCCCCTGGACCTATGTAAACTGGCAATACTGTGTGTCTGTATGTGTGCACCGGTGTGTGTGTATTTGTGTGCATGCGCGCGCGTGCCTGTGACTGTGTGAGCCTGTGTGTCTGTCTATGCCTAAAATACTGCTGACAAATTTCTTCAAATTATATGAACTTTAAATGGCAATCAAAATGATTAAATTTGTTCCACCATGCATTATTTAAAAACAAAATTTATAGGTAAACTACCACAGTCAACATACCCAGAACTGGAAAAATGTTCAATTGTTGAGTCAACACAGAGTTGAAGCCGTTCACCGTGTCCCTCACCAACTAACACAAACAATGGGTTTCCATTTGGACCTGAAGAAACAATCATGATAGTTTTCATTTACCCAGGAAAAACATAACATTTAATACACAATAAACAGTTACACAAGCTTTATATTTTTCCTACAGAAGCATAATGTTGCAAGAATATTAATTACATATTTAACCCTCAGTATATAGAATACTTTCTTTGTAATTAATAAATAAGCATACAGTATAGATTATGAATTGGTATCGCACAAAAATGCAAACATTTACAATACTGTACTTCATGCTTTTAATTTCATACAAACTGTGTCGCCAATTCAATATTTCATCATCTAAAATAGTGTGTGTAGATATAATCAAGCATTTATTAATGTTAGTCAATTATATTTAATAATAGAAGCAGCATATGGAAAGCTGGCTAACCTAAGAATGGCACTAACAAATCTAAACAAAGTCTTTAAAGACAGTTTACATGGCCTACATGAAAATATCACTAGAATATGCAGCACAAAGAAAAAATACAGTGCAGAGGTTTGTACCAAGACTAGTACCTGAAATGAGAGCAAACCAAGACATGTCCAACAAAACTCTCAAACTAGGCTAAAACAGGAAGATGCAACTTGACTGACAGAAAGAAAAAATGATCTCTAACCAATTCTATTTGAGATACTTCATATCCAATGCATAAGCTTCCTAGTCAAGGAGCAGAGGCTAACAGATTCACCAGAGGGCGACTGAACATCGTGCAAAACTAACAGGAGATGGCCACATTCACCACTCACTCCATTGGAATTGAACGAAACAGAGACTGCCCATAAACCATATTAGACACAAATATTAATCACCTCAGTGTTAAAAGCCCCAGGAATCTATATGTGAGCACATTTTAGTGTCGTAGACCAATGCCTATCGTGTGGGACATAAGCCGGAGATGAACCTCCAACCCATATTTAAACAGAACCCTGGGCTAAAGAATTGCACACCACACAGTCCTGAAGAATGCATGCAACCCATTGAAGAAACAAAAATAAAAATAAAAAATAAAAAATGGGTGTTCAACCAACTTATATATCAACAACCTCAGTGCCTACCAAGGAAGAAGTGAAGAAAGCCAACAAAGGGCAGACTCTGGAAGGAAGAGGGATGCAGACATGGTGTACCGCCCAAACCCCCAACTGTTGGAGCCAAGAGGAAAGAAGTTTGAACCTCAGGACATTCCTCAAGCACTAGAGCCAATCCAGAACTATCAACAACAAATCCTCAGCCAGCCTAATGTATCAGAGATATATCTTTAATAAAATAAAACTTCTATAGAACTTTGTAGATTACAAAGTAGCATTTAAAGATGGGTGCCAAAAGAAGCAAGTTCTTCCAAGAATGTTTGAGATTCTTCATTTGAACAAAAACATGTAACTCACCCATGTTTTAAAAAGATGCATCATAATCAGAGGAATGTAGTTTAAAAATGGCTAAACAAAGCACTATACAGTGGAACCTCGACTTACGAATGCCCCTACTTACAAATTTTTCGGGTTACGATCCCAATTTCATGGGAAAATTTGAATTAGGTTATGACCTTTGCCTCAACTTGCGACTTTGTTGATACACATATGGGTCAACTGAGCGGGTGGTTCCTGGTGGTACGGGCGACCCCGCTTCAGTTTACCAGACCGCCCGCTTAGTGACAATCGCACTTGAATTATTTGTAAAGAATTTCATTGTTTTTGTGCTTTTTGTTTTTTGAACATAAAAGTAATTATTATATATCATGCCATGGGTCCCAAGAAAGTCAGTGGTAAGGTTCAACCCAAGAATATAGTTGTAAGTAGAGTCAGTAGAGGATGTCCCTTCCTCATTAAGAAAATGTGTGAAGTATGGGAAGAACTGCAAAGTTTTGCTGAAAAGACTCACCCAGATAAAGCTGTAACAGGCTGTTACATTGACTTTATTAATGATAATGTGATGTCTCACTACAGACAAGTGTTAAAATGTAGGGGGAAAAACAAGTCTCTATGGAAAGGTTCTTAGTGAGAAACAAGCAGTGAGCCACAAGCAGGTCCTAGTGGTATGCAGGCAAAATGTAGGAGAGAGAGTACACTAGAGAAGTCATCACTGCCTGATGTTATAATGAAAGGGAACTCCCCTTCCAAACACTAACATCTTTTCTCCTCCCCTTCTCCTCATCGTCTTCCATACGCCAACAAGAATCATCAATAAAGGTAAGCTATAACCTATACATACTATAGTGCAAAATATTTGTGTGTATTATGAATGAAATGTATTTTGAAGATAATATTTTTGGGAGCATGGAACGAATTAATTAAATTTACATTAATTCTTATGGGAAAATTCACTTTGAGTTACGACCCATCTCTGGGAATGGATTAAATTCGTAAACCAAGGTACCACTGTACCATATATATATTTATGTTCAACACTATACCGTATTAGGAAGTGTGTCTTAAGAATAAGTTAAACTCAGTTCCTCTGCAGTGTTACCAAGTATGAGAAGAGTAGGCCAACATGCAATGCTCAGTTGTGCCCACATCTTTGCTTGGGGATCATTGACAACTGGATGATGGATGTGGTATTTCTCAATGGCAGCCAAAATGTTAGAAGACACACGTTCATTTTCGAACTTGGCAGAGTGGACACCCACCTATAAGATATATTAATTTTTGCAAATTTAAACAATACAATAATAAAAATAATGAATGAATATACAAATAATAATAATATTAATAATAATGGTAACAACAATTCAATGTTAATTAACCACGCGAGACAATCATAAGTGATACCAGTCATGCTCCCCAGCTATACAATACTTGGAATTAAGAGTTGTTCCATGATCCCACCATCTTTAGTTCACAACCCAATATCACTACAGTATTACACTACCCACCATCTCCTTTCACAACCCAGTACAGTATCACCATTAGATGACCCATCCTTTATGTTACACAACCCAATATCACTATTAAATGACCCCTTCATCTTCCTGCTATATTGCCTTCCCAGCTTGATACCGCTTTTGATAATTACCTACTTACACGACCTACCCCATCTCCATTACATAACCGACCCACCACCATCTCCATTCCACGGCCCTTTATCTTCTCCATTACACCACCCACTATCTCCACAACAGCAGCACCCACCATCTTCTCCATTACACCACCCCACTATATGAGTACCATTTCCTCAATACAGGTTCTGTGCCATCTCTATTACACTAATAGAAATGAACACCTCTGATAACAAAATCTGAAACAATTAAACAGAGGCATTCTTGAGATATCCAAAATTTAATGCACAGCACTATAAACTGTCGAAAACCTGTTTTACCAAGAACATACCTTGCTTTGGAAATTTTGCTGACATTTTAAAGGTAAAATGGGTTATGTTATTCCAGATTTTGCTGACTTAACTGGATTATTCTTGCAAAACTACTAATATTCATAACTATTCATGAAAGTCTTAAAGTTAGCACAGAATTTGCAGTGAATTTTAAGTTTCAAGGCAAACAGTTAATCTTAAAAAAAAAGTACAGTAGTGTCAAACTGTAAATAGTATAGGTTTTAGGTTAAAAACACTGGTAAGTCACCGATATACTATAAACAAGAACAGAACAGATTCTAGAATACTATTGTGTGGCACTCCTGTGGTTAACGGAAAAGAAGTGCTGAAGTGCCACGGAAGAGGGCAATTGGAAATTGAGAACTATCACTACCATATTACCAAAGATGGCTAAATGATCACTAATTTGTGGTTTTATGGGTAGACACAACTTAGGTAGTAATTGTATAGTTATGCATAGTTAAGCTAGGGCACCAACTGAAAATAATCTACCTTTTTTGGGTTATACTCTATGTTACTGGCAATTACAAAAATGTCTCACCACTAAAACTTCACCATCATTGGGAGGATGCAGTTTCTCGAGGGCCTCAAGGTCTGGCAATATGTGCATACAGTTGACGCAACAATAAGTGAAGAAATCTAGTACTGTGATTCGACCCTTCAAATCTCTAGCTAGAGTCAAGGGTCGAGATACATTGAACCACTCCAACCCTGCAAAAATTACAAAGTCTTTGAAACAAAATTATGAAAAGATATAGGTGTATTCACTATCCTGAAATTTACTAATACTGTACTGTACTTATTTTATGATATTCAAACAAGTCTATATGTCTAAATATTAGTAGGCTACATTGTAGCCTATAAATTACATGAACTCATAAATAACCCTCGATTTATCCTAAGTCTTCATATAGAATCGGGTAGCACTAAAAAAAAAAATTGAGGTGAAGACACTGATATACTTAAAGATTAAAAATATATTAATAGTAAAGTAATATTTGAAAAAAAAACATGAAAAAGAACTAATAGCTAATATTAGAATTAAATGAAATAGATGAAATAACACAGTAGAACAATGTAATTTAGATAATTAACTAAAGATTTAAAAAATAATCTTTTTAAGATTCAACTAATCAAATTAAGAATGCCATGAGTTATCAAAATTGATCAAAAAAAGTTGTCTTAGCATGCCAGAACATCACATCAGTTTAACATTCAGATGAAATCATCGTCAGGAATAATGGGCTCTTAGCAAGCCACGAGCTTCCTGTCCGTAGAGCGGGTAAATTACAAATATTATAAGCTAGCAATATATTAAACAAAAGATTTAAAATAAAAAACGAGTTAATAAAGTGTTAATATGAACATTTAAAACAAAACAAAAACTAATTTTACATATAAGAAACTGCAATCTTTTGATAAATTACAAAACAAAATATACCCGGACCAGCACTTACCAGCCTCAAAGTCTACCATTGGTATCTGTTCTTGGGTGTATGTGACAATATGTTGAGTGATGAGTGATATCTTATCTTCTCTCGTTAATGCCTCGTCCACTCTAGCTGCCAGCTCTAGGCAAACGAGCGTCAATTCACTTATATCACGAGCCGGTCCCTCCATTGTTATTGTTTGGTGGTGACTGTTGGGCGGTTACAACCCCAGACCGGCCAGACCCTCACGTACTTATAGAGTAATAAAAAATAAATGTTTTTTAATTAAAAATTATGTTTATTTTTTTATTTAGGTAAAGTACATACATACAAGGGGTGATACAAATATTGATGAATTTATAGATAGAGCTAGTACATACAATGCCTAAAGCCACTATTACGCAATTATACTTATTACCTAAGTGGATTTTTTTGTGTAGTTACAGGATGAGAGCTACGCTCGTCGTGTGCCGTCTTCACAATACTCTTTGTCATTTGACGCCTAAGAAGAACAATCAATCATTGACACACAAAGGGTAGAAAGCAGCATTAGGCAATCTGGTAAACTTCTGAATGCAATATACATCATGACAAATTCGTCAACTAACATCTTCCCCACATACTTTACTCAAACTTGTAAAATTCAACATCCTGAGTCCTAGCCAGTTTGGCTTCTGATCTCAAGAAAGAGTACCAACGATGTCATTATTAGTTTGCTTTATATAATCTACCAGCCCGTCCTCCAAAAATGGGGTGGTAAATGTAAGAAGACAAATAAGTGCAATTATATACTATTCATAGCAGTTAGAAATTATACTTATTTTCACTTAGTATTAAATCATAGTCAAATATATTGTAAATATTTGAGTTTACCTAAAAAACAGAATAGAAAACCACAACCTCACCTAACCGTCTTAGTTTTTGAAGATAATAATTTTATTGCTTCTTAATTACAATTAGTACTTAACCTATAGCTATATTGATATTACAGTTTTATAAAACTAATAAAACAAAACTAAAATATATCAAAAAATTGTAAAGTAACTCAGGATATTTTAAAATTTTGTATAAAATCTATATTGTTTAATAAAACTGAAAAAGAAATTTTTGATATTTAAAACTTGTGTTTAACATCTTGAAATAGAAAACTTCATCCTAAAATTCTGAGTGACGAGAATTTAAATTAGGGGAAGAAGTTGGGTAAATGTAACAGCCCCATAAGTGCAATTAATCACTGTTTATGCCAGTAAGACAGTGTACTTATTACACTTAGTATTAAATCGTACTGTCAATTCATGGGTTGCATCTACACACCCCTTGACAAAAATGAATTCCCTCGTGGCTTCTTCATTTAGCTGAGGAAGGCCTTTGATACTATAAATTATAACTAACTCCTACATAAACTTGATCATTATGGATTCCAAGGCGTTGATCTGAACTATATTCGATCATATCTTAATAACAGACGCCAATGTGCATCCACCAACGACAGCACCTCTCCCACAATTACCATTAACCATACGAGTGCCACAAGGCAGCATTCTAAGACGTTCTTGTTTTGTTTTAGATTCAACTACTGGGAACAAAAGTTCCAAGTAGCATGGGCTATGGTGAGCCCGTAGTGGACTTACCTGGCACAGGAGCGGGGCTGTAACTGTGCATTCTAGGGCCTCTCCTATTTCTTATATACATCACTTAATTACCAAATGTTTCCACTATTCTCAAGTTTATACTATTTACTACCTTAATCTGCTCAACCCCAACCCACATACTCTAAATAATAAATATCAATAACAAAAAATTCCGCAAGTCCACTCAAGGATGTCAAACTCACACTAAAATAGAAAAGACTTACTACATTTTGTTTGGAAGCAAATAACCAATCAAATTCACTTTCAGATAGACAACGTCAACATTAATAGTAAAAATGAAGGAAAGTTCTTTGGCCTATACAGAAATAAATGACTAAACTTCCGTACACATGTAGGGCATAACAATGCACATCACAACTATCAAATCAACACTACCATGAAACAGTAAAGTCGATTGAAGAAGAAAAAGGACCTATAGGACTTAGGATTCACCAGTTATTGAAAGTTGCACAAGTGAGTGTTGCAGTAAAAATGTAAATACCTTACTCTAGAAATAGTTAAACGAAGCACAACCATGCACAAACTGAAGCCCGACTATGCACAACCCGAAGCCCAAGTGACACCCCCGGAGCCCGACCAGTTATTTAACCGGAGCCCGACCAGTTGTGTAACCAGAGCCCGACCAGTTGTGTAACCGGAACCCGATCAGTTGTGTAACCGAAAAACGACCAGTTGTGTAACTGGACCCTGACCAGTTATGTAACCATAAGCCTAGCATGAACAAACCGAACAAAAAACATCTGAAGCACAACCATGCACAAACCGAAGCCCGACCATGCACAACCCGAAGCCCAAGTGACACCCCCGGAGCCCGACCAGTTATGTAACCGGAGCCCGACCAGTTGTGTAACCGGAGCCCGACCAGTTGTGTAACCGGAGCCTGACCAGTTGTGTAACCGGAGCCTGACCAGTTATGTACCCGCAAGCCTAGTATAACCGAACTGAATAAAAACATTTCAAGCACAACCATGCACGAACCGAAGCCCGACCATGCACAACCCGAAGCCCGAGTGACACCCCCGGAGCCCAACCAGTTATTTAACCAGAGCCCCAACCGTAACCATAAGCCTAGCATGAACAAACCGAACAAAAAACATCTGAAGCACAACCATGCACAAACCGAAGCCCGACCATGCACAACCCGAAGCCCAAGTGACACCCCCGGAGCCCGACCAGTTATGTAACCGGAGCCCGACCAGTTGTGTAACCGGAGCCCGACCAGTTGTGTAACCGGAGCCTGACCAGTTGTGTAACCGGAGCCTGACCAGTTATGTACCCGCAAGCCTAGTATAACCGAACTGAATAAAAACATTTCAAGCACAACCATGCACGAACCGAAGCCCGACCATGCACAACCCGAAGCCCGAGTGACACCCCCGGAGCCCAACCAGTTATTTAACCAGAGCCCAACCAGTTGTGTAACCAGACCCTGACCAGTTGTGTAACCGGAGCCCCACCAGTTGTGTAACCGGAGCCCCACCAGTTGTGTAACCGGAGCCCCACCAGTTGTGTAACCGGAGCCCTACCAGTTGTGTAACCGGAGCCCCACCAGTTGTGTAACTGGAGCCCCACCAGTTGTGTAACTGGAGCCCCACCAGTTGACTAACTGGAGCCCCACCAGTTGTGTAACTGGAGCCCCACCAGTTGTGTAACCGGAGCTCCACCAGTTGTGTAACCAGAGCCCCACCAGTTGTGTAACTGGAGCCCAACCAGCTATGTAACCGTAAACCTAGCATGAACGAACTGAACAAAAAAACATCTGAAGCACAACCATGCACGAACTAAAGCCCGACCATGCACAACCCGAAGCCCAAGTGACACCCCCGGAGCCCGACCAGTTGTGTAACCGGAGCCCGACCAGTTGTGTAACCGGAGCCCGACCAGTTGTGTAACCGGAGCCCGACCAGTTGTGTAACCGGAGCCCGACCAGTTGTGTAACCGGAGCCTGACCAATTGTGTAACCGCAAGCCTAGCATGAACGAACCAAACAAAAAACATCTGAAGCACAACCATGCACGAACCGAAGCCCGACCATGCACAACCTGACGCCCAAGTGACACCCCCGGAGCCCGACCAGTTATGTAACCGGAGCCCGACCAGTTGTGTAAGCGGAGCCTGACCAGTTGTGTAACCAGAGCCTGACCAGTTATGTAACTGCAAGCCTAGCATGAACGAACCGAACAAAAAACATATGAAGCACAACTATGCACAAACCGAAGCCCGACCATGCACAACCTGAAGCCCAAGTGACACTCCCGGAGCCCGACCAGTTATGTAGCCGAAGCCCGACCAGTTGTGTAAACGATGCCTGATCAGTTATGTAACCGCAAGCCCAGCATGAACAAATGGAACGAAAAACATCTGAAGAACAACCATGCATGAACTGAAGCCCGACCATGCACAACCCGAAGCCCAAGTGACACCCCCGGAGCCCGACCAGTTATTTAACCGGAGCCCGACCAGTTGTGTAACCGGAGCCCGACCAGTTATTTAACCGGAGCCCGACCAGTTGTGTAACCGGAGCCCGACCAGTTGTGTAACCGGAGCCCTACCAGTCATGTAACCAGAGCCCCACCAGTCGTGTAACCAGAGCCCCACCAGTTGTGTAACTGGAGCCCCACCCATTGTGTAACCAGAGCCCCGCCAGTTGTGTAACCAGAGCCCCGCCAGTTGTGTAACTGCACCCCGACCAGTTGTGTAACTGGAGCCCAACCAGCTATGTAACCGTAAACCTAGCATGAACGAACTGAACAAAAAAACATCTGAAGCACAACCATGCACGAACTGAAGCCCGACCATGCACAACCCGAAGCCCAAGTGACACCCCCGGAGCCCGACCAGTTATATAACCGGAGCCCGACCAGTTGTGTAACCGGAGCCTGACCAGTTGTGTAACCGGAGCCTGACCAGTTATGTAACTGCAAGCCTAGCATGAATGAACCGAACAAAAAATCTGAAGCACAACCATGCACGAACTGAAGCCCGACCATGCACAACCCAAAGCCCAAGTGACACCCCCGGAGCCCGACCAGTTATGTAACCGGAGCCCGACCAGTTGTGTAACCGGAGCCTGACCAGTTGTGTAACTGGAGCCTGACCAGTTATGTAACTGCAAGCCTAGCATGAACGAACCGAACAAAAAACACATGAAGCACAACTATGCACAAACCGAAGCCCGACCATGCACAACCTGAAGCCCAAGTGACACTCCCGGAGCCCGACCAGTTATGTAGCCGAAGCCCGACCAGTTGTGTAAACGATGCCTGATCAGTTATGTAACCGCAAGCCCAGCATGAACAAATGGAACGAAAAACATCTGAAGCACAACCATGCATGAACTGAAGCCCGACCATGCACAACCCGAAGCCCAAGTGACACCCCCGGAGCCCGACCAGTTATTTAACCGGAGCCCGACCAGTTATTTAACCGGAGCCCGACCAGTTATTTAACTGGAGCCCGACCAGTTGTGTAACCGGAGCCCGACCAGTTGTGTAACCGGAGCCCTACCAGTCATGTAACCAGAGCCCTACCAGTTGTGTAACTGGAGCCCCACCCATTGTGTAACCAGAGC